ACGAATCGCCTATGGAATAGGGTGTGTATGGGGAATGCCTTTTCTGTCCCCTTTATCCTCTCTTGGTTTAACTTAAGTCGCGCCCCCTGGTGGGGCGGACAGTTCGAAAGAATCATTGGTCTGATGAAATCAGCTCTGCCGAAGTCAATCGGTAGTGGGATGTTGAGCTGAAAGGAGTTACAAGAGGTGTTGCTAGACGTGGAGATCACCCATTATAACCGACCATTGAATTATCTGTAAGACGATCCGCAGTTACCTGTTCTGACACCAAGCTCCATGTTGTTCATGAATAGTAATGTCCTGCCAGAGTTACAGCCACACCGTATTGAAACAGCCTAGAGTCGGAAACGAGCAAAGCACCTGCGCATGTGCAAGGAGCAGTGTGGCGACGTTGGTCCAAGGAGTACCTGCGCGCCCTTCGTGAGAGACTCCGTACCCAAAACACCAGCCAAGGAAATGCACCTGCCGTCGGTGACGTTGTCATATTGCAAGCAGATGAAAGGAATAGAGTCAAATGGCCGTTGGGGATCGTCGAGAATCTCAAAGTTGACACCGATGGAGTGGTCAGAGGAGCAGTACTATGGTCTGGGACGTCCCGCGTCGAACGAGCAGTCCAACAGTTATACCCCTCAGAGCTTTTGTGCGATAGACAGCAACCACGTCCAGCTGCGATGAACCCACAAGTTCCACCCTTCAGACCGAGAAGGGATGCGTCCGTTGCGGCCCGTTAACATTGCTCAAGAAGAAGAGTGATTTTAAATTGACAATTTATTGAACTAAACTGAAGTTTAATTTGATTTTGAAAATGATGCAAGTTTCGTTCTTGACGTGATTTCATTTCATTTAAATTACATATTTTGAGACATATCTCTCCTTCGGAGAAATATGATGGACTGTGTCGTGATGTCGTTTGACGCAGATAAGAAATAGGAGCATGCATTACTGAGACTGACATTTTTAAGGTGTGTCACCAATTAGTTTTTACATTAGCGAGTAGAGAAAAGTATATCAATCTAATCTGTATGAGAAAGGGATCTGTTCATTAGTGAGAATAAAGGTGTTGCGATTCAGTAAATCTTCTTTGTTGTTCCAATTTAACTACGTTTACAACAACTTGCATAAAAACAATGTTGTATGAGTGCATTAAACGTGGTACAGCTGTAGCTGTAATGAAACAAGCACTGCATCAATATGTATGCTCAACTCCACTACCGCCATGTTTGTTTTGTTAAAATAGAGACTAAAAGCGAGAGATATGTCAAATGGAAAAGCAAATTCCGTCGTAAATTTCTGTTTCACCCGGGAAAGTGGTTTCGAGGTAAAATTTTGCAAAAATTCTTTCCTAGAAAGTTAAGAATATTGGCCGGCCAAATAGTATAAGCAACCAAAAATGAGACTAATTGTCACATTTACTGGCCACAACAATGCCTTACCTACCATCAAGCCACGCGCGCAAATGGCGGCTGCATCTTCCTGGCGAGTCAAATTTTTTGCCGCCCAATACATACATAATAGAAGAGTCCGCGTTACACGAACCAGAATTCAAGTTATCGGGGTAATTTTCAGTGACTTTTTGATCAAGAGAAAGAGAATTTAGTTCGAGTTATCCGAATACGAAATAATCGGGTAAAAATGACTGAAGAGTGGGATGAAATCCGAGGGAAATTTAGTGCGGATCCAGGGGGGCCCGCCCCCTCTTTATTTTTAGAGCAAACTGAGGCCCGAAGGACCGAAAATTTTTTTTTTGAGACCGGCCCCCCACCTCATCTAAGGATCTAGATGACCGGGCCCCCTCATTATCTCAAGGTATGGATCCGGTACTGATATTGGACTTACCGGTAGTTCGTTCTGCTGTATATAGAGAACAACAGCAGAACTGAAACTCGATGGAATCGCCCTGAAACGGCCAAAAATGCAAAGAAATCACCATAAATTTAGACAAGGAGACAAGGTAAGAAAGTTTCATAAATCTCCATACAAACCCTTAACATTTCTTTTACGCAACAACCATTCGCACAAGTGAGCTTGGGGTACCCGTGGTCAAGTGTAAATAACCTAAACGCAGTTCTAAGCCGCTTAAATTTGATCTTGTTCATGTCTTGATCACCCTATTTATGGTCCCCTCTTAAATTTTATGTCACATTTCTAATACCTTTTTTCAAGGAGAATGAGTCTCCGTTGAGACCTTGCCTCAACGCTTCCTTTCTATCCATTTTTTTAAATAATATTAATAACACTGAAGCAACACTGACTTTTCTCGCATTTTAAGCAGCTGCAAGCTATGATAAGAGTCAACAATTTTTTGGAACGGATTTAACTATAAAAGTTAACGTTGAAAAAGAACGACGTTTCGACTGTCCGACGGTCCTTTTTAAGTTCAGGCTAAGAAGTAGTTATAGACTTATGAGATACTGACTAAAAGTAGGCAGTATCTCATAAGTCCATTCACAATTGTACATAAGAAAATGCTAACCTTTACTTCTTATCCTGAACTTGAAAATAACCGTCGGACGGTCGAAACGTCTTTTCTTTTTAACGTTAGCAAGCATGATATACCTGAAAAATGGCTTAAGAAATTCTAATCCTTCGTTTTTCCCTCTGTTTGCTCTATTGAAGCTGGTAGAAGATGTAAAAGTTCGTTTAAAATAAGCAAGGATGTCAAAAATAATCTAACAGCTTGATAAATAAATGTCACTCAATTATAGTTTTGGTGCTTAAGAACAATGTAAATAACTAGAGATGTGATGGTCAAATTTTAGCCAGGTGAATCCATAACAAAAATGATTTTTCAGTCAGGTGTCACATCGAGTTAGGGGGAAAAAGAAGAGTTCTCTCAATAGCGAAAGTATTCTTTTCAAAGCATTTTTCGTTACACATTCCCCCTGAAAACGCCATTCTGAAATTTCTAAATTGCTTCCATTTTCACTGTAAAATATTTCTGCCGACGAAATCAGTCATCGCCAAAAGTATTTTTTGCCGTTAAAGCGGCGACTACGCGTTATTGGGTTTACAACACCACGACACACAACCTAAACTCTTGAGACACTAACGCAATAGCTCCTCAAATTGAGGCATCTTCTCTCCCCCTTCCCCCTCGGTGCAGTGTTGACGTTATGTATTCAAGTTTTAATTCAACACAATCAACACTGCTTGGGGGAGAGGGGGACAGCAGAAATAGCCCCTTATAACAACATCCCCAAGCTTGTTTAAGAGGTAGAATATGAGTTAAGTTAGCAAAGTGCGTCTTTGTGCCTAATTTCCTCAAGTGTCCCAAGACGTTTTGACCAGGGTTGTAGTTTCAACTGTTTCAACTGTTTATTAGTTGTTGATGTACTTTTAAATTTTAGGGATAATCGCTCTTGGTTATTGCAAGGTACGTCAGTTAACGGATATTTGAAAATCAAGATATAATTTGTGGTATCACAAAGATTGATCATGACTCCCGTATCGCGAGTTCAAAGAGGCCTAGATCAACAATCCAGCCGTAGAATGTACAGCCGTCGCAGCCGCGCATTAACCACAAATTCAAAAGTATTTGGAACATATTTTCCACGTTTAAATCTTTTTACAAATAACGGTTAAATTGTTAATACTTTTTATGCCTATCGACTAAATTTTTGGTCGTTCTACCCGTAACGGTAAACCCATTTGAGCACTTGGAGGTAGGAATGTATTCTGTCAAATGTGACACCAATTTTTGCTAGAGGAGGGAGAATTTTTGTTTTTTAATAGTCTACTAATGATACGTAATACAATCAAGTAAACGTGTTCGCAAAATGAAAACTTAAACAAAGATCAGAGGCACGCAGCAATTTTTTTTCTTTAAAATAACTGTTCGAAGTAGCACATATTGCTTAGAAATTTCTAAAGCTTGAAAATATTTGGAGGTTTTTCTGATAGTTTAACTACGATTTTCGGAGGTTGTGTTATTCACATTTTAATGCCAAGATATTGCGATTATTATTCTCGTGGCAAAAACAATATTTTACTTACTCGCTACGCTCGTTCGTAAAATGTTGTTTTGCCACTCGAAAATAAAATTCATATCTTCGCGCCACCGTGTAATATCCTCTATTTAACCCATGATCTCGAATCCCGTTGAAGCCCTGAAATTGTATTAGGACTTAACTGGTAATTGCTAAAATTACCCTTACAGCTGCGACAGTATGTATCTTCATTTAGATTTGAATTTCCGCGGTTCACATCATCTTCATTCTATTTAAGACAGAAAACCCAAACTTAGAAAAAAATGTTAACAGTACAAAGTAACTGAGTAACATCAGTTTTTCCTCGTTCGCTTTTAAAAGGCCACTTCACAGCTGAAAAACAGTTCGGTAGCCGTTGTCGTAGTAGACATGTGAAATTTTGAGCAAGAGCCGCTTTTCGGGGCCAGCTTCCAATAAATCAGTCCCAATCAACTATGTATGAGTGTCTTTTAAGTGTAAAACCTGAAGTTGGTCTGACCATGGTTAATAGATTAGACTGGTTATGAAGCGGGTCAGATTCCTCTGTTATATGTCAAGTTTGTTCAATAGCATTTCTATTATTTTGATCTTACTGAAAAAAAAAGGTGGCATTAATTTATTTCCCCACAATTTGTGAACAAAAAATAAAGGATTGTAACTTCAGGGAGCTCCCAACATAAACTACAGCACTGTAGCATTTATCTTTGACGTTTGCAAACTGTTCACAGTCTCCTATTTTCCGTAAAATCGGCGAGACCAGGCGCTTTGCATTCCGGCAGCTATCTTGGATGCCTTTTGCATCTTGGCGTTCCCTCCACCCACCGCTATAAACCCCGACTACCTCAATACATATGAAAGAAGAAGACCGCCCGAACCGGTAAGCGCTCGATCCTGATGGTCTCACGAAAAACAGTGCCGACTGTGAACAATCTATAATGACGTTTGGTAGCCGTCTTTAAAAACTAGGCTCCTTTACAAATTACGGTCTGACCAAGCAAAAACAACACCGGTCTGCTAATAAGGACTGATCGAGAACTATAAGCCAGTTTCTTTTATGGTTCCTGTGTCGTTTGATTGGCAAGTCTCCAGAATTGGTTCTTCAGTGTCCGCCATTGCCTCGTGGTTCGACTCCTTCTCTGAACTTCTGACCGCGGAATAACGCGATCTCTTAGCCAGATACCTCAAGACAAGATGGCGAATTACCTCTCGTCTCTGAGAAAACAAAAAAATGAAAAATGTATGCGGCTATGATGGTGATTGCCAAATTAAACTTGCACTCAGTCAGCATTGATTTCAGACTTTTAATGTTTATGACTTTCAGATGAAAATAGCATTTGCGTTTAACGGTGAATTTCCACAGTTGCAAATATCTTACATGCGTACGCACGTAAAATTTACGCCCGTAAATAAAACAGAGGCAATGTGTGGGAGGTGGAGCTAAACGTAAAAGCTGAGCGAGGTTCAACTTTTACGTTTACCGAGACCTTTCATAACTTGCCTCTATTTTATTTACGCGCGTAAAATTTTAAGGTGGATTTGTATAGGTAATAGCATGATTTGTAGTGATATTTGGCATAAATACCAGAAGTGATATTTCAAAATTGTTATACGTAATTTCACGAGCCGTCAGGCGAGTGAAATTTGAGACAATTTTGAAATATCACGAGTGGTATTTATGCCAAATATTATGTACAAATCATGCTATTATTTGTTTATACTACTACCTGCAAAAGGTTTGTAATTTTCACATGTAGGTATTTCAAATTAAGTTGAAATACCACTGCTCTAAGCCAATCAAATCGCAGAAATTTCTAATGTAGTAGTATAACACCTGTGTACGCACGTAAATTTTATGCGCGTAAAAAAATAGAGGCAATACATGAAGTGTAACCTCGCAGAACTTCTCATACACTGTACGCGCGCAAATAAATTAGAAATCCATCCTAAGACCCTGTCCACTCGTATCCAGATATTTTTGAAAATGGATATTTTTTTCTTCGTTTCGGTCTCCCGCGTCCACACTAAACGACGTTTTTGAGCACCAACAACTTACAATTCGAAATAGAGTGGAGTGTGCAAGAAAACGCCTGCTTGTCGATTTTATGTGATGTGGACGGACAAAAAGTGGGGTTTCGGAATGCGATGATGCTATACATCTTACAGGGCATGTCCTGCAAGGGATGCTATCATATTTCCACCGTTTTGGCGTTTCGTGTGGACGGGCGATAATGTAAGCTTTCTTTACCTCCTGCTCGCAAATCCTTTTCACTTTTGAAGCAGTCCTATTGACAGGCTTTCTCTTAAACAACTTTTCCAAAAACACCTGCAGTTAACGAAAAAAAATAAAGCAGTTCTCACTGTAAGAGAGCTATAATTAGTAAAATTCAACAAGTGGTCTATGATCAATGCTGCGTTCTGATTGGTTGAGCTACTACTAGGCTATATGTTATAGCCCAATAGTAGCAAAAGCGCCGGCTTTTTGGCAGCAAAAAGAGGACTAAAGTCTAGCTTTAACCAGCTAAAGTTGTTTTGTCTCGATATTTTTTACGAGCTAGTTGGATTTTACTAAAACAATTATTCCTCTCGCCCTCATGGCCTCTGAGTCAATAGCCAATTCGGCCTTCGGCCTCATGGGCTATTGACTCAACAGCGCATTCGGGCTAGATGAATAATTGTTAAATACCTTATCTATCTGGCCCCGGTTGTTCAAACGTCGGATAGCGCTATCCACCGGATAAATCTCTATCCAGTGGATAGCGTAATTGGTTTCCATAATACTTATCCGCTGGATAGTGATTTATCCGGTGGATAGCGCTATCCAACGTTTGAACAACCGGGGCCTGGACGACCGCTACCGATATTTTTGGGCGGCCATGCATTTCAGTTTTGGAGGTGAGTCTCAAGATCTCCACTAAACTCATTCAAGGATGTACAAATCTTCAATATCTACTTCGTGAATCTGAGTATAAAGTCTAACAAATTCATTACTAACTTCTGTTTGTAGGTTACGTCCAGGAATTTCTAGAGTTTTCTCTCTATTGTCACTGCCATGTTAATTGACCTTAGCGAAACGGTTGCATTTAATGTATGGGCTGGTGTTCCGGGCAAACTCCGGGGATGGGGACTACTAAAAAAAAACTGAAAATCCCAGTCTTCTTGTCTTTACTATATATAGCGTTTGCTAAATTAAAATAATAAAGTCACAAAATGTGTGTGTTAGAAGTGCTTAAATTTATGACCCTCATGAATTTCTTAAAGGCAAATTTTATAATTAAAGGTGCCTTTTAGCAGCGAAGCTTCCTTTCATAGGCCATTATAGGAAGTACTCCGAAGGGACCGCACAATTTGTGACCACTGCCTGGAGATGGCTGTTGTATAGAGCTGCCTATTAGCATCCACAAAAGTGGCACTATACTTTCTAATAATCAACTGAAAATCTCACTCAAAGAGTTTCAGCCAGACGGTAGTCGACAAAATCAGTTAAGGCCCTTTACCCTTGACAGTCCCTTGTGGCTTTTTAATCACTTCAAAAGGGGAAAAGGAAGCTCCAACTCCCCCACACCCCCAAGGAATGTTATGCCACTGTACAAGCTACCTGTAAAAAAATCTTAACTTTGAAAGAAGGGGCTGGAGAGGTGAGAGGTGCAGAAAGTACCTTATCTGAGTACAGTGTCTCTTCAATTTTGTCACCGATTGTAGCTAAGCTCCCCTGCCGTTGCTTACCTACTTTGTACTGTAATGTATCACTACTTTTCTGCGTCAGTTATCTTATTGATATGTCTTGTGAGAAACTGTCCTTTCTTCGTAACTGGTTTCTACTAACATGTTGTCCAGTAGGCATAGAAAATAACGGAGCCGAAGCCTAGTGTAGAATTTCACGAATTATAGGTACCCTACTAAACATCGTCGATGAATTTAACTTCCATCAGCTACGCTGAGGTTCAGACTAGGATGTCGGCATCCTCTAGCCATTCGGTGGTTTCGGCTACACGAGCAGCTAAGCCGCCTGAAAAATTGGGTGGCGGCAGGGGTATTTTTGCAGAATGCCCAACGCTGTATGACTCTAAAGTTAAGTGATTACGGTTAGGAAACGGAGTGAATCAAGTTTCAGGTCAGTTTTCCAGTCTAATGACCCTAAATAAAACCTGATTCACTCAGTCTCCTAACCCTAATCACTAAACTTCAGAGTCATTCGGCGTCCCGCATTCGGCTTTCGGAGATTGCAGAACTTCAAATTACTCTGAAATTTAGTGATTAGCGTTAGGAAACTGATCATGAACGAATCAAGTTTCAGGTCTCTAGCTCAGTTTTCCGAGTATAATGACACTATATGGAACCTGACTCACTCGGTTTCCTAACCCTAATCACTAAACTCAGAGTCCTTCGGCGTTCTGCAAAATAACCCTGCCGGTTGGGTGGTTTGAAGAGTGGGCACAGGTAAATGCAGGTAGGGACACCGGCATTTATCGACATTTGGCGCAAATCATCTTGAGAGAGGATAGCGATCTTCCCCATCCAGTGCGAAGGCGATTGAGGTGTGTCCAGGTCTTGCAGCTTCTTGCGGCTTATATAGGTGGTTGACGAGGCCGATTGGAATTCATTAATGGATATTTCGTTTGTTGACATTTAAAATGAATAAAACGGTAAGGACATGGGTTGTGCTACCTGTTCTTTATTTGTGTTAATCGTATTTGCTTCCCTTTTTTGCAGTCTCTCCTCAACCCAAAATGTAGAACGGGTGGAAAATCCGCACACTGTTAAATATATTTCAATACTTACCAAGGTGGCTACAGGACAACAAGCTTTCAAAAACAGATGTTTTCGATTATGGAACCCAGAAGCCTGGAAGATTATTGAATCAACAAACAAACACGATGCTTAATGGTGGCGGAATAACGCTTTTTTTGTAAATCCAATTTAACCACATTTTTGTTCGCTTGAACTTCCATTCAGTATCCAAGTTTTCCTATCAATCAGTATCCAAGTTTTCCTATCAATCATAAAAGAAATAACCCACACCAAATTTTACTACGTGTTACTTAGGCAAGTGTTAGGACCAGCATCGTTAGAGCTCATAATCCCACAATACTATATTAGGAAAATCCAAAACGGTTTATCTGGACGGGATCCCAGTGCTCAGTTCACTATGGCAGGCAAAATATGCACCAGGTCTCGCAGAAAGCATTTCACAAAACCCTAGTGTTTCTAATAAAAGTTTTGAAAGAAGTAAGAACGTGTACATTCAAGGTAACCAAACTCAGCCTTATCCACATTATTGGGTTAAACACCAGAGAATTCAACTGAACATGTTAAATGGAATAATTATTTCACGAATCTCAACCTCAATAATTGAGCACGACAGGAAAAATGCTGCAACTCACAACGATTGCATTTTAAAGAAAGCAGAACTAGTCTTTACTTACTGAAATTCGTGTGTAGGATTCATTGAGTATCGCAATCAGCATGTTAAGAGCCACAAGAACCGCTACAATATTAAACAGGGCAAATAACGTCATTCCCGTTCTCCAGATGGCACCGTAGCCACTTTCTTCAATCCTAAAATCTTCAAAGTCAATTTCGCCGAAAAGCGACCAAAAGATCACGTTTGCACTGCCATACAACCTAAAGTAACAAGAAAAAATAATAAGCCGTTGCCATAAGATTACCCAAGAGTGGATTGCGATTAATTGAAATAGTATGTCGTTATGCTCAGTAAACGCACCGTTGCAGCTTTTCAGGATTTTCCTCTATTTCCCCCAGTGCGAAGTATTCTTTGGCCGCGTTGTACTGAATATAAAGCTTTGTGAAACTAGCAGCAAATGCCACAAAAATGAAAGCGAAATACAAAAAGAACTTTCCCACGTCAATAAGCATCTGTGAAAATGCACTGAGCAAAGGACCAACACTGGCGTTTACTTGAAAAAATGAGAAATTTTGGACAAAAGCAAAAAGGATTCCCAATGATAAAAAGCTTTCGGAAGACAACATGATCGTGTACGAGCGTTTTACGGCATTGTCCTCCAGCGTCATTGACCGGAATGCGTCTGGAAGAGTTGCATAGCCAATCCACCAAATGATGTGACCGACACAGAATAACACCACTGTGGCCACGATTAAGTAGTTCCAATGGTAAGACCAGAAGCGCGCTCTTCCTTTTTGGAGAACGTCCTTGATGATGTCTACCAATTGCCCGATGACAAACATAAGGATATACACATCTGTGAAAAGGAGACACAGGTAATATGAGGTCTTGAATCCCGCCCAATGCAAGGGAATCCCGATTCCGGATTCCGGGAAATGTTTGCTTGTCCCAAAAAATTCGTAAGAAAACTTTCCTTGTGAAATCCGAAATACAGCTCAAGGAATCCGGAATCCTCCCAATAACGACTGGAATCCAGAATCCAAGTTCCACCGACAAAAACTGGAATCTAGTACTTGGAATCCAGAATCCAAGGCTGTCTTAGATTCCCTTACATTGGGCGATGAATCGGCATTCACAGTGCAATTAAATCATACTATTCTCTCCCACGTCTCTTACCACTGAATGAGTAGCTGCCCAGAAAGTGACTTGTATTTGATGTGAAAGCCAGCAGAAACAGAAATGTTTGGTAGAATCCAAAGTACATAAGAACCTTCATTAAAGGAGAATGGAAAATTCTGGTCACTTTATGTTCGGGAAAAAAGCTCTCAAAAAAACACCAAATCACGGTAATCAACGGGTACAGCAAAGACGCCAGTAACGCCAACACCAACTGCTTCCAAAGACTTTTCACCTCCTGGAAAGGCATGTTTTTGTAGACCTCTGAATTTAAAACCAGCTGACTGTAGGGATGGGCGACGAACTGGAAGGTAAAACTCTGTGGTTAGTATACCTTTTTAAAAGGAAATTATTCCTTTTATCAAGTATTTAACTACTTACATTAATATAGCTGAGATTTTTCCTTTTCCAAAACTAAAACATATCAAATGGTTTTATCAACCGAGTTAATAAAGTAAATTAGCTACTGCCAAGGGACTGCAGCTTAAAAGCTGGGCATGACATTACGAACAATTGGCTACATTTTCGAGTTCTTCAGAGAGATTCGACGAGGCGCTGGCGCGCTGAGACGTTAACACCTTTGCCTGAGCCAACAGTGCCTCTCCTTGAGGGAGTTGACCGGCCGGCTGAGTGAGTCAAAGTGTAAATATGGGAAAAGTTGGCCCAGTTAGGGGATCACCCTTCTAACCGGGCCAACTTTTTGTTTGTAAACGGTTCGCCACCGTTTTGTAAGAAAATGTATGAAAATTTGGCTCACCCGGTGTAGCTCGGGTATGTGGGTGAGCTTCATCTACCTGGGAGCCAGATATTGGATCTCTTTCTGGTGGCCATTTTAAATTAGTTCATCAACTCAGCCGAAAGAAGCAAATTAAAGTAACTTACCCTTTAGGTTAAAACTTGTCCAGTCAAAACTCTGTTCTTCCTTTAAATTCTGTTATTTTTATGCCCAGTTTTTTTTTTCTCATCTTTCGGACAAACGTCTAGACGTTTGTATCGGCTTAAAGCAAGCAGTCTCCTGCCTCATCTCCTGAGCAGCACGCACATAATGCAAATGAAGTCATGCCAAAATAGCGCTCGTCTTTTTATCCGGGGTGCTTTTACATTACAATAGACATTCATGCAAATTGTGATTTACACAAATGTACTATCCATTTTTGGAAACGCTATTGTCTAAGAATCCTAACTTAAAGAAATACTTTAAAACGTACCTTTTTCGTTTTGGCATGGACGGCAAATTCCAGCACGTTTAGCGAAGCCGTCTCCAATTTAGAGAACATTTTGCTTTTACTCTTCGTTTCCAAAATGCATCTGATCTCTTGCATTGTGCAGCATTTGTTGAGGAGCGACATAGCAAACTCTTCACAGCCATCAGAAAGCTTAAGATATTCACTTTTAAACTCGTATTCTTGTTCGGCCATGTCACGGAGTTCCTTGCTCAAGCTACAAGCTCGAAGTACTGGATCTGACCCACGCTGCACGTCTTGCAGAAAAGACCCCGCGATAAACGAGTGGCTGGCCAGTGCGCGGTATTTATTTAAACGATATACGGCGGGGCCAAGCTTCAGGCAAGGCGCTTCATTGAATTCTGTCGACAATGGGACATTTTTGGGATCACCAATGGTGAACCCATGTTCAAGAAGAAGTTTGACAATTTGAAAGTCCTCCAAACACGCGGCTAGGGCAAGTGGTGTTGCATGGGCACCATGACCTGTGACAGAAAGGATTTTGTCTGGTGATGTTTGGGGTTGTCCATTACAAAATTGAAGCAGTACTTTCACTAGTCTGATTTCACCATCGCGTACTGCATTAATCAAAGCAAGCTGTAAGCTGGCCCCGTTTACCAGTAGTGCCTTGATAATCTCATCTCTGACGGTCTCATCTGTCAGATCTGCTGCTACTTGCAAAACAGTTTTACCAGAACTGTCCAGCCGGTTAAGGTCGTTGCTTTCTCTTGGGGAACTGAGTATTCGCCTAAATTCCTCTAAATCCTCGTTCTTTATAGCCTCGTATAGATTTGGTTGAAACTTGTCAATCGGTCGACAACCCTTAACCACTGGATATTCTGGCAGGAGAATATCTGATAGTTCCATTGGAAGCAATTCGCCAACAGAGCATACATTCACCTGTAATTCAATGAGTGGCCAAAATGATAATGAACTTGCACGATACCTGCGTTTGTATTGTCTGGTGCGTTTTTATTGTCTCGAGTGCCTTATTGCTTGGTGTGGATTTGTGCAGTTGAAAGTAGCAATGGTTTGGTGTTTTACATACATATGTTAACACACTGCTAAGGGATACTGTTCTAGATATCCAGAAAGTTGTATGAGAGATCGAGCCTTAACATGACGAATGACATTGGCAATGACAAAAAGCGGCAACATTATACAATGATATATAAAAATGATAAATATAGCCACTAAAGCAACATAGTACATCTTATGTTGTAGAAATAGGAATTGGGATAGCCTATACTTAATGCAATTTTGATTTTTTTTTTTTTTTTTAATTATTGAATATTTCAATTTCAAGCAAACAAATAAAGTTTCCATTATTATTAATATTCAGTATTATCTGTCTGTATTTGCTAAAACTTGGCTAAAAAAATTTCAAGTGCATTTTAACTTAACCATTTGACATCTAAGTCGAATGGAAAGCAGTTAAAAGTCACTAGCTGAGGCTTAACAATGACAAATATTAACGCAAAAATTAACACCTACACTTCCATGCGTAACATGCGGCTTAATAATAAAAAATGTAAAGATATGGTTAACAATTTTTTAAAGTATCAACCCACTGTAATAACACCGATTCAACTTAATGGCATAGTCATTGATAGAGTATCTAGTTATAAACTCTTGGGGGTTATTATCTCTAATGACGTCTCTTGGAACGAACCTTGTGACAGTATCCATAAAAAAGCTACTAAGCGATTGTTTGTGCTGCGGACCCTCAAGAGAGACTGGGCACTAACGATCTCGTGTTAGTCTACTGTAGTATTGTTAGATCCATTGTTGAGTACGCCTCGCCAGTTTGGGCTGCGATCCCTTTAAATCTGGACGAGTTAATTGAGTCTGTTCAGCGGAAAGCTCTCAAAATAATATTTGGCCGGGTAGACTATACGGAGGCCTTGGTCTTGGCCGGCCTGGAGTCCCTTAGTGAAAGGAGAGTAGGAGCTTGTAAGCGGTTTATGGCTACTGCACGCCAAATTTCCCCCCTTAAGAACATCATCCCCTCTCCTGCCGCTATTGAGTCTCATGACAGTATAAGGGTCCAACTTCCAAGACGTCAACATGGTCATACTAGAAGAATTAATGACTTTGTAACTTATAAAATGGGTGAAATAAACAGAATATCTATCTAACTATCTATCTATCTATCTATCTATCTATCTATCTATCTATCTATCTAACTTCATTGCTGGGGCAACAGACGGTAAATTTCTCTCGCAAGAGTGACAGGATTTTGCGATGAAAGAAACAACATTTGATACTTTCCGAAATTCACCTTTTGGTCAGTAAAACCATGAGGCCCATATATAGCTAAGTGTGTGCTGAAAACAGATTAAGAATCCACCATCTCTGAGCACAGGGTAAGCTTTCTAAGACAAAATCACCTAAACTAAACACTCACGAAGCGTTTTTAAGCCTGGCACAGAGAATTCTCGTAACACGAACTCAACCACATGCCTGAGTTTTGTCTGTCAACGCCTTCGGTAGATCACACAATAAATCACTTTCGCGGCAATTAGAACACTTATATGAAAAAAGATAATTGCAGTTATAGACTCAATTTTTGCATTTGCGAAAAGAAAGCCTGAAAAAATTTAGGCTTGTACGGAATTCGAACCCTTGACCTCTGCGATACCGGTGCAGCGCTCTACCAGTTGAGCTTAGTTGAATTGGTTCGTTATAAACCCGTGAAAGAATGATCATGTTATGAATAAGTGAAAATCATATAAGAGAACTGCGAGGTGAAGAATTATAAGAAAGGAGATCATCGCAGCTATAGACGCAACTTTTGCAGTTGCAAAAAGAAAGCCTGAATTTTTGTACTGGATTCGACTAAGTCTCGATCCTTGTCAGAAATCAGCAGCAATTTCGATCTCGCCGAATAGTTTTCACTCCTAGAACTTATTTTCTGTGGCCAAAGACTTTTTACTGCACTGCCAAAAACAAAGCTCACAATATCAAGTCTTTCCATCTAAAGCCTGGAATCAGTCTTCCCCCGTGTTGCCAAATGAGACTAATTACGAGTAGATATTAGACGCAGCAGACTTTGCCAATCGTGAGAATTGTTCCTTGCAAAACGCTTGATGATGCCTTCCGGAATACTCGCTCAGGGCAGCCAAAAAAAACTCTTAAGACAACCTACTACGAGAGCCGAGTTCAGTATAATACGCGCGCTGGTTTCAAACAGGCGTACAGAGAGAATTTAGATGATAATCTGACCTGGAAACCTCACATATCTCTATTAGCCAGTAAATTATCAAAATCCATAGCAATCATTCATAAATCTAGGTTTTTTCTCTCAACACAATCTCTCCGTACCTTGCACAGTTCAATGATACTTCCATACTTATACTATTGCAATCTAGCTTCGGGTGGCACCTATAAAGCGAACCTTTAAAGAATTGTAATCTTACAGAAACGCGCCCCAAGAATAGTGAACAACTCTACCTACGATGCCAACACTAGTTTCATGATGTCCAGTCGTTTCAATTAGGTTTTTTTATGTTTTCACTCAAGAACTGTACACTCCCTTCCAAATCCTAAATAATTATAATAAACAGTCAAATCCATACTTTTAATACTCATTTCGCTTTCAACTATGCAGAACGAACACCAGACAGTTCTCAATTTTTTTCCAAGGTCCAAAGTTTTATAATTCGCTGTATTCTACTATAACTGGTTCGTCCTCTTCCGCTTCTTTTAAAAGAAAGCTTAAAGAATTCCTTCTTCCAATAGTATAGCCTCCCACGCAGACGTTCTTAGGGGTTCGTCAAGCGTTCCTGCCCCACGAAAAACACTACCTACAAAACAATAACGTGTGAAAAAAAATTCTGCCTTTTGTTCAGTCTTACAAGGTAACCCCGCCGTTGCATCACCCAAAGAACACCTTTATGAGCAAATAACATCTAATCCAGCCTTTAAAGAGAGAAATATACAAAAAGCAAACGCTTATCTCCTATATTCTCGTCAGGAGCAAAAATCTTTGGTCACGTATCACACTCTACAGAGCTTGTACGCACGTGTTTGGCTTGTCAACACTTTGACTACAACAGCGCCGATTGGATCTCCGATAATCTGCATGTGATCGCCGGCCGATATTTGCGAACAATGGGAAAGGAATTTATCTTTTAGTCCAGCAGGCGTTCGTGGGGCAGGAACGCGTGACGAACCCCCATAAGAACGTCAGCGTGGGAAGCTATTCTTAGTACATATTAGCTTCAGTATGGCCCTAATTAGATTATTGGATTAATTCAATTAACATGTGTGTGTGTCTGAGTCCGCGGTCAAGGTTAGCCATCTTTAATAAGCCCATATTGTAATTATTATATCAAGATTAGTTTATCTTAAGTTGAGGAGACCTGAATCATTATAAGCCTCGTGGTTTCTTTCAGGTCTCCTCGCCAATTACTTTTTCTTTAATCTCATATTATTTCCATCTTGCGTTGTAAAACTTTGTATATATGGCAAAATAAAGAATGAATGAATGAATGAATGAATAAATGAATAAATGAATGAATGAATGAATGAATGAATGATGGGATGTTATGAAAAGCGTATTTTAGGGGGGGGTTGGTTAATACCCAGTGAGAAACTCATGATATACCTATTTAGTAAACATTCGATAGAAATAAATAAATAGAGTAACAATGAAAAAAAAACGTGCTCTATAAGAGTCGGTAAAGGTGTATGAGAGAAATTTCTGTAGCCATGTTTAAGTATTAAAAATACAGTCAGATATATAGAGTACTTATTAACATGAAATTTGTAGAAAACGTTCAACCATTTTGCAATTTAATGAGATGAAATGATATTCAACATAAATTCTACAGACACCTGCATAGAGAAGTATTCACCCTGAAATGACCAAAAACCCTTGACTTATCGAGTCTTTATCTTAAGAGAAAGTCGAATTAAATTAATTAACCAAAAAAACAGCAAAAAACGACAAGTAACTATGGCAAAGAATAAAATAAGTCAAAATAAATTTTCACTAATTCGCAATTCTGTATGATACTATTGTCAGTTCCCATTATATCCGCGTTGTGGACGAATTAAGTGAAACTCTTCTTCTTTCTTTTTGTGGGATTTTAAATGAGAAAAATTCTAGCTTTAGCGGTAAGAGTTTCTGAGCAACTGAGAAACTTGAATGCAAAATCCGAGGTGTGAGCGACCTACATGTCAAATAGTTTTGAACGAGTTGAAAGTTTGAATGATAAAAGTTAATTTAGGATTTAAAATAAAAGAAGGACGCATTTTTTATAAAAACAGCTTTGAAAGCGATTCAGGGCCAATTCTAGCTCATCCAAGGTTTCCGTCCGCAAATATTCAACATACCATTGCGTTGAATTTATTGATTGTTCAATAGTACTGTTTTGAAGTATTGTTTTCAAAGCTCAACGATGAGATTTAAGTTTCCTTCAGTTAGATATTCCTACCCTAGATTAAAGTAAACTCTCCCTTAAGCACTCGTTGCAGCCAATTAATTTTGATCATCGAAATACCGAAATTCATTCAGTAAACTTGATATAATAAGAGCAACAGTACCTTCTGATCCCTAGTTAACGAACCTTCTTTTTCCGACCACATGGAGAACAACGCCGCAGAATTGAATTAATTGTAAACGGCACAAGAACTCTCCAAGGTTGGTCCCATCTATCTGACACCTTACTTCTCACCAAAACTAGTCGGGGATAAGTCCCTGAGAAAATTAAGGGGGTGCCCGTTATTTTAAGGGGGTAAAATTTTCCAACCGTTTAGGCTCAGGTAACCTGCTCACTGGTCTTTCAACTTCTCATTGGGGATTCTTGGAGAGCAAATGAAAATGAAAATAAAAGCCGCGGGGGATTAATTATCTGCTGGCAAAAAACACGTCTTGTGGACAATCCATTGCTAAGGGCGCATGCCAAAATCTAAAACGACTTCCGTTTCAGTGGTCGCAGTACATTTTAGGGGCCTACAAAGTGTATCAAGTGCGACAAGCCGAGAAATGACAAATTCTTATATACTCAACTGAAGTTCAGCAAGGCTAGATTTTGGTACCCTTAAGGGATGCTGTCAAACTTTTCGACGGGCTCCATCGTCATGTTTACAGAAGGAAATTCTTAGGATCGGTTTCAAGCTCCAAGGAAACGACTTTAATTAAGTGCGTTCTTGGTTGGAAATTAATCGTGCTCTTTTCCTCTCAAAAAACTTGCCTGTCTAAATGCCAGACAGAATGGATTGGAGCGGCCTTCAAGTTTTCAAGCAAAACATCTTCATATTTTCTCCGAGGATAAGAACATTTTTCGGCTGCTTATAAAGGTGATGTTGCACGGGACGATTCGCAACGACAATTTTTAGCGCAAAACAGCATTACAACATTGTTGCGACATTGATTCAAATGGTAGCAACATTGTTCCAACATTGGAATGGTGTGTTGCGCAAAAAATCGTTGTTGCGAATTGTGCCGTGTAATATCACCTTAAGGGTCACAATCGTAGTGTTCTATGGCTGTTTTAATGCTACGGCTAATTTCCTGGAGAACATCACGTGGTCTGTATTGGGAAAACAAAACATACAAGCTAAAAAGGTCCATTGTTTGAGAAATCGTTGGGGAGTAGAAGTCAGTGATTAGTAAGTCCCTAGAATTTTCAAAACAAATTTCTCGTAGGCGGGACGAGCCGAAGACTCCCGGTTCTTCGGGGAAAATATCTCCAGAACCACATAATTCTTTTAAAACTAAACCAACAGCCAATCGTGTTAACACTAAGAATTGCTCAAAACATTGCTCTGAATTCGAATGATTTATTCGTTCATATTTTCGGATTATTTTTCCCTAGTTTCTGCTCAAACTCATGCTGCATTTGTTTCAATGTATTCCATTGTATCCTCATCGCTTTATGCTGTTACGATGTGTGAGTATTTTTTCGTATTATGGATGCAGGGTTTCCCAAAAACGGCCAATCAAAGAGCAGGAACCTCCCCGGGCTGCGTTCGTGCATGTGCAGGCTAAAGAAATTGTCAGCTTGTCGCCAACAGAGCTGGAAACCGTTAGTTTTAGGTTACACTACGCGCCGGCAAGAAAACTATATATTGGTGCTATTGAATTGTTCTCTTCTATCCCTAGGAATAAACAAATGAAGGACCTTTTCCGCCATATTGAATTTTCACTACGTCACGTTGTTGCAGTCGAGCAAATAGTCATTTTTCGCCAGTGAAACTCGACAGTGGAATCCACCCTTTAGCATGTACACAACCATACCACCCAGGCACAGCTCGATACCCTCATTAGGCCTTAGTCGTTTATAGGTCCCTCTGAGTTTAGGTGCCTTTGAAGTGACTCAAAACAGTTTCTATAGAACTGATTTATCCCTTCATTGTGTATTTTAACATCTTTATCATGAGGAGGTGTGCAACCAATAAGCTTGTAAAGAAAAACGTGCCAGGATATGTTAAAAAAAGAGTTTAATAGAAATTTGTTATGTGACCTTAAATAAGTGCTGCGCCTGCGTACTTAGGAATGTGAGAGGAATGTGCAATGTGCACGGATGTTTGACGCCAACATTCTTTGAGGAATTAAATTCAAAGAACGAACTTTGTTCTGATTAAATACCTTTGAAGGCTATAAAAAAAATGATCGAGCCTACATTTTTCGCTGTTACGATTTCAACTGAACTAAAAAATCAATTTAAGGTGGCTCCGTAATTAATACAAGAGCATTTAGCTGTGACAAATTTTCCGTCACAACTTTTTCGATTTTAACGCGATGGCTGCGAAACTTTGCAAAGAACAACAGATATCATTCGGCAATAATACGAAATATTCCGATTTCATTGACGGTAAATATCCCTTGAGAAATTAGCGCTTAAAAGGACCCTACTGTTCAAAGAAAATCGCATCTAATAAAAAATTTTGCTGATATTTTTCACTGAAATTTCTGGTATCGGCTTTAATTGATATAATAAATATGCCAGAGGAATTTCAGAAAAATCGTTGGAGCAGAAGTCCGTAACTAAAAGTCGCTCAAAATTCTGCTGTGAGATTGTTTTGGAATTTCAAAAATAAATTACTATCAGGAAGAAGGAGATACCAGTTTCAATTTTCGAGACAAGTAAATTCAGTGTTTGTTAATTCTGAAAACAGAAGCCGATTGCCTATCGCGCTATTCTTTAAAAGGTACTTTTCAGTTTTAGAAGCACTATAAATTGCTCCAAAACTTTGCTCTGACGTCGAATGACTTGTTGTCCTTGTTCCTCGACATTTTTAAAATATCCCTTGGCAGTTTTGGTTCAAACTCCTGCTGCACACATTTTGATATATTGCAATGCATCCTCAACGGCTTTTCCTGCTGTACGTTGTTTCCGATTCAGGAAAAAGGTATTGGGATTGTAAGCTACCTTGTATCGAAGCTCAGATAGAACTGTCCAGCACCTTTGTTTATGACCAGAAAATGAGCACGAGCGGCACTTCTGCGAGGAATTCGCACCTCAGCCAGGGGGGACGAATGACAATGATGCCCATGTCTGTGAACCGATCTGTATAAACATGTATTGCAGAGCAAAACATAATAATCAAGAAAAAAATACCCATTCATTGAAGGAAGGAGTGACAAAAATTTCAGAGTTGTAAATTTATTCACTGGCAGTATTTTTGCGATAATTCTATTTTGGATTGTGATGTTATTCGGTTCACAGGCATGGTCATCATTGTCGTTCGTCCCCCCTGGGTGAGGTGCGAATTCCTCGCAGAACTGCCGCTCGTGCTCATTTTGTAGTCATAAACAAAGGTGCTGGACAGTTCTATCTGAGCTCTGGTACGAGGTAGCGTCCAATCTCAATACTTTTTTCCTGAGTTGGAAGCAACGAACAGCAGTAAAAGTCGTTGAAAATGCATTGCAATACATCAAAATGTATGCAGCAGGAGTTTGAACCAAAACTGCCATGGGATATTTTAAAAATGTCGAAGAACAAGTAATTCTACCTCAGAGCAAGGTTTGGAGCAATTTATAGTGCTTCTACAACTAAACAGTACCTTTTAAACAATAGCACGACAGGCAATCGGCTTTTGTTTTAAGAATTAGCAAACGTTGAATTTACTTGTCTCGAAAATTCAAACTGGTGGCTCCTTCTACCCGATAGTAATTTATTTTTGAAATTCCAAAACAATTTCACAGCTGAATTTTGAGCGACTTTTAGTTACGGACTTCTGCTCCAACGATTTTTCTGAAATTCCTCTAGCATATTTATTATATCAATTAAAGCCGATACCAGAAATTTCAGTAAAAAATATCAGCAAAATTTTTTACTAGACGCGATTTTCTTTGAACAGTAGGGTCCTTTTAAGCGCTAATTTCTCAAGGAATATTTACCATCAATGAAATCGGAATACTTCGTATTATTGCCGAATGATATCTGTTGTTCTTTGCAAAGTTTCGCAGCCATCGCGTTAAAATCGAAAAAGTTATGACGGAAAATTTGTCACAGCTAAATGCTCTTGTATTAATTACGGAGCCACCTTAAAAAAAAATCATATTATTGTAGTTTAGCCTGATGGTAAAACAATGAATAAATAAACAAAATAATATTATCTAGTGGTAACATATCCACGAAAAAGCTCTTCGTCTAGCACTGAAATCGGAGAAATTTGGGTTTTGAGGAGAGGGGAAAACCAGTCAGAGTACCCGGAGAAATATCTCTCGGTTCGAAGCAAGGAAAAGAACCAACAACAAACTCAACCCATGTTTGGTGACCGACATACAGCAACAGCAAACTCAACCCATGTTTGGTGACCCACATAAAACAACAACAATCTCAACCCATGTTTGGTGATCCACACATAACAACAGCAAACTCAACCCATGTTTGGTGACCGACATACAGCAACAGCAAACTCAACCCATGTTTGGTGACCCACATAAAACAACAACAATCTCAACCCATGTTTGGTGATCCACACATAACAACAGCAAACTCAACCCATGTTTGGTGACCGACATACAGCAACAGCAAACTCAACCCATGTTTGGTGACCCACATAAAACAACAACAATCTCAACCCATGTTTGGTGATCCACACATAACAACAGCAAACTCAACCCATGTTTGGTGACCGACATACAGCAACAGCAAACTCAACCCATGTTTGGTGACCCACATAAAACAACAACAATCTCAACCCATGTTTGGTGATCCACACATAACAACAACAAACTCAACCCATGTTTGGTGACCCACACATAACAACAACAGCAAAGTCAACCCATTTATGGTAAACTTGATCAAGGCTACAGTTTGGTTCCTCCTTTTCTCTTTATCACTAGCTTAGATGTATCCATAGTTTCAATCTCCTTTGGCATTTGGTCTGTGTTCATATTGTGTCTCAAGGGAGCTTTGTTGTCGTTCTCATCCTCCAAGTCCCTTCTCTTGTTTTCGGTCTCAGAATAACGGGATTTCTTGGCCAAGTATCTCAAGCAAAGATGTCTTAACACTTCTCTCCTCTAACAAAAAAGAAAAAAAGAAACCTTTAACATTTTAATGCTTGTTTGAATTACTACTTTTCAGCTTTTTTCTTGAACATAAACTACCTGTGATTTTTTTCCTTTTTCCAATTATTTGCAATCTCTTAAATTGCTATCACAACTGCGACGATCATATCTACGTTTAAATTTGTATTTCCGAAGTTCACATCAATCTTCATTCCAAGAAAAGATCGTGTTTTGCCGGTTCAAGAATGATACCAATCCCCGCCGTATTTATTTCATTTTAAGTCGTTGTGTCTCTGCTAAATCGGTGCTTTGTTAGAGAAAATTTGCACACTTTTTTTGCTTCAAAGTTACGTGACTATCTTGGTAAAAATAACAGTTTTGATACCTCCTGCTCGTCCATCCTTTTAATTTTCAATGTCGTCCCAGGCTTCTTTTTTATCATCTTCTTGAAAAATAGCTAAATCGTTAAAGAAAGTTGTTTGAGTCGTAGACCAGAGTTAAATAGATGACACAGTGTAAGCAATGAGTTAATTAAATAAATCTATAAACATAGTTCCAGTTGTGGTAAAAATGTTTTTATCCAGTCCTGTCGTTAGAAAAGCCTTACTAACCAAAATAGCAGCAGGAATGCACATTGTGAGTAAACGTTTAATGATCCACCGTACGGGAAGAAGCACGTACAGGATGTTAAATGGCGGTGGAAGAACACCTTTCTTGTAAATCCAATTTAGCCACAGCTTTGTTCTTGTAAACTTCCACTCGGTGTCCAAGTTTTGCTGTAAACCATTTAAAAATCATATCAGTAAGATCACCTTATCAATTATTCCTCGATGTCCAGAACCATGCATACCACGGAGTCATTTAGAACAAAGTGTTAAATTTATATTTCGAATCGGAACGGAGTCGCATTCCTGCCAAGCCTCGACTTATTTATTTACAGCGGTTACCAGTAACACACGTCCTCAAAGGTTTTTTTCTTCGGTGCAAACCTGCGGTTTGGTGGACGTCAATCAACCGTTACCATGGTTTTCACGTGTTGGCCAATAGAACATTCTTTCCCCGTTTCTCGAGCACTCGGAGGAACATGTCGGCCTTTTAAACCGTTTTTGCAATATTTTGCCACAGGACCTGACAGCGATTCATGTCAAGATTACGAGGAGTACGAATTTGTCGAGTGTTTGTCGGAGAAAAGTCAAATTATCGACTTATTTACACACTATAAGTTACAACCACATAAGCTTTCTCAATACACGCTCGCAACTCGAAATCATCATTCGAAATTATTCTTGTAAGTCTTCGCCCTTCATTCAGCGACAAGGGAACCCTCTCTGTCAGGGCGCGTAAGAAAACCATGGAAACAGTTGATTGACGTCCAAGAAAACTCAGGTTTCAACAGACAGAAAAAAACCCTTGGAGGGCGCGTGTTAGTGGTAACCGCTGTAACCAAGCGATAGCCCATGTTCGATATATCAAAATTCTAACATGACTTCGAGGCTTTCTGGTCATATTTCTATATTTGGTATTGGTTTCAGGTGCTTAAGTCTCCTATGGGAATACGAGACAATGGACTCAGTGCAATTTTGTCGTTAGGCCTCGGAGTCAAGTTAGCATTTTGACATACATGTATCGAAAGTGGGCTATTGAGATCGCTTGTAAGGATATGCTGAAGAGTTTGTTCATTAAGTACCCTACAATTTCTGCATAATTTAAATATCACAAAGCATCTTTTCTGAGGTTATATGCAATTCAGTTAAACCTAAAATAAAGTGTGGCTGAGTGAAGAAATCAAAAGGTCATTGAGCATGCGCACATCGGGATACGAAGGCGTGTTTTCTTTAAGTAAAAAATCACTGGTCTGGTTTACCAGTTCTACAAGTTACTGAGCGATTTGATTCATTTTATTTTGTTTTCTTTTTTGGGGTGATATAGTATTTGTCCACATTACAAAGATGTCTGTGGTGTAGAGGCTAGGGTTAATTGTCTGGTCTGAAGTTTTGGATGTTTGGGACTAAGAGAAGTGACTGTATTATGCAAAATGTCCATTTGGAGTTGCTCGAATGTATGATGAATCTCTATCCGGAAAGGTTTGCCATTTATCGGAATTTGCCACTTACCGGTAAAGTGGTGCACTAATCTGCTAGTACTGGGTATCAGTTCGACCTTTAGCCTGAGAAATCAACCGACATTTCGGAACGCCACCCCTGCTTTCCCCGCTAAATGACGTCTGAGAAACGAGTGCAGAAATTCCATATTGATGACGTGTCACTACCCAGATCTGGGTAGTGCTTCTGATTGGTTGAAGCAAATTTACCAGGCGGCATGATCAATCAGAAGTACTACCCCGATGTGGGTAGAGACGTGTCATCAGTATGGAATTTCTCCGCTCGTTTAACTACAGAGCGGAAGGTCGTCGGTTCGATTCCTAGAACCCGACCAATAATCAGGATCTTAAAATAACTGAGAAATGAAGTTAGTGCCTTTGCCCTGCAAACAGTTACACCCTCGCATGCCTCGAATGATCATTACCACATAAAATGGCAGTCCCAGTTCTCTAGTAGCAGACGTAAAAATAATGCACCCAATTAGTACTTTCGAGCTTAATATATTGACACTCAAGTAAAGTGCATTTTCTTTTTCTCAGACGTCATTTGTAAAATTGAAAATTGTAATTTGTTTACCAAGGGAGCACTTACGAGTTCATATGAACTCGTTTAAACGTGTCCGTGCGTTCCAGATCGAATAGGAATTTGGAAGTGTTGGTTTTGAGGAGAGGGGAAAACCGGAGTAACCGGAGAAAAACCTCTCGAAGCAATGGAGAGAACCAACAACAAACTCAACCCACGTATGGCTTCTACGCCGGGATTTGAACCCGGGCCACATTGGTGGGAGGGGAGTGTTCTCACCACTACACCACCCTTGCTCCTCCACGCATGCGCAGGGAAACCAGTTCTGGCTTCGCGAAATATCGGCTGTTTTCTCAGGCCATTTGAACCTGAGCTACTTTCAAAAGGGAACTGATTTGGATACTAACCGTTACACTCGTATAGCGCTGGTTGAGTATTGCAATCAGCATATTAAGAGCCACAAGGACAGCCACAATGTTGAACGCACCAAACAAGGTCATCCCTGTTTTCCATATAGCACCGTAACCTGACTCGTTGATTTTAAAACTACTCTCGTCTATTTGACCAAACAGCGTCCAAAAGATCGTGTTCATACTGCTTCCAAATCTACAGGTGAAAAAAGTGCGAAGTATAAAAAATCTTAAATGGCCACGGTAAATTTCAAAACTTATGTCTTCAATCCTGGACAAAAGTCGTTGGGACAGTGATGCAGGCTTCATAATTTTCTTTTATTTCTAGGTGCATCTTTTTCAAAGTTTTCTAGCAGTTCTCTCTCGCTATCCTATACAGTTTTGAAACTTGGCCAGTATACGCGTCCAACGTTTTTTGTGAGGTTGAGGGAGGAGTTGGGCATGTGGAGTTGAAAAAAGCCCTACAAAAGCTAATGTGTCCCAAGACTTTTGCCCATCATTGTAGTGATGTAGTGTGTGTCAAGTCAACTACATAGTCTGTAGTGTTACAATTTAAAAGGTAACCCAAAAACAAATTCCATTTTTCCATACCTTTGCAAGATTCACACACTCCTATCAGATCATTTTTAAATCATTTTTTTGGTGAAGTGTGATTTAGACAAAGCACATACATTTAATGGTCACGACAAGGGGACGGAGAGTTATACATCGATCATACCTTTCTAGGTTCAGAGGAATTGTTTGATTTGCTCCACCCTGGCTCTGAAGAAAATATTCTCTAGCTTTCTGATACTGCAAGTACAATTTAGTGAAGCTCACAGCAAATGCCAGAAAAACAAAAACGAAATATAAAAAAAACTTGGCCACATCTATTAGCATTTGAATGAATGCATGTAGCAGGGGACCGGTGCTGGAGCTCGCTTGAATGAATGAGAAGTTACGGGTAAAGGCTATAAGGATTCCAAGAGCCATAAAGCTTTCGGAAGTTAACAGAACAGAGTAAGACCGGTTTTCGGCGTGTTTCGACCATTCAGCAGAATGTAGTGTGTTATCCAGGGCCACTCGGCTCGTCCACCAAATGATGTAGTGAATAACAAATAGCGTAGTTGACACCACAGCCAGAAAGTTCCAGTAGTAAGAAAAGAAGCGAGATCTTCCTTGTTGGAGAATGTCTTTAACAATGTCTACGAGGTAACCGATGACAAATACAAAAACTGCCCAATCTAAAGGATACAATATAGAAAACCAAAAGAAAAAAAAGAACAATATAATCAAACAATCTTTTTACTTTCTACTAATGTGACATTTTTAGATTCGCAAACAAAGTTGTAAGCAACATTTCGATCTTATCAAGAGTTCTTCTTAGCTCTGAGGCTAAGGTGCCAAATCACACAATGTTACCGTGTTTGAACGAACGATTTAGTCATTCGCCAATTTAAGGCGAGATTCCTCCCTCAAGAAACAGTTCAAAAGAAAAATAGATGAGGGCCTACAGGTTTCTTCAGTTCTGCTTAACTGTACAAACTGTTTATTTTGCGGTTACAATAAATTGTTAATTTCAATTTGAACAACTAGTTGTTGCAAAGAAGCCTTGGTACAAGCTTATTACCAAATTTTGTCTAAAAATGTTAGATTTCGATTATTGCATTCAAACCATACTACAGTTATTCTCCTCTTTTTCTCTTACCAACAATGGTGTACCCAAGAAAGGCAGAGTGGAATGATGTGACAGCCAGTAGGACAAGAAACGTTTGGTGAGAACCACAGAAGATGAGGAACTTTGCACAGGGGGAATGGAACATTCTGGACACTTCATGTCTTGGAAAGCAGCTTTCAAAAGCAAGCCAAACTATAAACACCAACGGATACAGCACGGTTGTAAGAAGTATTAGCACAGCTTGTTTCAAGGCACTTTTCTCCAGGAACGGAACATTTCTGTAGACTTCCGTGTTTAAAATCAGCTGGCTGAAAGGATGACTGACAAACTGCAATATGAAAAAAAAATTGTCGTAAAACTGCCGACAGTAGCTCTAATTGCCGCGATATATGGGTTGCGTTGGCCGTTAAACTTTTAAATCTTCGTAGGCTATTCATCATAACTAACATTTGTAACAGGCCGTAATGATGATGACATTGATGTAGTCGGCAGGATACACAATGTGCTGCCTCGAGTATCAAAAGTAAATCAAAGAGAGGCATATTGAAACCTGTGTGTACAGACTCACTACAAGACTTTTCCTACTGGATGAGCCAATCACGAGAGTAAAACTCATCTAACCGGATAATGAAGTGACGAACGTATTACGGTAAAAAAAGGAATGTCTCTCATACCTTTCTATTTGTTGTAGAAATAGCAAATTCTAGCATATTTAAGGCATTTTCCTCGGAATTTGGGGGCAATTCTCCTTTGTTTTTTGTCTGCATCACGCATCTTATTTCTTCCATTGTGCGACATTCATTCAAGAGTCCGACAGCGAATCCTTCACAGCCATCACTAAGCTCAATATACTCACTACTGAACTCGTATTCTTGCTCAGCTGTGTCCCGAAGCTCTTTGCTCATTGCGCACGCGCGGTGAATGGGGTCCGGACCACTCTGTACGTTCTGAAGAAATGACGCGCCTATAAACATGGGGCTAGCAAGAGCGCGGTATCTGTTTAAACGATACACAGATGGGCCAAACTTCTCGCCAGCTGTTTCGTTAGAACGTTTTGAACACCAGATATTATTTGGGTCGCTTATGGTGAATCCATGATCCAACAGCAGCTTGATAAGATGAAAATCCTGCAAACAGGCCGCAAGGATCAGAGGGGTTACGTAAGCGGTTTCACCTTGAAAGGAAAAGGCACGCGATGAGGGCTTCGAGTGGCTAGCATTGAACTGAAGCAGAATCCGCACGGTTTTTGTGTCGCCATCATGCACCGCTTGTAGCAAACCAACCTCTAAGCTAGCCCCGCCATTCAATAAGACTCTAGCCATGTGGGTTCGAACGGAAACATCCTTTATGTCTGCTGCCACTTGTAAAGCGGTTTTACCCGAATCGTATAGACGATCAAGGTCGTATTTTTCCTGAAAGGAGCATAAAATGCCCCTTACTTTATCTAAATCTCCCTTCTTTATCGCGCTGAATAGCTTATGTTTTGCTTTGTCAACGGATGGATGAATGCTATCCACTTGTAGCTCTTGCAGAAAAATATCTTTCACATCCATCGCCATTTATTAGTTATACCGTACAGCGGTACAAAGGCAACAGTAGACCACCCGGTTCTGTTGAATATATTTTCATTTAGCCGATAACATCTGATAGAATCTAAAATATAGATAAATTTGTCAGTTTAAATGTCAATACTGCGTAACTAAATAGTAATGAACTTGTTTGTATACAAGTTTACCTAATCTTTTGGTTATTATTTACATAATAACCAAAAGACGCAAGCAAACGTGCCGGTCGAAAAGTATCCGGTCGATGATATAAACAAGGAGGGCTTTACCACCGTAATCAAGAAAAGAAAAACATTTTGTCAAAATTTAGAAAAACACGATACCCCATACTTGCCGTACTAAAAAAAATACAACTTTGGAGAACTATATATAGCTTTTTAGGTAATAGAAATGAAAACAAACCTAACGACAAACTTACACTTTGTAGCACGACGTTTAACAGTTTGCCTGTTTTCTGGCAGATATCGAACTTGAAAGTGTGCATTCAATGTTTTCATTCTAATTATTGAGCAACTTTTAGAAACATTACGAAAATATCAATAATTCATGGAGAAATGCAAAACAAACCCATTTTCAATAATTGTCGTAAATCTGACAAGAAAATAATTTACTAGCCATTTTGTGACTTTAAGGTTAATCCAAAACCTTCACAGTATACACAGTGAACAAATTAGAGACCCCTTGTAAACTCGCTGTTCGAGTTTTTTTAAGTCGGGTATATTATAAACCAGTGATTGTAAATTTTGGTCATTATTTTTAAAAGATATTAATAAATTAACAGATTTGCAGGGAACAATTAATTTAAAACGTTATCCCCAAAGGATAAAACAGGTCTTCGCTGCGGGAAAAAAAACAAAGAGAACCAAGCTATTGTTACCGCTCATCGCACTCGATAGAGAAACTTATAGATAATTTCCCTTCCCTACTCTAGTATGTAAATTTTAGTTTCACGTGACGCTGTTGTATCATTAAAAACCCACGACTGAGAACCTGGTGTTAAGAACCTGTTAGGCTAAAGTTAGGCCCCATCTGCAAAAGAACCTGTTTAGCCTAAAATTTGAAGCAGGTTCTTATTTTCTAAAATCTATAAAAAAAAATTCTGCACACTTGGGCAAAACAACTTCAAAGTTCAGTGCTTCCGGCTTTCTTGTCATAGTCATTTTTACCGAAAATACTAATTTGGTATGAAGGTTAAATTTATATAATGATTAAGTTGAATACCACTAAATACTTATAGCTACCATGCTTTTTTTTTTTTTCAGAAATAAGAACCTATATTGTGCTAATTACCATTTATATAAGAACCTGTTTAGGCTAGCTTGGGAAATCGCGGGTTTTTACCGTAGTCGCTCGAAGTTTGCTAGTCGAAGCATTTTCGGTCTGTACATAAAAATGCATGTACATCGTAAAGTTGAGTTAAATCCTGTGCTTCTTTGCTTTCTTAACAGCTACAGAGCATTTTCACAAGGCGTTACGTGCGCCATATTGTTTTTCTAGAACTATCAATAAAGTGCGGCGATGTTGGTGTTCCAAACCATTCCTGTGGGAGTTTAACCTTTTTTATGTAAAACCTTTACTTTGTCCTAATAAAAATAGGCCATTTCTGAGTTCATAAAACTCTCAGTTTTAAATAGAGACTACGTGCCTTTCTCAGGATAAAGAGTTTTACAGTATTTGCATGAGAAGAAAAATTCACTTTTATATTAATGGCTTCGCACATCGAAACGGAGGCTTAGGGCAAGTCGAAACTAGCCTATTTGCATAGCTGCTGACCACATAAGTGAAAATGATCTATACACAAGGGCTGATCTAGGGGGGAGGGTACAGGGGTGCACGCCCCCCCCCGCCTCCCCTCCCCCCAAAAAAACGATAAGCCTACGTTTTCACCCCCGCCTCGCTTCGGGATCGTTTTCGAAAACATGCGTTTTCTGATGGCCGAAAACGCCGTTTGCTTGTGGACAGGGGGCTAAAACTAAATCTAAAACTAATCTCCGTTTTCAAAGATATCCGAATATGCGCCATCTGCAGCCCATTTAGAACGATACAGGAAAGCGTTGGAAAATTGCGATGAATATTTTATTTCACTTGCGAAAAATTGTAGCAAGCAGTTACGTTCAGTTTTAATCATGTCTGCTTTTCAGATAACGAGAAATTTCAAGAAAACTGATCATTTTCTGGTGAAAAACAGATGAAGTATTGCCTCCATTCCGAGAAAGGTTGTCAGTAAGAAACGTTTCAAACCATGAACAAAGGTCCAAGTCTTTTTACTGCCGGTGGAGAGGTCGCGGATCTTTTATTCAGATTACTTGACCATATGCTGCGCTACGTTTCGGCATTGTATAAAAATACGCTTTTACCATTTGATATGATAACCTTTCTCACAGTCAGTTGGAAATATGGCAGAGATTAACATTCCTACACTCGATCTGAAACCGGGAAAGGCGGTACAATAGTAGCCTGTGTACAGGCGTCCCCCCCATCTGTATACAAGCTATACAACAGAAATCTTCTATTTCATTTTTCTCATGATTTGTTTAATAGATTCTTGTTTTACGTACAAATGAGGCATTAACTATGTGCGGATCTCAACGGCAAGTTTTAAGAGAAGGAAAAGACTGCACACCGCTATGTTTTACATTTGATTGAAGAAATCAAGCCCTTTCTATGTACGATAAAAGAGTTTTTTGATATAGAGTATGAAAATTGAATATCCCTTATATTAATCTTCCCTTAAACTAATCTTTAATTTTTATGGTTTTCGGTAGAATCAACGCAAGCAGTTTTGGGTAAATAACACTTCTACGTTGTGCACTAAAGTAAACTTAAATAACGAGTCACTGAAAACACAAGCAAAACTTTTAATCGCACACGAGTTTTCCCAGCAGCCTTCAGCCAATCAAGAGAGTGTGCATGTAACCGCTTAGAGCTGTCACTGTCCTTTCTCTTGATCAAAATTTCACTGAAATTTACCCCAGTAACTCGAATTCTGGTTCTTGTAACTCCACTCGGATGCCATTTCATTAGCTCTTCTTGTTGTATAATCGGTAAACCCACTAAAAGTAACACTAGAGCAATTAGATTTTGATTGGTGCAATGAACGGATAACTTATTATCATAAAAATCATAATCATGTTACCCTTTCTGATAAAATAAGTTAAATTTGCACTGTATATTAAACTGAGGGGCTTAAAAATCAGTAACTATTTTAATTATTAAGATGGCAAATTTGGCATTCAGTCGAACCCGATTACTCGAACCCTCGCTAACTCGAACTGTTTTTCGTTCCCTTCAGAGTTCGAGTTGAAGGGGTTCCAGAACCTCGTTCCCAGGGTCCTCTCCTACTCGGCCCCGAGTAGGAGGGGAACCTGTGAACTAGGTTGGGAGTTCTACTCTATATCTCGTCTGTCTTTGATTGGTTCTGATTTTATGCAAAAAATAATAATTACTAACCGAATTTTGCTTCTTTTAACTAGAGCACATTAAGGTAGAGATGACAAGTTTACTTCAAACTATTTTAAAATCGGCAAACTCTACTCGCGCATTATTATAGGAAAGGATGTGCTTCTTAATCATTATCTTTATCATAATCCTAGTGCTTCACTGTTTCGTATGTTATTATTATTTCTTGAACTTAAGCCCTGAGTATACTCATCCCGTGCCGTTACGTTATGCTGTCCACAAGGTGATGATTTTTCTATAGTTGTCTCAATAATAGTTTCTTCCATGTGCTTTCTTTCTTTGTCCTTGTCTACTTGCTCTTCACATACAAGAATTTGATTATCTCTTTCTTCTGGCTGCTGTTGTTTTTCATCATTTTGTTGTGAGTCTTGGTCTGGCGTTAGTACCTGTTCGTCTTCCTTATCTCCTAATCTCTGTTTTTCTCGATTATAATCTTCGACTTCCTCCTCTCCTTCATGTTTCTCTAAAATTTCTCTTCCTTCTTGTTTTTTTGGTAGCTCTTCGTCAAAACTCACTGAAATCTCACTAAATTTTTGGTTACCGTCACTTTTGATACTGTTATCATCATTTTCTTGTTTGAATCGTTTCATAACATTCTGAGTATCCGTATCTGGTAATCCTTCTACGTTACTATGGTCACCATCCTCAGTATTATCATCAACCATCGGTGAATGCTCGTAAGTAGACGACGCATTTTCGTTTTCCTTCGGTGTAACGTCGGCGTAACTTTCAACTGGGTAGTTAGATACGTGTTCTTTACCAACATCTGCCTTTTCAGCAATCGCTTCCTCCTCGTTTTTCTTAGATTCCTCGCATCTCATTCCATCGTTTTCTTGAAGTGGCACTTTTTCGATCACCTGTGTATTAGTATTCGAGGACTGAGCGCCATACCTCTCTTCTACTGTGACAATTTGAACGTTGCTTGGAGAAGTTTGACTCGAGCGATTTGCTATTGTCCGTAAGAAATCCAGGTCTATTTTTTCACCAGTGCTGAGCCTTCGATGGTCATTTCCGTCTTTGTCGTCCTCCTTTTCCTTTTGTCGATAATATGCTCGCTTTTCTCTTTCATCTCTAGACCCTCGCCTTTCAGATATTACAGTCGAATGTGGGAATCTATTCACCGGAAGAGAATTGCGTGCGTTCTTGGTCCTAACTTTGTAGTCGGGAAGATAAGCATTCAGGTGATCAGAAACTGCAATAAAAGAGATTACAGATTACAGAACCTTGCAAAATGAAATACTCTCGCTTATGACAACTCTTTCAACTAATGATACTGCCCTGCATCATGGAGTTTATAAGGATCGCGGAATAGGAAGCGTTTGACATGCGCGGTGACACATAAACAAGAATATTTTCCAAAAGAAACTCAGCTCCCGTTGTTGCGATAACCTCTGGATCGTGACTTAGAGTCCGTGGTAGCGAGATTCCGCAATAGGACGAATTTTTTTTAGTCAAACGACTGTCGATACTGTTGGGGTGTCCGTAGCAGCAAGGTGTCAGCAAGGCGAGAGTTGACAATAGACCCAACTCTAGTTGTCCGTTTTAGGAAGCTGTCTACGTTTTTATGGCCAGCCCTTCTTAGACACCCGAGGGTTACTGCTACATCCCCGGTCAAAAAACCTTCGAACACATACGATATTTTTAAGCTGCACAGTGTAGATCCCTTGTCCCTTTGCAGTGTTGATAACAAGTTGCGTTTGGGAAAGTCTGAGCTATTTTCAACTTTATGAAGGGGGAGGGGGTGGGAATCGACCAAATGTTCTAACTATTTTGGACTGTAAATATTTTTTTTGCAAAATAGCCTACCTTCTGGAGCCCGTTCTCTCAAATCCTCCAGTTCTTTACAGTATGACGATCTCCTACTACCTCCACCTGACATTTCCTTGAGCATTCGAGCCCGCTCTACTTCCATCTCAGCTCGCCAAACCGCAGTCTGTTCTGCTCTTTCTTGAGCCATTCGCTGACGCCTATACGCAGCTTCGGCTCGTTGTTGGGCCGCTACTGTCACTTGGGACAGGGCACGAGTTTCTGGGAGGGTTCAAACAGACAAAAAGTAGGTTATGTTTTCCACAGTCTAGCGCATGCTCGTTACTCCGTATTTGAAAATTACTTAGCTGAGGTCGGATTTTTTAAGGGCTTAGCAGTTTCCCTTCCTGTCGTCCAGACTGCCTCAGATGGCAAGGGTGGAAATGAATAAAAACTTGGAAAAGTTGAAGTTTTCACGCCATTCCAGCATGCCTGCGAAACTCAAATAAAATTTGTTTTATATCTTCAACGCAACTCTTCAGGAGCATTTTGTGTATTGGAAGGCACTAGGTAACGACTTCAGCACAGAATTGACCTATAACAGCAATAGCCCCTTTAGATAGAAGGTTGACTACAACAAACATACTCTATTGCGATACCGTCATTTCAACGTGGTTGCGATTTACGCAAACAAACTGACATAAAATGAGTTACAAAGGAAAATCGGAAAATTCTTCACACTATTTTTGAGTCTATATCATTATCCATCATGTCTGAAAGTTTCAAAGCGATAGCTTAAAACCTGTCCCGACTGGAGGTCGGAGAATTTTGACTTTTGCGTCTAAAATAGAGTGAGAGATAATCAGCTCTAAAGATTTAGCGCGAGGTCCACGCTTGGCTGGTTAGCTCAGAAAAAGGCTCATTTTAGAAGGGTTAAAAAGCACTTTCTGATTTTCTTTTTCTGCCAAAATAAAATTTAGGACCCACTCATGCCAAAAATCCAAAAAAAACAAAATCGAGCAATGTACTAAAATTTTCTTTTACCGAGACCTCAATGGTTCCAAGCCTACCCTTAATCAAAAGGCAAGGAACTAGACCAGAATAATTGGGTGGCGTGAAATAGTCTGTTTAAGCTGCTCAGATAGTAGAGCGAGTAACAAAAATTCAAAAGGAAAGAAAAACCGAGGTCCCATTTGCCCTCGTTTTCCCCTCGTACGATTTAACTTGCTCCCCACCATCTGAACGCCGCGCTCTCCTTATCTGAACACCTGGCACAAGCTAGGCGTGAAAATTTTACTGAAAACTACTGACTCTTTCTTACAGAATTGTTCATCAAAGGAATGTCCGTGACATCAACAAGGGCCCACTTTAAAACTGAATATTGCTCACTGAATTGCTGCTTTCCGCTACTACTTATGTTGACAATGAAAACTCCTTGTTAAAACCAGTACAATAGCTATTTTGTCATAAGAAAGGCAATTTCAGTTCAAAAGGTTAAGGATAATTTGACGTCATTTGAAGTGAAAAGGAACACATTCCATGCCGCCAAACTGCGTGACCGTTTTTTGAAAGAAATTTAAGGTCGGTTTGGATCAGTGTTGGTAAGCTGGCAATATCACGAAATACTACGAAAACACAAAAAAATCAATTTAATAGTCAAAATAAACATAATGCTACTTTAACTGTCTGGTACTGTCCTTTTTGTTTTAGAAAACATGACGAATCCAAAGACCCTGCAAATCACTAAAATTCATTGCTGGTTTTCAACACTAAAAATTGACATGTTTTTATGCTTGTTTTCTCTTTAGCTCTAAAATGTCAAATTCTCCTTAAAACCTTATTTAACTTGTAACTGGTCGAAATGATTCGCCTCAATTTTTATACGTATCAAACGATTATTGCTACTTTAAAAGCAACGAGGAATTGAATATATGAGTCTCCGGTTTCTAAGCTCTTGTGAACTTAAGTAGTCGAACAATACAACTTCAGTGAACCGAGTGGGTCATTGTTTTTGTCGCAGAAATTCCTTGAAAGAAAATTTCAATCTTGCGAAAAGAGCCGGTGTGTTTTTAAGCAGTGTCTAAATTAGAGGGAAAAGGTCCGTTTTCCGCTTCAACAAAGGAAATATAGGACACGTCTGCTCGCAAGCTACGGAAAAACCCCCGACCAAGAACCTATAAGATTTTAAGAATCTGTTGGGCGAAAATATACCAGTTAAGCCCCCTCCATATAAAAACCTGTTTGACCTAAAATTTGAAGCTATTTGAAACACGTTCTTATTTTTTAAAATCTACGAAAAAGATTTTGTACACTTGGAAATAAGATAAGTCAACATTCAACTTTAAGAGATGATTGCAACAGGCAAGGAATTACGGAATTACAATAAATGCATGTTATGTTCTGAGGTATTAAAGACTTCAAAATTCTTGAGGTCAAGCTTTAGTTCCTCTTTTCATGGTAATTTTTACGTACCGGTAACTATGAGGAATAAGCTGAACCACTAAATACTCTTAACTATATTGTATTTTTTTCTTCGGAAAATAAAAACCTATTTAAGAAACTAAATAGCCTAAACTTATGCTAACTACCATTTATATAAGAACCTGTTTAGGCTAACTTGGAAAAAAATCCAGGTTCTTAATTGCGGGGTTTTACTGTACTTCGTAACGGCCTTGCAAGACTAGCTTCAGTTCACACAAGTCCAGTCATAACGGTCACCGAAAACGCAGTTGTTTAAAAACGCTGTCTACAGTCGATATATATATTTATATATTTAGTAAAAGCCAACTAGTCAGGGTTCTATTATCAATGCTACGTTCTGATTGGTTGAGCTACTACTAGGCTAAATGTTACAGCCCATTAGTAGCGTAAAGCGCCGGCTTTGAAAACCAAAACAATGGCGGCTGAATCGCGTTTTTGATAGCGAAAGTTGTTTTGTCTCGAAATTTTTGACCAACAAGTTGGATTTTACTAAAACAATTATTCCTCTCGCCCTCATGGCCTCTGAGTCAATAGCCTATTCGGCCTTCGGCCTCATGGGCTATTGACTCAGAACCCATTCGGGCTCGAGGAATAATTGTTAAATGTATATATATATATATATTTTTTTTTTTTTTTTTTGTTCCTATTCTGGACGGATATATATGAGCAGGCAATATAAAGGAAATCTTGTTGATGTTTTTATGGTTGTCATGGTTACAGTGGTTACGTTCCGGGGGTTACCAGCTGTTATCTGTTACATCTTCAGTAACCCTTGGAGAGGCTTGTAACGAGTAAATCGCACAGCTTGAACAGCCCTAGTTTATAAGCTACCTGATCAGCTAATAAATAATTAAATACTAAATATGATGCGCCAAATATTGCTTTTCCAAGTAAAGAGAAAGTGTGGTGAATTGGTCAATTTATAATGTGTTTCAAAATTTGTTGTTGTAAATTCAGTTATTTCCAGAATAAATATTGTTCTTCCGATAACCTCCACCGACCAGATATCACACTAATCAATAATTAGAACGTTTAATCATTATCAAATCAACAATCCAACAGTAAAATTAGAACGATTTGCGGTTTCTTGCATCGGAGCACGATATTAAAATCTTCCTCTATAATCTTTCAAGTTATTTTGTCATACAATTAAGGCATTAAGGCAACTGTTTTTTTTTTCTTTCGTGAGTTCCCTGAAATAGTTAGCTGCTCTTTTCGAGACCTTGGCTAATACAGTCAACTCTCTCCAAGACGGACACCTCTGGGACCGGCACTAAGAGTCATGTCAAATAAATGGAATAACCAAAGGCAGGGACCAACACTAGGTGTCCGTTTTACAGAGGTGTCCGTCTTAAAGAGGTGTCCGTTAAGAGAGAGTCGACTGTATTCCTAATAATCTAGTCGTCACACGCTGAAGCCATGCCAAGCTCATGCCAGCCAAAAGCTAAGACCTTTATAATGCCCCGAATAGATCTCTAAAACACCAGTTTAAGAAGTAAGTCGAGTAATGATAAGTGTTTTACGCGCTTATTTGCTTCTTGTTTGACTACTTAAGAATATCTCTACGATACTCAAGAAGACAACAGAGGTAGAAGTAACGAAGCTTGGGATAAAGATCTAACAATGAATCAAGTTTTACTTGACCTTAAAAGTAATTCTCTTTTTAATCCATCAATTTATTGGACCGCACGCACTGAAAATGATTTACTATAGTGCCATAATAATTATCGTTTAATAACTTTAGAACTGAAATTACAAGACATAGGGTAAAGATGTCATGTATGGCGAACTCAGTGAAAATACCACATTCACCAAAACAAAACTCTGAAATTTAAGAATCTAAATGGCTTAAGACGTTTTAGCAAAGAAAGACTTCAAAAATAAATAATTGGCTTACCCTTCTTTAAAGGCTGAGAGCTGCTTCCACAACCCATATGTTCAGTAACGATCAGTATGTTTACGTGAAGTAAGATAAAATATATCTCCTTGTATACACTTCTCACGGGTCCAATTTTCTTTAGTGACGCGTGTTTCACAGTGGGTGTTTTGACATTTGGTACTGAATAATTACCGCAGGAATGTAAACGAGGCTTTTGTCAACACATTAGAGGCTGTTTTGGTGATTTTACCGAGTGGATAAGTGACGCCATAGTAATGGCACAAAGAAAAATTTGTGTAAGAATAAGATTAATTTTACCTCAAGGGTAGGCCTCCAGCTACTTCCTTCTTCGATCCAAAAGAATTGCATTTAAGAAGGAAGGGCCGTTTGGTGTTTTGAGGGACTTGTCACGTATTCACCTTTATTAAAAATAAGAACGGAACACTGACGAGAACAGATCTGAAAAGCGTGCAAGTATTTTAGATAATCCACCTCGAATCCACGAGGATTAATACAAAATTATGTGACTCCCTCTAATATTGCGTTTTGTTCCTCAACAGAAGCTTTGCATTCGCTTCATTTAAAGCCTTGAAATCTTTGCATGAGGGACCATACTTCATTCACATGTAGCTCTAAAATTTAGCTAATCGCTTACATAAAGTAACAATAAGCGTAAATGACGCACGTATTCCTTTGTGTTATAAAGACAAAAGTGTGCGTGAACTATCACTAAAACTTTTCTTCTATTCTTGTCCATTTGAGGCTCATTGTTGTTATGCGCATTAATTTTACAATAATAGAAATTTTACATGTATCAGTGATGTATCCCAAAAGTGTCTGTTTTATATTCAGCAGTCCTAGCGAAATCCTTGATGGTCTAAATAGAATGTGCCGAACTAAATTATTTCAAACTCTTTTATCATTCGTATTCTTAGAGTATGGAAGTACAAGGATAAAAAACTTATGGCTTCTGGAGTTTACTTCTTAAATTATAACATCGGTGATAGGTTTTAACAGGTGACGGTCTTGCCTTCCTTCCTATCCCTTTAGCAGCGTGTGATTTATCACGCGCCTTCATTTATGCAATCATTAATAATTATAGCTACTGACTAAAAATGTATTCGAAAAAGTCTTGTATTATATCGTTACTTGTTCAATTTTGTAAATTCCTTGACTATTCTCTGCTGACATTCGAACTTAGCGAAACTTATCCTGACGTGGATCAAGCAGAAATAATTTATATAAATTATTTATAACAAAGTTTATTGGGTCTTTTCAAGATCTGTCATTAAATTTTGACCTTTTCATCTCAAGCCGTTATTAGTTATTGTTGGATCAAAGTTTTCTTTAGTATCTTGTTCAGTTTGCCTTCATACTGCGATTATGGTGCCGTGTAAGAAATTATTGGCCATTAGCTGTTCCAAATCCAGTGAGACTATGAGTATAACCGACAACTTATCCGTGACTTTATTCAAAACAATCAATATGATAACAAATGAAACAAAGTAAAATAAAAGTTAAGTTAGACAGATAGGAACAACAGCTATATATTGAATATTAACATAAAAAATTACTTGGTTATGTACGGCTTCTACCCTAGAGAACCCTATGTTAAGAACGGTTAGATTAGAGTTCGGATTTAGAATTTAGAATATTTTCAACATATGAGACACTAAGATTTATTACTTTTTCATCGCATAAAGACATGGTATATAAAAAAAGTGCCTTTCAAGACATATTCGTAAAATTACTGTTTATCGAGTATAGGCTCTCCAAGAAGGTACCCCTTATACGGAAGGTATAATGAGTGAGAACATTTCAACAAATAGTGGAATTCATCATCAATTTCGGATCTATTACAAAGGGGTCAAACGGAAGCAAAGCCTCTCAACTCTGGGTATTATCTTGTAACGCCCAGATTCAATGGGTAGCAAGTGGCAAGAAGTATAGTAACAATGATCAACAGTCAGGCAAGCATGATAATAAGCTCAAAGGCCTACAGAGAGATGAAATCTAAACTCAAATTATAACTTGTGAAAAAGTGAAAGCTAAGAGATACTGAACTTCATAAGAACAGAGCAGTTTCAATTTCGCCGATTCTTCGGATTTGCGTGGCAGGCTAAAACTTCCCTTGAAACTTCCCGTAAAAACGAGTTGTCTTCATGCAGCTTTCGTCATGCGTGAGCCCGTGAGTCTCCCTAGCAGTCGTTATTAGAGTCGTCACTCAACGCTCCGTCCTCCTTGCTCCTCCGAGTTGCTGCGAAGAAGACTACACCGTACTAGTGCTTTCGACTAATGAATACAGCCATCTCCAATGTCCCTAGCGGTGAGGAGCCAGAATAGACGGCTGTATTCGCAGCCTATGAGCGATAGGAATCTTCAGTGATTGGCTTAAAATAATACAGGTTTTACGACATTCAAAAGAGCGTCTAGTATACCTGACGTCATACGCCAAAAGCCTTGCCAAGAAAGTTGTCGTAAACTTCCGCGCAAAATAGGTAAATAAACAAAGTGTTTGCACGTACGTGAAAAGGTTAGCTAGCAAAACAACATTTTCGTACGTGCTCGGGGGAAAAACGATGTGAGAAAAACAATACATCCAAACGTCCACCCACGTGTTATAGAACAGCAAAGTCTTTCATATTTGACCTGAATGCAGTTTACAACTTTTAAATTTGTGTCACAAAATTTTTATCAGGGCTGGTTCTCACTACAATACAACGTGTAGATCAAAAGTTTTCCTTTTCTAACTGAGCTTGATTTTGCGTTCGCGTTCGTGTTTTTAATACTTGACGCCCCTTCCCCACCCCACCACCCACTGGGGAAGGGGTGGGTTGGCTCTCCCGCCCTCGGGGTCATTCCATTACCCATGTATAGGCCTTTTATGACAGAAATGGTACCCCCTTCTTGACTCCTTCATGGAATTACGATTTACAATTCCCATAACTCGTGAAGACCTTAGAATCTGTGATCACTGCAACCTAAATTCGGTTGAAAATGAACTGCACATATTATTTCACTGTGATCTATATAAAGATTTGAGAAAGACTCTTTTTGTTAAAATCGACGACCGAAATACATTATTTACAAATTACAATATCCATGATAAAGTCTGTTTTCTTTTTAACAACACTGATTCACTGCTAATTCAAGCATTTGAAAGACGAAAGAAACATAACTAATTCTACCATTCCATTATATCTTCATTTCCTTAAATTAAGCTGTTTATTGTTATTTTAATCGGTAACACCTGTACAAAATGGTAATACTGAATAAATTTGTTGTTGTTGTTGTTGAATTATGACCTCTGACAAATTTCCCAACCCTTTCTAATACCTGAAACCTCTAAAAAGGTACCTCTTTCGGCCGGTTCCTCCCAGTATAGGACATTAAATGGAGAGTACTCACAACTTTTGCGCTTGCACTTGCATGTATTATCAATCATAAATTCCCCCTACCCCTGGTAGTGTACATTTGGTGCATCAAACTAATAAGGACCTTGACCAACGACGACGGTTGCGAAACGTCTCTTAAAAAGTGAATTCGCGCTACTTCAAAATTCATCGCTTCTAATCCATGTCGTTCAATTTGACTAATGTTGCATAGTGAATTTTTCTGGAGTTGAACTGATTTTAAAGGACTGTATCAAAAAAAAAGTCGTCGTTAATTTCCCGAGGAGGACAGCTTATGGTTTGATGGTACTTTCTTAGAAGATTTCCTTATTCAATCCCATGACATTCAAGCATGCAGCAAAAACGACGAAACAGCGGCAAAAAGGTGAAGACATAATCGGCCGAATATGCTCAAGGGTACCGCGTAATTGTCACATATTTTACGCGCGTAAATAAAATGGAGAGGAGAAGTATGACGTCACGTCGCCATGGTAACACTCTTTCTGGATGACAACAAAACCAACGACGACGGCGACTGAAGGCGAACGGCAAAAAAGTAAAAGGTTTTAAATTGACAAAACAACACATTTGCACTTGCATCACGCTATTTGGACATTTCTTTGCCGTCGTTGCACCCCTGCGACATGAAGCTTCCTAATTTCACACGCTTGCTTTATGGAGTAGGTGAACACAACACAAAAGTTGTCTTTTTCCTCTTCTAAACTTAGATACGGTCCTTTCGGATTCAACCCGAGGAAATGTCGCCAACATTTGCCAAATTAAATGAAATTTAATAAGATCGATGAAGTTTGAAGCGGTGCAAATTCACTTTTTAAGTGACGTTTTCGGTTTGTTCTCATCCAAAAATTTTGCTACCATGGCAACGTGACGTAACGACTTCTCCTCTCTATAGAGGAAATGCATGACAGGTACCGCGTAAACATAAAAGTTGAGCGAGGTTCAACTTTTGTGTTCACGCGTGACCTTCCATACATTGCCTCTATTAGCTTCTATTTCATTTACGCGCGTAAAATTTACGTCCGAATGCACCTTAAAATTACGCAACCTTTAGAGGGAAAGTTAAACAACTTGATAAGTTAATGTCAAGTTAAAAGCAACCATTCGGAGTGGTCGTTCAGGATGACTGAGAAGGTCATATTCCTCATAAGCTGCGTCGCAGACAGTCTAAACCGCTTGGCTATACCAGTAGTGTGGAGGATGCGTGGACCGCGGCTGATACGCAGGCCAAGAAGTCATAAACGCATGAAAATCGTGCGTTTTTAATAATCATACTCCACTTATCTTGCTCCAGAATAATACGTAGAGCACGAAGTCTATTTGAATACTAGAGGCATTGGCTACAACATTCCACTCTCCCCTAAGAACCTTCTCTTGAATCAATAAATTTTAAAGTCATTTTTTATATCGCATGCGCAGTCGGCAAAGGTTCTAAGAATCTTCTGCTGTTGTTCGTGGAAGTATCATCTCCCATAGTTTTAAGACGGCTGCTCGTAATTCGCGAATTCTCCAGCAATATAAAAGTGGGTTTACCGAAGAATTGAAAAACACAAGTGTGTTCGCAAAGACCCAAGCATTCGACCATTCTTCCCAAGCGGACGGAGCAATGATAAAGGTTATCATAGAAAAAGACATTGGTACGTAACAAACAATTATAAAGATATAAAACACAAACGTGTTTAACGCGCTCTTTTTTAAACGAATCAGATTGGCATTCTGTCTTTGCGAATGAGACTGATGTCTTGTTTGATGAGCACTCATCTCCAAACTAGATGTTCTCGCAAGATGAGAATCCTGGACTGACGAAACTGGGGGATAAGTTTGTCCTATGGATTGTGGATCCAGTGTTTGCAGATGTTTGAAATGCGACATAAACTGATGGCTAGACTGAAATCGTAAATAAGTTTGTAGTGTAATCTGGTTATTCTGAATCTGAGGCTGTTCCGTTGGTTGAAGATGTTGAATCTGACGCTGATGTCGACGAACAATTTGATAAATTTTCACGTAGGAAAAAGTCGATATTAAAACACAAGTTCCAATCCCAACGGCCATAATAATGTTAGTTACTTGCCAATTCGCAAAGTAAATGCTTGAACAAAGAACATTTATCACCCATAACATCACCAAAGCACACAAAACACGAGGAACTGTCACTAAGCTAGAATATCTCATATGAAAATGAAGAGCTGCTAAACGGTCCATACTCACGGCTGCCGTGGTGCAGAGAGACACACCACAAGCGAAAAACGCTGCAACATGACTCAAATGATACAAGATAGTCTCCCGCCTCGTGAATTCACTTGCAATGTAAAAAGGTTGGGCGATAAACCCTACGAAAAGATCAGAAAGAGCAAGACTGCAAAGAAAGATAAAGGAAGGCTCTAAGCGATGCGAAGGAGTCTTCAATATGATGAACAATACCAACGTGTTTCCAGTGATGGATGCAATGATTAGCAGAACATTTAAAGCACAGTTTACGATGACAATTGCTTCAAGGCGAGGTGTATCGTCCATTTCGTCCAGATCAGTGAAAATTCAAGTCGACTTCATTTGCAGAAGAGTTGTTTATCTCGGGGTTGATGCTTCATGACTTTGCAGCCGTGGTCCAGTCTTCAACCAATATAGACATAAGAGTGTTTTGGTGCATGAAAACGGGAAATAAAGGATTGAATTAAGATATTATACCCTGCGGTCTCGTGCAGATTACTTTTGAATACCCAGCGTGTTAACTGGCAGTCTCAAATCAACCTTGCGGCCCTTTGTGTTCGATTGTCAATAAAAATCTTGTTTCTCCGTAAAATCAAAAATATCAGTTCAAGTTTCAATGAAAACCCTGCATTTTGGCATCCAAAATGTCACCAGGGACAAGTTTCGAACAAAATCTGTAGGTCTGTACTGGCTTTTGAGGGAGTCACTAACACGATATGGTGGGCATTAAGTTGTAATCTGCGCCGATATCACTTGTGCCGCCGTAAATTACCGTGTCAGTACCGATTGTAGTGAAGCCCACTCAGTCAATTAATGGTGATATGACATCAAATGTGGACATTTATTCCATTAGTTAAAAACACCTGTCAGCTCTTTCTTACCCAATTGTGTTGTTTGACACAACTAATAAAGTCATCTTCAAATTTCTTTTGAAATCTCAAAATGCTTCATTTGCAGTTATATTCCTGTAAAATGTTTCAGTAATTGAGGAAAATGTTTTAAAAAAACACCTGTCCGCTTTTCCTCCCCAATTAACTTTCGCAACTTATTTAAGTCACCTACAAGGGGCTTACTTTAAATGTCAAAATCGGCGTCATTTACGGTTTTCTTTCTTGCTAACTGACTTGATCAGTTCATGATTACTTGAGTTCCCAGCAGAGCTTTCATGGATAAGTCGAAAGATCACAGCGACTCTACTCGCAGGGTAGTTATTATCGAGAAATTTTTTTTTTCAGTCAGCGACACAGGTGGCTCGGAAAAAAGCGCAGAGTATTCAACAGAAGTCGAACCTATGGCCTTCTGGCTCCAGTTGTTCAAACAGTGGATAGCGCTATCCACTGGATTATACATCACTATCCAGTGGATAACGGAACTGGTTTTCGTCCTACTTAACCGCTGGATAGCTATTTATGGCCTCGGTTGTTCAAAGGTGGATAACGCTATCCATGGGATAAATCACTATCCACTGGATAGCGCAATTAGTTTCCTTGATACTTGTCCCCTGGATAGTGGTTAGCGCCATCTAACTTTTGAATGCTCTACCACTGAGCTACAGAAGTCTTGTGGGAGCTAAGGCCACTAAACTAGGTTTATGTGACAAACATCCTGTATACTGCTAGGACCCTTTTAATTTGTTAATTATCACGAGTGAATTATAATAGGTAATCAAATGGTATACTCGTGAAATTAGGGAATACAGGGTGTCCCAAAAGTTCGTTCCTCTAATTTCATGTACTATAACTTTTGATCAAAACTTATATTTTTACATGAAATTTCTAGAAGATGTTTATTTCTCTATCAAGTACATGTGTTCAGAATTTCAGTAACTGGCATGCCCTTTTTGTTTTTTTATCACATTCTGTACCCGTTGCCGCATGAAGTGGGATACAGTCAGTGTAGACCCACAAATGATCCATTCTGAACTTTTTTATTACCTGGTGCGCAGGATCCAGTTCAATTCCCAAACAATATTTGTTTAGTTGAGGCAGCTGAAAAAAATTTATTTTGGGCATTCATCCAAAAAAGATAATCATCCTAGCCCCCTTCCACAGCAAGGCTTTTGTAATTCTTTACAAATTTGAAACGAGCTGGGCGTTAATTGGCAGCTAAGCAGAGGTTTTTTGCCATCTTAGGGGCCTCTAATTTTAAACATTTCAAACAGCTTTTCATGACCCTTTTATTTGGCTTGCTAACTATGTGAGACGGAGCTTCCTTGCTGAGTCACCTATTTTGTATCTAGCCTTCTTTAAAACTATTTTAGCTGCTTTATTAAGGACTTTTGGTCTTCCCCTTCGTTTCTTACCTCCAAAACCTTCATTTCTCCACGATTCTACCACTCAACATTCGGATTTTTCCAGTTTTTTAGCAATTTCTACAACAGATAAGCCAGTAAATGGAAATATACACGCTTATGTTCTCACGCAGCTGAACGTTTTTGCGTCAAGGGGGTTTATCTTTCGTGATATTCACAAAAAACAAGGAAGGAGTTCGAGCGATTCGGGCTATAAAATACAAAAAATGTGTGGCTGGAAAATACACTCGCGCACGCGCACCTTTGGCGCGGCAGTACACAAATCGAATATTCGAGTCAAAAGATAGCACAACAAGTATGAAAATAGTGAATTATATTGAAAGACACAACTTTTGTTGAAACCATTTGCTTACCAAGACCAATCCTTCTGAAATACAGAGTTATAAAGTAGAGGAACGAACTTTTGGGACACCCAGTAATTTCACTTGTGTTTTGTCCAAATCCTAATAATTTCCCTCGCCTAAAGGGTCGGGAAATTATAAGGATTTGGACAAAACGCGCGTGAAATTATTCCCTAATTTCACTCGTCACCATTTGATTAGACATACGTATTAGAAACTTTTCATGTGTGGTGTCCTGCTGCGGTCAAGTCTGCATAGTGACCAGGGCGAATAGTGGGTAGGCATTCCGCAGCACGAGGGAAAAAACTTCTGGTACCTTGGGGCCCATTTCTCGAAAGGAGCTGTTATCTCCTGATAACTTTTCGGACGCGCAATCAAATATCTAAGTCAAAATCTAAAGAATATTGAGTGCGTTGTTTCTAGCGAACAGACCAGCAAATTTCAGCTAAGTTTAACTCAGTGCACTAAAAAATAATGCGCGCCGTTAGTGCCCTATCTTGCTTTGTCCCTGCTTTGACATCTGCAATTTCTTTAACCGACACTGAATTAGATGTTTGGAAAATGAAAGTCAAAAATTTTATGCCCTTCCAAGTTTTCCATGACCCGTACGAGCTGTATAAAAGCACGGCTCCCATTATTTCACGTTACTCAAGAAACCTTGAAATGGGCCAATGCAAATTCATCGTTTCCGCCTACTCTTAAAGAACAGCATTGGGGGTTTTTTTACGTCCCACAAGAATCAGAACAGTGAAAGAATTGGGAGACGGGGCCCACGGTTTTTTTGTCCTTATCCGATAAGACTAGAACGTCTAACCATTTTAAATGTCCGAACAAAGGCAGAATTTTCTACTCGGTAATCTCAAGACAGACCCCGAGTGTTGATCCGGTCGGAGTTCGAGCCCGTAACCTCCTGCGCTTTTCCCGCGGGTTCGATCCAATAGTATGTGTATGAAGCAAAGGGTTTGTTTCAATTAGTTGTTGCCTGATTGAAGGATTGTTTCAGTTGCGGACAGAGCGCTCAACAAAACAGGGCGAAAAGTCAAAGGGGTCGATCTCCTAGAATGGACCAAGGGTACTGCCTTTACCCTGCAAACGGCTAAACCTTCTCGTGGATTAAATGACCACGTAAAAATTGCGGTCCTACCTCCAGCTGGACACGTGAAATTTATGTCCTCAATTAGTAATTTCCTGCTAACTACTCTCAGACAACGTAACAAGAAGAGGGGGATCAGTGAAGAACACGAACCGATTTGCATGTATGTTAACATTATCTGCAATTTATACTAAAGCCTGGTTTCCATATGATCGCAGCGATCGCAGCGATCATAGCAGGCATATGGAAACCACTTTGCAGCGATCGCTGAGATAGAACTTTTGCTATTTGCTCCAACGTGGTTTCCATATGTTTTGCTGAACTTTTTCCTCTCAGCGATCGCAGCGATCATATGGAAACCAGGCTTAAGTGAACAACGTTCTACCATGTGTTTCGTCTACAAAAGTTCGCTTCGATCGATGAAAGCGTGAAACTTATAGGAATACTTATGTCTCTAAGACCAACATTTTTTGCTATGACGCCAAACCAAGAAACGTATAAGCGTCTACGAAACAAAAAAACAACAACAACAACAACTTTATTTATCCACGGAGTTCTCTCCACTAAACAGTGCTCTCCCAGGAAGCCGTGCGCTACAATAGTAAATTATTGAAGAACTAAATACATTAATTCTAAAAGGTCTAAACTATCTACGCTTCGCATAGCCTAAACCGTAAAATGCATATTGCGAAGTAGAATGGACCACAACACTGGTTGGCTATAAATAGTCCAATTTAAAATATTATCAATATTTGATGTAGTTTGATCATAATTACGATTTTCTTTAACTGCACTTTATTTATTTTCTTATTCTAACATTCCAACATCGAGGTCTTATAGTGAGTCACGACAGTGTTTCCTTTGTCCTTGAATATTTTCTTTTGTTCAGATAAATGCAGCTTGTGAGTAGGTAGGGTCACTTGCGCGAGGTCCTCGCGCGATGGCCGCTCCGCCGCCAAAACGCTCCCCGAAATCGCACAAGTGAGCCTGCACTCAGGCTAAAATCATTGCAACCACACTTTCTCCTCGCAGAGGTAACTTGAGCTGTCCTCGGTCGAGTTTACAGTTTTGCCTTGGGATTTCTTGAAAGAGCAGCTTTTATAATTCCTGCCGGCTTGTCAGTGGGCATCAAAATCTACACAGAAAGGGAACTTCAGTTTGTCAGATCCGAATTCAGATTCAAGGCTCGAATTTGGTGTAATCCTAGCCCGGCTAGGCTGGTTACCCCACCTTGAAACGTTTACATGGCAAAATTTGACCCTCACTAAGAGAAGTACCCGGTCTAGCAGACCGGGCTACCCACCTCGGCGTGTCATCCCACCCGTTATGTAAACGTCACGTGATCAAATTAAAAGGGGGGATTATATAGACAGGCCGCTACTCCACCTAATCGGGCATCCATTTCCATGTAAACAAGTCCTAAACCTTTTCCTTTTCTGTCGCTCTCATCGTGGTTTCGTGAGGTCCCTATCAGGGCTCTGAGGCGAATTCGGAGGCGCGAGTGTAAAGTTCGAGACATGCGTTAGCAGGGAAAAGCGAAAATTCTCCCGCGTGTCTCTTGTTCGCGCCCACAAACCCGCCTCAGCCACTCAAATAAGGCCTGTTGAGTCACTACATCCCACGTGGGTATTAGAAGTTGTTTCGTGTGCCAATGCACAGTATCCGAGGATGCCCCAGCTATCATGTCAATATTGCATGAAAATGAATGAAGTTTTAGGAACGAGGCCTTACTGTCAAGTGATGCATTCCCCATGAAAATAGTTTTGTTTTCCCACACAAGATTCTCTAGCTATTAACCAACTGTTAAACCTGTTATATACCTCATCTTTATTGGTCAATCCAAATGGTGCCATATTAACAGTAAAATAATGAATGTTAGGCATTGCCATCTCTATATAACTAATCTGCAACGAAACACAAAAGCAAAATAACAAAGTCAGAGTTCTGTGCCAAAATACGAGTCAATCGACACCCCATCAAGATCAGAAATGTTATTGATACTGTTAAGTATCGCAGTCACACAATGATTATCGCTCAGTCAGCACTAGAGGCCATCTTAACCAAAGAGAATGTCCACCAAACTACATACATAATTACGGTTATAATGTTTATTTATTTATTATTTACCAGCTTTTCTGGACACAGGCCAGCCCAGAGGGAATGTGCACGAACGGGACTCAGGTCCCATGCGAGCTGCCATCCCTACTCAAACCCACAACCCGTAAAGGTTGGCCACACCACCCGAGTCTACGACCCCTACTCTTTTCGAATAGTGATGTGGGTTCTTTTACGTCCTACAAGAACAAAGCAGGGAAAGTGCTGTGTACGGTTTTTCGTCCTTATCCGAGAAGACTAGAAAGTCTAACCATTTGCAGATGTCATTACAAAGGCAGCACTTTCTCCTCAGTTATTTAAAGACCCTGAGTGTTGGTCCGGCTGGGGTTTGAACCCTCGAACTCCCGCTCGGCAGACCGGCGCTCTCCCAACTGAGCCAACCAGGCGGCAGTGTAAGCTCAGAATGTCACTGATCATGGCATCAGGGCTATCATCAAATGACAGTGGAATTTCCCGGCCTATGCTAAAATACTGAGTTCTTTAGGCCAGTAGTCTATTCAGCCAGCATCTTCCCTGGTCAAGTAAAGCTGTTAAGGTGGCTGAACACAGTTTGATAGCTTGTGGGTCGTTATGATTCATTGGGATGTTATTTAAGACTCGTTCCCGGTATAAAACTCACATTTGGTACGGACAAAATACATCATTAGGTTGAACGTAAGATATTGGTCGTTGCCATGGCAACATGGACGATTAAACAATGCCTAAAATCTTGAGTTTAGTAGGTTTACACAAAGTCCAGTCTTAGTCACCCTCATTTTCTTAAAAAAGTGACAGGAAAAAATATGTCCTCTTTTACAAACTTATTGAAATTTTTGACAAAATAGCTTTCATGAGAAATTTGAATATGCCACAAAACTCGTTTGTTCAACTATTATTTTACGGCCTTCATTTACTGAAGTTTGATTTCTGCCAAATTTTGTCACATTTTAACAAGCAGATTTTAAGATGTCGTCGTTTGTTTACATTGCCCATGAAAGTCAACAAAACAAGTGCTCTCATATTGCTACTTAAGTACGTCCCCTGAATCCGATTGCACACCCTCTTGCATGTTGTGGCATGTTTTTGGGATTTGGTGCAAAAAGTTTGAAAATGGTCAAACTTTTGAGTAAACAACTCCCAACATTCCTTTTGTTCTCTGATCACCGAGGCGTAGCACAACAATGTTGGATCCATTTGCACAGCTTCTCCAACATTGCTGGGGCCATGCACGAGTATTACACGTGGTCTTCTTTGAGTTTACAAAGTCTTATGGGTTGTATCCTTCCCATAATGCACTGTAGGTCCAACATTGTTGGGAGTTGTTGCATCCGTTTGCACACCACTGCCAACACACATGCAACAACTCCCAACATTGTTGGGCTGTTGGGAGTTGTTGAGGTCCATTAGACATACTTGTAGCTTATTAAAAAAAATAAAGCAGGGAATTATAGCGCATTTTTAAGCCCTCCTTTTAATTGCTTGCATGGACAAGCTTCAATCTTGGACAAAACTGTTGAGAAAATTGCCTTCTTGGGGGTCATTTTTTCTAAACTTCGTAGCCGACCGATTCTTCCCTCCCCCTCTCCCCCTGGAAGCAATGTTGTTGGGTCTTCAAAAGAAAGCCGGATCCCTATGCACTTGTAGGAAGCAACTTTGAACTGGGGGAAGGGGGTTTCTTTACGCAAAGCTGTTGATTTGGGAATAGTTTTGTTGCGTTAGGTAGTGCGCATTAATGAAAACATTTTCTCAAGTAGTTTTGTCCAGGATTGTAGTACAGCCAATCAAAAGTTGTAACCCACCTGAGGGATGCTGTTTAAAATCTTCTGCTCTGCCAAGTACAAAGTGTTCTGTTAACAGAAATATAAAAGAAACAGTAAGATTGCCTAGTTACAGTGTATAGTATAACCTTCATGCCTGCAGATAACCTTAAACATTCACCAAAACAAAAGTGTGTGAATTACATTGACTCTTTCCTGCTGAAGAGCAATCATTTGACTGACCAATCACATTACTGTACTTCAATCAAAGACTTACCCACTAAAGAACTAGGCCACATGATCTCCACTATGAGATCTACTGATGAAACGGTGACCTTTCATAGTGGAACTACAGTACAAAGCTGAGATGACAGTTCCACCTATTTTCTAAATACTAATGTTTGCAATATATCACCATCTCTTCTAGACAGAAAAAGTAAAACCCCTCCTTCCCCCCTATTCAAACTTCCTTTGGTCTAAAAACCAATGTGTATAATTCTCATGTTACGCGAAACAAGATTGGATAAGGGGAGCTGGGAAAACGGACACTCATTTGGTGACAGTTTCCATTAATTTTTTGCTAGGATGACAGGAAGAATAGGTATTTTAGCAATGTGTCTCAACAGGTTTTGTCCAGGGTTATAGATTTATGGTAGGTCTTGAAACACAATAGGGAACAGATTTACTGTTGAAGGTAATGTGGCTGAGTGGTCACCACATTGCACTTGCTATCTGGCAGTCCTGGGTTCAAGTCCCGCCCTGACCGCTAGCTGGATTTGTTCTGAGTTCAAATCCCCCGCCACACATGTAAATAGTCATGATCAACTGGTTGCTTCCTGTCAGTTGGGGTTTTTAATCCTCCTGTTGTGTTCTGTTTGGATTATTTGCTTCTAATAATAATTATTATTATTATTTGAGTGGAGTTCCTGTAAATTAGCTAGATAAACTAAGTTCACTTTCCACCATAAACAAACCTTTAACTTTTTTTAGTAAGTAAAAGATAACATGAACTGCTGAGTCAATGTGGAGTGTGCAATGGGGTAACCTTGTTTGGTGTAAAACAGAACTGAGAACATAAACATATCTTTAACCCCCTTTAACCTCTATATCAACAAGCATATTCTCTACACTGTTGTCCACATATTTCTCCTTGTACCACTGGGGAGAATTTGTTTAAAAGTAGACTAGTCTCTATTCAACAAACTAGGAAGACTCACCTGAACTGAGGGTGAATAGACACCAGTATGAGGAGGACCAGCAAACTCTTCCACGATGGTGCTCTTGACAAAATTCCTTTGGAATCAAAACAGAGGCCTATTTAGAGGTTCCCCAGGGTTGTCAAAAGTAGCTGGTTGCCGGCGAAAATTGCCACCTACTTGGTTAGTATCGACCAGCTCTTGACTCCGCTTGGCATTTCTTTACGGATGGCATTTTTTAAATAAAATATCCCTGGACTGGCATTTACTTTGACAATTAATCCATCTACTTCAAAACTTTTTGTCCCCACAAAGGTTTTTCAGGATTCAGGGTTTAAAAGGGAGGGAGAGTGAGAATGGAATTGGATAAGAAAGGGGTACAGGATTTATTAATATTATTTTACTCTGCAGGATTAAGGAAACATTGTTACAGAATGAATATTCAGGAAGAAAAGAGAAATCCATTTTTCTAGAAAACAATGTTAAAAAATCCTAAGATTTTGCAACCTAACAAAAGTTAGTTACAAACATTTTTCTCTAACCTATCAAGCACCTGCTTTGAGTCAGTAGCACTTTTTTATCCCCCAGTCTACAAGTATTAACCTCTGAGCAACAGCTCTATTCAAAATATGTTCAAAATCAGGATTAGCTAATAAAAGCCCTCCAGTAAGGGTTTGTTTTGACAAGTGACAATTATAGCCTTAAAACAGCAATGAAAGGCAGGTGAAGTGATGACAATGACATGAAGCGGGATGGAAACTGCAACAACAAAGAAGGCAACTGCAAATACATTGATTTTAGTAGTTTACATGTGGTAACATGATAAGATACCAACAGGGACACAAACCATTAAACCAAAAAATTTCCATGTCAGACATATGATACCGCACCAAGAAAGGGCCTAATAACATGTCAATGATGACAATTACCGTAAAATTGCAAAAAAAAGCCCCTCCATGTATAAGCCCAGGCTCCAAATATAAGCCCCCCAAACCGGTACTGTAAAAAACCCTCCTTTAAATCGCCCCTCCAAATATAAGCCCCCTGGGGGCTTGAAATAATTGGAAAATTGCCCTCAAATACAAAGTAAAACAACGGTAAATTTACGTCCAACTATAAGGCTAGCCCAATCGATTTTGAGACACAAATTTTCCTCCGTAGGTAAGCCCCTCCGAATATAAGCCCCTACAAAAATAAGCCCCTCAAAAAAGGCCTTTGAAAAATATAAGCCCCAGGGCTTATTTTGGAATTTTACAGTATACACATTGCCCAACAGGCATGGCCATCATTGACCCATAAAAGAAATTCAGATATATGAAGCACATTTACAACGAAAAATTTGGTCCGGACCAGTAAAAAAAAGTGGTACAGTACCACTAATTTTAAAGAAATACTGGAGTTTCAACAAGGCTACAGGGACCTACATGTATGGTCCTGTGGAAACTCCAACTTTCGAATAATTTTTTTTTAAAGTTACCACCACCATACCACTAATTGTTTGACTCGTCTGTAGTGACTGACTCGTCTGTGGTGTAAACATATGTTTTTAACACTCAATATTACTTACCAGCAGTTATCAAAATTAACACCTTTCATCGCATCAAACTGGTATCGGCAGTATACTTTGGTACAAAATGTGCGGTCAGTTGATTCTGGCAAAATAGTGTACTTGTCTTTACAAAATCCTGCAGGATTGAAACAAGGTTACTATAATTTATCAAGAAAGATTAATAGCTGCTGAAAAACAGTGCAATTTTTTATTTCTTTTACATAACAAAGCTGTTACCAGTAAATCCTGATTGAGTTGTCTTGAGAATCCTCATTTCTTTGAGACCACCAGACAGCTTTGGTTTTTCTATGCAAAAAGGTCAGAAGTAATCATTTTATTTTCAAGGTAATCACCTATTAGTATAGGTAATAGCATGATTAGTAGTGATATTTTTTTTTGATATTTCAAAAGGTAATCATTTCCTGTTCAGGCGAAAGTGAAATTTTAGACAAGAAATAAGTCAAAATTACAAATCATGCTATTATTTGTTTATACTGCTACCCGTAAAAGGTTTGTAATTTTCACATGTAGGTATTTCAAATTAAGCTGAAATACCACTCCTCTAAGCCAATCAAATCGCAGAAATTTTTTATGTAGTGGTATAAATATCAGAATAAGTCAATTTAGCATTATATCTTAATTGAATTTGTGACATTGCTGGCTTCATTCAAAAGGCATCATTCAAAGTAACAGTCGAACTCTCCACAAACAGCCACCTCTAGATCTCTACAACATCCACTTTTTGTGGTCCCAGAGGAGCTGATCCATACATTGACTCTTGTTTAACCCTCTCTGCAACAGCCACTTTGTTCTTTTCCCAAGGTGGCCATTGTGGAGATCGAGGTTCAACTATAGTAAACACTTCTCAACCGACAAAAGGTTTTTTCTTTACCTAATCCAAAACAGGAAAACGAACATCAGCACTGCTCTCAACTTAGAGCATTAACTAACAATCAATAACATTTTTATGTCTTACAAATATTTGAAGAAATTAAACTCAAGAATTTAATTAAGGTCTGAAAATAAGATTTTCAGAATAAAAGAACACAAACCTCCTCTCGCATAAGTGACAGAGCAGAATCTTATCACTTCTGGGCTGTAAACAAATGCATGAGCATGCTCAACACCTCCCTGTTTCAAAAGAAGATGGAACACTATAAGTTAAGTTGAACTTTTCTCATTTCACAACTGATAATTAGACTTTCTAGCAAAATCTGTGCCAAAAAAATAATGACCAGAGCATAAATAAGGCAACATTTTTTTCTCACATTAATACCACTTCCTTTGTAACACCTACAACCTGAAAACAAGTCTCTAAAAAAAACTTTTCCAAAATATATCTGTGCAATTATTGTTCACATGTAACATGTTTATTGCATTAGCAGCCAAAAAATATATGTTTATGAACTGAGATTTTTTGTTTAGCTCAACATGAGGGTCTTTTTGGTTTGAACCCCTGGCCACTTCCTACAGCACCTAAAAAACCCAGTTTAGCTCGACCCCCTCCCAATGATATCAGAATATCCACTGACCGCGTGCATGGGGTAGGTGGATATTTTCTGGAACCACACAATCCATAATCCACACCCCCTCCGGGGAGGAGGGTACTAGACAGAGTATGGGGCGAGGAGCCAGGAGACTCAAGAAAATAGAAGCTGGAGCAGGTTGCGAAGAAAATCATGTTTACAGCTTGCCATTCAGGCAAGCTGAAGCTAACATTTACTAGCCCAGACGTCATTTCAACTAGCCCAAAAGCTCTTTGACGAGCAGAATTGATCTCACAGTTCTTCTGTTTTTCGAATTCCTCAAAATAGATCACTTGCCCATCGGGCAAGTTGAAAACAGAATTCATCAGCCCAATAGCAAAATCCACTAGCCACGGGCTGTCAGACACCACTTTCTTTGCACACTGTGGAGTGTGTGAAGTTACACTAACATTTCTCCTTTTCAGGTGGAGTTGTACATATAAGCATTAACTAACAGAAAAAGCTTATGTGAAGGAGGGGGTAGATAAGCTTTTTGGTCTGATATTTGATGAAACAACAGAATTAACAGCTAGCATGGTACCTGTTGAAGGCTTCTCCAAGGTGTTTCCTCAATTTCAACAGATACCTGATTAACCTGTATATTGCAAGAAAGATACATCACTACTTAAAGATTTGCTAATAACACTTTGTGAGAAAAAAACAGTACTTGTTATCTACTCAGCAAATTTTTGCACTATTGAACGAAGCACCCAAAATACAATGTGTTAAATACAAAAGATAACCACATAAAAAAATTCACAATACCTGCTTGTGTGTTGATAGGAAATGAGTGCAGATGTCGAGGGCAAAATCCTCAATGGTATTGAGCTGTAAAACCCAAAAATATTATTGTATGGTTATACATATTGTACAAGTTGTAGTTGTCTAAAATATTCTGGGTCTAAAATAGTGTCCTCCATTAGTACTTGTTTTATGCTTAAAATACATTGACACTGAACAAGTCATTTTCCCTAGAATTCAGTGCAATTGAGTAAGGTAACCTTACTCAAGTGCAATGAATTCTGGGCAAAATGACTTGTTCAGCGTCAATGATATGTATTTAGTACGAGTAAAGTACTAATGAAGGAGACTATTTTTACATCTTCTACTGAAGTTGGGACCACAATTTTACATGGCCATCTGAGACTCATAAAGGCTTAGCCGTTTGAAGGGCAAAAGCAGTACCTTCATTTCTCAATTATTTTAAGACCATGAGTATTGGTCCGGCCCCAGGGATATTCAGGCGATTGAATTCACAAGGTCCTGCATTGAATAGTCAAGCACTCCACTGACTGAGCTACATCTAGTTCTGCTGCAGTACATGAACATAAATGGTAAGGTAGATTCTGAACTGCCCAGTCACCTCAACCACCTAGAGGGTTTGCAATAAGAGCTGGCGGCCAGCAAAATTCGCCGGCTATTTCATGTGAACTCACTGCCCACTTTTCTTTGGAAATTACCCCCCAAAAAGCTAAAATTTAATGATGTCTGTGTTCTGTTCAAACACTCTAATTTTGCTCCAGAATGCTGGAAATGCACTCTAACAGGCCCAGCTTTCAAAATTTTTCCAGGAAGTATGCCCCCGCACCCCCATAGTAACTCCCACTTTTGGCGCAAGTTTTTCCTTCTTCGCCTATTCCAAAGCTTTTGCCACCTACTTAAAACCTTATTGAAAACCCTGAGCCTAAGAGGGGTCTTTAGTTCACTAGAACAATCCAAAGGTCAGACGCACTCCTACACGATTGTTTCAATCGCCTGAACATATTTCGGGATGACTTGGATAACCACAATGATCCGGGGCCCAGTTGTTCAAATGCTGGATAATGCTATCTACCGCATAGATCAGTAAAAAGCAGATAAGTTTTAGGGAAACCAATTACGCTATCCTGGATTGTGATTTATCCAGTGGATATAGTATTATCCACCTTTGGAACATTTACTGGGGCCAGATGATTTTGTTGAACTTGCACAAGATGGTATATTTTAAATACAGGAGCTATTTCATGTTTTTGGCAAAACTTTTATCTTTGATCATTAACCCATTCGCCCCTGAACCGCCCGTAACCGCCCGTGCGGATCCAGGTCCTTTCTACCCTTTGTGACGTCATCAGTTTTAACGGTCAAGGACAACTTTCTTCGCTAACTTGTGCAGAGTGAAGAGATCTTTCAAACCATACCAGAATGAGCACAATTCAGTCAAGGACACCGGAGAAAGAAGCAAAAAACCACGTGACAAGGACCTGAAAATCTCCATGAAAATCTTGTTCCATTACCCACCTACCTTTCCTTTCACCTAATCCTAAGATCCTAAAAGCTTTCCTAAAAACTCTTCCCACCAAAATGAAGCCTACTAAATGCCCAGCAAGAGAAAAAAAAATGAGGCAAGAAAAGCGAAAAAAGAAGGGAGGAGAGAAAGCGAAAAGTAAAAGTCAAGACTACTGTGTCACTTTTAAACCCAAAAACTTCGAAATTTTGCTTTTTGCGCATGCCCGAACTTCGCAAGCTGATATTTTGCATCTGGATCAGAAGGCCGCCAAGTGTACGACCTGTAAACCGGTTTGTGGTAAGTTTTAGCTCTTTATAGCACGACAGTGACCAGAAAACCACTCGACTAGCTTCAAAACGCGTTTTTCGGCAAAATCTCCAGGAGCGAATGGGTTAAGCAGAGTACCAAGCTTTTTGAAAAAAATCCACTTTTCAGCATAAAACAACCAAATCTGTCTATTTCATGTAAAATCAGGTGAAAAAGTTGGTAAAAGGCCATTTTTAGGTTTTTTGATTAACCCATTCACCCCTGAACCGCCTGTAACCGCCCATGTGGATCCAGGTCCTTTCTACCCTTTGTGACGTCATCAGTTTTAACAGTCAAGGACAACTTTCTTCGCTAACTTGTGCAGAGTGAAGAGATCTTTCAAACCATACCAGAATGAGCACAATTCAGTCAAGGACACCGGAGAAAGAAGCAAAAAACCACGTGACAAGGACCCGAAAATCTCCATGAAAATCTTGTTCCATTACCCACCTACCTTTCCTTTCACCTAATCCTAAGATCCTAAAAGCTTTCCTAAAAACTCTTCCCACCAAAATGAAGCCTACTAAATGCCCAGCAAGAGAAAAAAAAATGAGGCAAGAAAAGCGAAAAAAGAAGGGAGGAGAGAAAGCGAAAAGTAAAAGTCAAGACTACTGTGTCACTTTTAAACCCAAAAACTAAGTAAAATTTTGCTTTTTGCGCATGCCCGAACCGCAAGCTGATATTTTACATCTGGATCAGAAGGCCGCCAAGTGTACGACCTGTAAACCGGTTTGTGGTAAGTTTTAGCTCTTTATAGCACGACAGTGACCAGAAAACCACTCGACTAGCTTCAACACGGCGTTTTTCGGGCAAAATCTCCAGGAGCGAATGGGTTAAGCAGAGTACCAAGCTTTTTTGAAAAAATCCACTTTTCAGCATAAAACAACCAAATCTGTCTATTTCATGTAAAATCAGGTGAAAAAAAGTTGGTAAAAGGCCATATTTAGGTTTTTTGATTAACCCATTCGCCCCTGAACCGCCCGTAACCGCCCGTGCGGATCCAGGTCCTTTCTACCCTTTGTGACGTCATCAGTTTTAACCGTCAAGGACAACTTTCTTCGCTAACTTGTGCAGAGTGAAGAGATCTTTCAAACCATACCAGAATGAGCACAATTCAGTCAAGGACACCGGAGAAAGAAGCAAAAAACCACGTGACAAGGACCTGAAAATCTCCATGAAAATCTTGTTCCATTACCCACCTACCTTTCCTTTCACCTAATCCTAAGATCCTAAAAGCTTTCCTAAAAACTCTTCCCACCAAAATGAAGCCTACTAAATGCCCAGCAAGAGAAAAAAAAATGAGGCAAGAAAAGTGAAAAAAGAAGGGAGGAGAGAAAGCGAAAAGTAAAAGTCAAGACTACTGTGTCACTTTTAAACCCAAAAACTAAGTCGAAATTTTGCTTTTTGCGCATGCCCGAACTTCGCAAGCTGATATTTTGCATCTGGATCAGAAGGCCGCCAAGTGTACGACCTGTAAACCGGTTTGTGGTAAGTTTTAGCTCTTTATAGCACGACAGTGACCAGAAAACCACTCGACTAGCTTCAAAACGCGTTTTTCGGCAAAATCTTTAGGAGCGAATGGGTTAAATGAGTAGTAAATTTTACTAGTCTGGGCCTGGGCAACCCACAGGAATTTGACTTAGTGAAGCACAAGTGGGTAGGAAATTTGACATCCTGAACGTCTCCAAGGTGGGAAACTTGACTTAACTGCCATCTTGGAAAGTGGAGAGGACCTGGGTAGTTCACCCCAGGGGCGGGAATTTGACTCACATCGAAGACTCAAAGGTAGGGAAATTGACATTATATCCTGGTGCAAACCATTGACAGGTCACGAGTTCCCAATAGCCCTCAAAACAAATAATATGCTAATTAATTCAAGTAATATTTTATCAGAAAATGTGTCCCTCAAGTAATCTACAGAAATTTTGTATTTCTGCTCCATACCGTCTGAAAAATTTCGTGTTCACTTGAACATTCTTCAGAAATTCCATCTTTCCATAGAACTTTAACTCCTCCGAAAGGGGACATTGGGGGGTACCCAATACCACAATACCGTAAGAAAAATTGGCAAATAGCGAAAAACCGTGTTGAAAATCGACGAAATACCGATACCGTATTTATGATCTGTAATGCTTACTCAAAGTTTTATCCATCTCGCGTGTTTGTTTATCTCAAGCATCTATGCACCAGCAATCAACCTCAGCCACTGTGAGGAAACGTAAGATTACCTCGAACTGATCAGAAGATTGAAAAGGATGCCCTACCAATTTCATTCATCATAGATTAACTGTCAGTACCACAATTCTGTGTTTTCCCTCAGGTGGCCAGACATTTTCTTTGGGCGGGATGATTTTCGGGGGAGGGGGACATGCGGCCTTACAGCTAAGTAGGGTATTCTGATGAAACAAACCTAAGCTTAAGTTTCTCAGCTTTATCAAGTTAAGCATCGTGCTCGAACCTTACACATGTCAGCCATTTGGAGTTTTACTGTTGACAGCGGCTCGACTACAAACCAGTCCTGTGGGAGTTGAACTCTTTTCTTATGTAAACGTTTTCTTTTGTTCCAATAAATTTGCACAGTAAAATGAATGAATTTACTTGCCTGATGCTGTTTTGCTAAAGCATACACGGTGTTTTTTTGAGTATCGGTAGGTACTATGCTGGCATTGTCGCCGCGGAAATAGTCATCGTAGTTGTTCAACTTCAGCTCTGTAGACACTTCGATTTGCTTGATTCCGTGATATTTTCCACTCCGTCTAATCTTGAGGAGACAAACTCCGGTCTTTCCATAGCCAGTGAAACTGGGATCAATTTGGACCGAGGTCATGTCTAACCACGAGGGACAACACAGTTTTTTTTTTTTTTTTTCCAACACAGTTTCCGGAAGGTCTCCGCTCCGGAAGGTTAAATTTCGTGTCGAACTAACTCATGCGTAATCGAGTATTCGATTTAGCCTCGACATGGGGTTGAGGCCTTCAAGGCGCGCATTCTGAAAAATGGCGGCAAGCGAAACCATCTTAAGTTCGTGGAAAACTCCGTTTTCTACCCCGATTAGAAAGGACGAAAACGCTTGTCGAGATTTATTTCAAAATTCCGAAAAGCTTCTGGCTTCTGCAGTCTCGATTTGCCGGCTTAAAGGTAGCGTAGAGTGTCAAACCGGTGGTTTAATTACGGTATGCGAGGAGCTTCAAAGCCTCATTCGCTTGGCTTTTACAGGTGAGCTTGTTACTGTTGTTACTCATACTGTTGTGTTTGATGCTCTTCCATCCAACCTAAAACGCTTTTATTTTTATACCTGAAAATAGAAATGAAAGTTTTCGGCTAAAATACTTGTACAAGTCGAGCCGCTGTCAACAGTAAAACTCCAAATGGCTGACATGTGTAAGGTTCGAGCACGATGCTTAACTTGATAAAGCTGAGAAACTTAAGCTTAGGTTTGTTTCATCAGAATACCCTACTTAGCTGTTTTTCTCAGTTGAAGATGTTAGAATAACTTTACTTTAGGGCATTGTTTATAAAACACATTTAATACATAACTTACATGTAACTTTTCATGGTAGAAATTAGACGACTGGAAAAAGATTTTAGTGCTCAAAAAATTCACCTAGAGGACGAAGTAAATTGCCTAAAAGAACGTATCAAGTATCTTGAGGCAAGGGGCGCTAAAAAATACACAGAAAAGCAAGAACAAAAAACAGTTTCTGGTGATGAGAAAAATGACTGGTAAGTAATGTGTAACTATAATTATATATTTACCTGTTAAATCTAGGATTTAATAATCATTTTATGGAACTTCTTTGGGTAAAATTCCGCGGGGGGCGGAGGTGGGACTCCCATATAAAAGTGATGGGATGCACTTTCTTAGGGTAGAAATTGCAGTTTTGGTCTCACTTAAAGTGTTCATGATGAAAACCCATAATTTTTGCCCATAAAGATATCGTGTAGTATTATGCATAAAGAATTGTGAAATGCCTAGTTAAATAAAAAAGTAAATGCTGTCATACTGTCTTGAAGCATGGTTTTCTTAAGGTATCATATAAAGCCTGATCCATGCCCAGATTGTTGTTCTTTAGGGTTCAATAAATTTTAATTTTCCGAGGAGCATCCCCTGTGCTTTTGTTTAAGATTCCTCTCCCCCACATGCCCTGAGTAAAATCCTATGCTGAAAATTAACTCCCCTCCTCAAAAAAAGTTTTGGGAATGCAGCATGCAAAGAAAGCAGTGCCCGACAGCCCGGGGCTAGTTGATTTTGTTATCAGGCTAGTGAATTCTGTTCTTAACTTGCCCAACGGGCAAGTGAAGTTTTTTTACAGAAGAACTGTGAAATCAATTCTCCTCACCAAAACATTTTTGGGGCTAGTTGAAATAACGTTTTGGCTAGTAAATGCTAGCTTCAGCTTGCCCGAATGGCAAGTTGTTAAAGTGACTTTCTCTGCACCCTGGGAGCAGTTGCATTTTCAAAAAAAAAAGACATAGTGGAAAATCTACTCCATGGATAACAAAATAGTTATCATTTGTATGCTAATGTTGAGTGGGTTGAGAAAAGATCCATATAATTTGTAGGAGAGTTGTCTAATGTCATTACCAGTTCCTACAGCCTGTACCTGAACTCCGTATTATATCTATTGTACTGTTTCTTTTATAGTGTACAGGATGTGTGGTGCAAAATATGCCTAGAGATGTTCTTTTTAAAATAAAATTTAAAAATTGTTCCTGAAAATGTTGTGCAGCACCTACTGAATATTTGCTTTTATAATTAGTGAATGATTGGCTTTGGAAGGTTTCATTATCATACATTGTTTGTTTCTGTATTAAACAGTAATACAACATAACATAATGATGTATTATATCTGTTGTTATCCTGCAGTCAGGAATCAAAAGAAGCTGTGGAGAGTACTTTGTGTACAGATACCAACGACCGGTATTCACCATCTGCTGAGGATGACAACTTAGAAGAAAGTGATCCCTACATTTTTGAGGTTGGCAATACAGAGGTCAGTGCAGCCCCTGTTGAAGATACTCTGTGTCTCAAAGACAAGAAGGTGTCAAATTCCCTACCGGAAAACAAAAAATTGAATTCCAACAAAAGATTGAAAAAGCTGTCTTCTAAAAAATCTGGTAGTCTGTCTACCATGATAAATGGAAGTGATGCAGGTGACCAGCAAATCGTCTCAGCAACCTCAAGTGTTCAAGAAATTGTTGCCGAAAAGCAACGTAGAAGATCTGAAAGCACAGAAGATACATCTTACGCTAAAAGTGATGATCAAAACAATAGAAAACAGAAGAAAAGCTCAAGCAATGAGCAAGCATCAGAGCCAGAAGAGTCCAGTTCCAAATGTAAACCCAAAGGTGCCAAAAGAGCCTCTTCCAGAAGTAAAGAAATGGAAGAAAGCAAAGAAGTGTCAATGGATGTCGAGGTAGCACAAGTTGAGACTACTAAGGAATCTGAGACAGGGTGTACAGAAGAAGTCCACAAGAACAACAAAGATAAAGCTAAAGTGAGGAAGAAAAAATCCTCAAAAGATCACATACATGCAGATGATGAAAATGAGCAGAATGACCTTAAAGAGTCCAAGAAGACCAAGAAAAAGAGATCTTCTGCAGCTGAGCAAGAATCTGATGATGTGTTCCAGGCTGAAAGCAATGTTAATAAATCCAATGTGAATACTGAGCCAAAAAACGAATCCCCTGTCCTCAAAAAACCTAAAGAAAGTTTAAGCAAGAAACTTTCTTCTGGCAAAAAGACAAAGGCAGTTTTTGAGGAGAGTGTGATCAAAGCAAGTGAGAAGATTGAAGATGAGAAATCTGAAACAGAATGTGCTTCTGCCGGTGACACGGATGGTACGAACAGTAATTCTGTAAACAAACAGTTACCAGATGAACCACTGGGAGATATGACCTTCCTCATCAATGTCAATTCTCAGATCTCTGTCTTTGTATCCAATGGCTCACTAGAAGAATGCGAGCTACAGCCCATGACTGCCCGGGAAAGAAATGATGTCTACAAGATGGCTCAGCTGTACAAGCTTCGTGCACGTATTGGCACAAAGTCCGAGAATAACCTAACAACAGTGCGCCTGTCCAAACAAGCCGATACAAGGATGCCAAAGCCTGGTAAAGTTGATTGCTTACTAAGTGAGCTCAGCATGGCTGCACTCAAAAAGGGAGTTAAAGATAGCCCTAAGAACCAAGGCAAGCGAAAATATGCCGCAGTTGCAGATGGAAGTGTGTGTTCTTTGCCTACAGTATGTACAGATGATGATCATGACCAAGAAGGTCCTCCAAGGAAGAAAATTACAAAACTTTCAAGGGCCAAGAAGATTAAGTCTTGAAATCCGCTGTTTTGAACACATTTGTAGCACATTTGCATTTGTTAGTGATCTTTAGCCTACAGCTGTAGTTATACTAATCCACTCAACCTCAACACTGTTATTGCCAATGGAAAGCACTTTGAATACTACATGTAATAGTTATTGACCTTCTCTTAACACCAATGCATCATTCTTATACATCACCTTATTATACTCTTAGAATGAATCATATCTTTATATAAAACTGTTATAGTCTTTTAAAACATTTTAAAGGTGCTTTGTTTATGTAAGTCTTATTTTCAACAGTTTCAGTGAGATAATTATTTTCAATTACATTTTTAATGATGTAATTTGAATAGGATTAATCTATACATTGAAGCGATTTTGCACATTCGGAACTGACTCCTAAGTCAGTGCTTAAAACAATAGGCTATGTAAACAAACTGACCTAGATGTACCGGTACATGTGAACGTAATAGGTAAGTTTCTTTATTTCAAAATGATGATTGCCTACAATAGAGAACATTGTAGTTGGCATTGTGATTGAGGTTACTTGAATGAAACAAATCTTGCCAGCCAAACTTCAATATAGACCATTCATTGATTAAAATTTGTCATAAATGGGAAGCATTATATTTTTGCAAGGGTGGGGGTGGAAAAAAAGCAGAGCATTTGAGTCATATCCCTCCTCCCATTGAGGGTTTATTGGTTTAAACCTGCCTCCACCCCTCTGAAATTTCCATTTAAGGTTCATATCTTCCTTTAAAGTTTTTAGCCAGCTTTACAACCCTTCTCCACATCAGAATTTCCAGTGATCATCTTCATGAAGTACAGCATACATTATGTCTGTTGAAAATTTGTTTGGAAAAATGAAGTCATTATTTTATGCCTTTTCAAAGACCCTGCACATACATGCACTAAGAGTCTTTTCTCATCAACTTTAAGAATGATAACATAGTTTTTGGATCAATGAATTTAATAAATATTCGATGAAATGGCTCTGTCACCTGTGATCTTTTCCCTTAAAAACTTAAGTTACAGACAACAACAACCATGAGAAAAATGATTTGAATACAACAGCAACCATTAATTAAGGTGTATTTTTTCTATTGGTGGCCCGCAGCATCTCAACTCAAAGAAACTGAAGTGAAACTTTTGATATTTTAACCTGCAGAATGCCACTTTACAACAGTACAACTCCTTACTGGAGTGATCCAGTTGAGGAGGGAAGCCACATACACTCAATTTCTTTTTTCAATGCACTTTGGCTTTAAAAAATGCACTTTTTTTGAGTGTCAATGTATTTAGCACTAAAGTTCTAAATAAGGACGCTATTTTAATGTCTCCCACTGGAGACAAGGCCACCATTTTATGTGGTCATTCAAGCCATGTGAAGGTCTGGCTGATTGCATGCAGGGCAAAGGTAGTACCTTCATTTCTCAGTTATTTCAGAGAGTATTAGTCCAGCCTCTGGAATAGAACCCCTGACCTCCTGCTTTGCAATCAAAAACACTCTACAGAATGAGCTAATTACATGTATCCTGCTGCAGTTAGTATAAAGAGACAACATATGTCACTTTTCATCATTTATTTCAAAACCACAATTGCTTTCACCTTTATGCTCCATAATATTGAAGTCCTAAGAGTGATCAGTATCTATTTTCTCCTTAGAGTGTTGCCCTGTACTTAATGAAAATGTTAAGGTCATGGGAATTATTTCTCATTGCACAAAGTAAAAAAATATTCTCTTGATCATGAAACAATTTTATTATTCTTCTCATCAGCACCAAAGAAAATGTATGGAGAACAGTGAGGAGAAAATGAATGCTGATATCAGGGCTGAAAATGTCAACATCATAGTCATCTTAATAACTTAACCTCTTGCCTACCAGAGCCAAATACACCAAGCAACCGGCAACCACTTCTCACGACCAGAGTTCATTTATTCAAGTCAACTTGTACGACTGGACATATATATTTGTCCTCGGTCAGTAAGTGACTTCACACGGGACATATATAAACGTCCTTGGTAGGCATGGGGTTAATAATGGCTAAGGAGTCTCAGTCATTCATCTAGTGCATGCACCATCACTTTAATACCCCAAACCCTATTCTCAAAGTAGAAAATTCTCCTTCCTTTCATGAAATTGCTACATCAAGAAAATTCTTCTTGTTTGATCATTTTTTTAAATTACTATAACCTTGTATTGGTTAAGCATTGATCTTGCCAGGAGAAATTGGATTCTGATCACTCTTGGGGCTGTAAGAGATGAAATAAAGTTTTTTTTCTTAAATTTCTACTTCTTTTAAATGACAATAAAGATTAGTTTATCGATTGCTAATTATCCTCAATGTATTCAATAATGCGTAGCCGGCAGTTTTTTTGTGCTTTTTTCATTTGTGTTTTGTAAAGTAAAGGATTCAGCAGTGCAAAAGCTAAACTGAGATCAAACAGGAAAATGATGGGAAAGGGGTAAGGAGAAAAACACACCGCAAAAATGCCTGCTTAAACAGGCTAAATGATGTGAAAAATGACTTAAAGGTTTGTCACTTTAAAATCTGAACTCTTGTTACACAACTGAATAAAAAATATATATACCTATATTCAAATTTGACCTAGGGCCATGCCTTCAAATATAATAGAATAAAAAGCCTGAGTAAAATTATAAGAACCCCTTCTAGAGTAACAAGCAGGGCTCACTATGCCTGGACAGGAGTTTCAACAATTCAAAGTTATTGTTGCTTCCACTCCAGTAAGCACACAATAAAACGATGTCCCAGCCTGAGTGGAAAACAAAAGTAGAGAAGTTTGATGTCACAAAAATTTATTTAGAAAGAACGAGATAACAACTATGAATTTGCAAAAGCTCATCTTGTTAGAACAAACTGGCGATAAGATTTAAGCAATGTTATGCTCTGATGACTCCATATTCAAATCCCTCTAAACTTGGCTTAGAGTCCAGGTAAATTTCAGAAGGATTTGTTGCTTATATTACACCGGTAATTTGCTGCAACAAGTTGCACTTTGGTAAATGGAAAGTCTTCATCTTGTTCTTTCTGATTATCCCACCCAGTCGGATAATTTCTTAAATCTAGTTTCCATGACACCACCACTGCTTGACTCTATTACATATAAATCACTGTCTCAATTTCTGTCACCCCAAACCTGGAAGTGGTACCTTTGTTCACCGGAATATGGGAACAGTCTTTAAAAAGGCTAAAGAAATCATAAAAAAATCCTAAATGATTACCTTTCGTAAAATCCTAAAGTAACAATCTTGCCATAACAAGTCATAATCTAGGATTAAAAGGGTTAACTAATTTCGATCTTCCTTTATAAAAAAGTGTCACACTTACTTCTGTTTTTGCAGATGATACTAATAAACAGATTAACACTAGTGTGAGGCAAATCCTCATACTACCCATAGTACTAACTAAAAAATTGTTGACAATTGCTTTAAAACAAAAAATACGTTTTCAAGAAAAAAGAGTTAGAAAAGATCAAACGTTCATGCATTTGACCACTGCTTTAAAGCAAAACATGGTACTTACATCTTCCACCTCTTATTACTCCTTAAGTATTAATATTTAAAATCAGGATGTGACTCTTTAGTTAATCGCATCAGTTCCTTCTGTCTGTCCTTGTAAGGCTGTTTCTCCTCAGGTTTCATTCTTCGCCACGCCTCAGCAAGAAGGGTGCTGATCTTGCGATTATCCTTGCCTGGATACAGCCGTTTGAATAAGCCACGGTACTCTCTACTAAACAGTAGGAATGAATTCATTGGCCTCTTAACATGTGGAGTCATTTCATCAGTTTTGACTCCTTTCACTGCACATTCGACCTCCACTGGTTCCTCTGATTCCTGGCTTCCCACTTCTGAGGTTGGCGAAGGTAATGTAACTGGAACACTGTCGTTGATGACAAGTTCTGGAGTGCCTGGGAAGCTACTGGATTCATCAGAAATTGTGGACACCTCATTGGCTGGATCAGTGGTGTCAAGAGGACCATCACTGAGATTGATCATCAAGTTGTCTTGCAGTGCAGCCTTCACATCTTCCGTCTTGAGCCCTTTTTGCAGATAGGCTTCTCGGATGTCTTCTTGTAGCTGTATGATACGACTTATTGCCCTTTCAAGTATTTCCTTCCTTGATGGACGGTTTCTTTTTAGTTCCACCCATGGTAACATGTTACTCAGGTGTTCTAGCTTGTCTCTAATAGCTTTTTCTCTCTTTCTTTGCCTGCAAATACAATATGGTCAAAATGTTTTTTGCTCTTCAAAGAGTGCTCAGTATGGCTACACTAAAACTTAAGTTTAAATAAAGTTAATGTACGTGTGTATGTTCAAAACAATAGTGATAGTGCCCACTGCTCAATAGCTACTCCAACTAACTTAGTCCAAACATTATAAGTGTTAAAAGTTAAAGCCCACTGCTGTAATGTGTGTAACTTAGTCCATTCAAAAACTATCCTAAAAGTTATGCCTGCCCACTGCTCAAGAGCAAGTAAGTGTACTCCAAGTAACTTAGTCCATTCAACATTATAGCTAGTGTCCAGAGGGGCCCTGAAGTTTATCATCCATGAGAAAGGCTCCTGAATTATTGATACAGCTTTCATGTGACAAGCACCTTTCATATGTTCTTCACAAATAAGTGACGTTTAAGTGGTATGGGTTTAGTTGTACAGGTCATGATAAGTCACAGGGCATTAAATGCAAGATATAAAATTAATATTTCAGGAAAGAAACTGCATATAAATCCAGATTTAATGTGATGCTACCCAATTAATCTGTCATAAGACTTACATGGCTTTTTGCTGCAAATAGTTAATTGGATCTACTTTCTTCCTTGGCTTCTTGCACTTCTTCTTGTCCTGACTTTGAGTATCTGAAGTTAACTTAGGCCTCTTTAATTTCCAAGGGGTTTGAGTTCTTACCTCTGTTGATAGAAAATTAGCAAATTAATGTTGTGATGACTATGCTTAAAGGCACAAGCTTCCATAGAAACTGTAGCACTGTTAGCATAACAATTAATTAATTGTCCTGATGAAGATCTAGCAATGACAGGAATCTTACTAAGGTGGTAAGTCTGGAAATGCCTCTCTACATTAACTGTAAGTATTTAGTGAAAGTTCGGGTAGTACATTTTCACTAATTTAAACCTGTTTTGAGACAAAGGTCATAATATATACCAACTCTCTTGGATTATACACAAGTTTCCAAACCCAATCTCTCCAATAAAACTTTTCTGTTTCACTTTTGTATTGAGCCTACCCCAAAAAAAAAACAACTTTCTATAGTACAGTGTTCCTGGCATATTTTAATGTCTTTCATCAATAACTAGGCTATTTTGCTAAAAAAGGCGAATTTTGACGGTCTGTACCTCATGTAAGACTTTGCATAATGTCCTGAGCCACACCCATGTTATACTACATATGGACTGGATCAACTTGTGTTTATGGGGCATGGGGAGGAAGGGTGGAGGGTACTGCAAAAGATACAGTCTCACAACATTTTTTAGGGCTTGTTCAATTACCAATACCATATATTAAAAGTGACAAAGGATAATAGAGAGGTTTAGATTCTAAGACGAGGACGACTACAGGAATGAGATTTTCGCAATACTAAGTAGTGGGCGCTTGCAAACCAACGTCATTTTAGCAGGAAATGTGATAGTCATCATCATTCTACTACGAGTTTTAGCGAGAATGTCATATAGTGGTGAAAACAAGTTATCAAATCATTTAGCAATCGGCAAAGGGCTTTACCTCCTTCAACATAAATAAGCAAACTAACTTTTGTGGTGAAAAAAAGTATAATGATGCTTTCCAGGGTGATTGTTTTTAGAGAATATAGGCGAGAAAACTTAAAATTAAATGCTGTCCTCATTTATAGTTGTCGTCTTCCTCGAATCTAAAGCTCTCTAATTTCACATGTCAAATACCTTTACCGTGAAAACCTGCAGCACTTTTGCTTTCTTGTGTTATTTTGGCAGGAATACTGGCGCTGAACTGTATCTGAGGCTGACACTTTTCATATCCTGATGTGGCTTAAGAGTTTGAAAAAAAAATTATGAGTAGTTATTATGATTGAGGGAGTGCTATAAATTCTTGTAGTCATGACACTATGATTTATTTAAAACATTTACTGCATTATTTAACTTAACTTCTCCAAAAAAAATTCAAACTGCAAATTTACACTTAATAACCAACTCTTATAAACAACATACCTTTTCTGTCGAAACCAGTACTTTGAGTTTCTTGTTTTTTTGTGGCAGCCACGTTTGCACTGATCTCCAAGTAAGGCTGACATTTTTTATATCCTGATGAGGTTTAAAATAACATAAATTAATAACAATTTACTTGCATATATAATCATAAGTACTGCCATTATTGATAATAGGGGTATTTTTAGTTAAGTACTGAGCAGTATATAAATACATTTTCTGACAAACTAGTAAACATTTATTTTGGCATAATTTTTTCACAAATTACTTGTTAACTTTGTCACTCCAGCTAATGAAATGTTTACACCTCAACCATACCTGGTAATTACCTAAAACTCAGTATTAAATGAGGCATAGAAAAAAAGTTCTTTTACCAAATTCTGTACTTGATGTTACTTTGGAATCTTGTTCAATGATTTCACCTTCTTCATCAGCAGTTCCAAACTATATTTACAAAAAAGAAGTTCAAAAATTAACTTTCTTAAATTTTACAAGAATCATGTTCCGTATACTCATGAGTGTCTTAGTCGACCCCAGCTTCCACTCCTGGATCAAGTTATGGAGAAATTATTTAAAATTATGCCACTTTAACTTTACAATCTGTGGATGAAATCTCATGGTGTTACCATTCAAAAGAATCCTCACTAGCATGACAACGTTTGCAAAGTACTATTTATTTCTTATGATTTTACAAAAAGAAATTTGAAATTTTTCTGACTTTTTCTTTGGCCACTTATACAGGAATGAAAGGATTCCCAATAATATTAACACTATTTTGATATTTTTACCTCATCTATCAGTGGTGAGTCCCCTGGATACCAGTAATCGCTGTTCTGAAGGCTATACCCACTGCAAGAAAAATAAATCTATTAATTTACATTGGGCCTCCTTAAATTCCACAATGCTGTTTTCATTATGACATCTAGTTAAAAACTTAATTAATCTACCTTTTCCCACAAATTGTGCAACTGCCAAAGTAGAATTAATTCTCAGCATGTCAGAACCAAGGTCCTTCATAACCTTGAGGGAGTAACTCCTGACTAAACATACATTTTCGCAGTTTCACAGGTATTACTAGGTAATTTTTTTTACTTGCATAAAGGGAAGATCTGCTCTGTTTTGCTCTGTCCATCCACAGAATGATACATCGAAACTGTTTTGACTGCCAGAGCTCTATAATTATATTCTTTCATGCAGCTGATTAATTTGTAAATCTGAAACATTTAATAGTTTCAAAGTGCAGCAATTAAAATTGATAGAAATTAACCAAGTCTGTGAAAAGAGGGTGGCAGATCTACATGGTAGTCAGATATTTTGGGTAATGAGCAGCTGTTTGTCTTATTGTCCTTTTTATAACTTCTCTGTAATATCTGTAAGTTGAAAAAATCCCCACATTATCAGTTTTAAGGTTTTTGCCACAAAAGCTCACAAGTTGTAGAACATTACGTAAATAGGATACTAACAAATTATATTCAGATCACAAATACACAATAGCTTTTGAAATATTTTTTAAAAAAGCCCTCTTCAGTAGTCCAGGATGGGAAGCTAAGTCATCCTCTGGCAAAATCATTTACTAAGACAAGAAAAAAGAGGCCAAGGGCAAACAAAATGTGAGGGCTGCTTGCCCTTAAGGACAAGCTGGGATTCAAGTTTTTCTTTTTTCAGTCTGGATTGATCTACCTATTAGGGGTTATAAAAAGACAGTATTAAACATACAGTAAAATTCCGAAAATAAGCCCCTCCATGTGTAAGCCCCTCCTTAATATTTAAACCCCCCAAACTTGTAACCAAAAAACCCTCTGTTAAATCGCCCCTCCAAATATAAGCACCCCCAGGGACTTGTACTTGGAGATTGCCCTCAAATACAAAGTAAAACAAAGCAAAAACAGTAAATTTCCTTCCAACTATAAGGTTAGCCCAATCGATTTTGAAATGGAAATTTCCCTCCATAGATAAGCCTCTCTGAATATAAGCCCCTGAAAAACGGCCTTTAAAAAGTATATAGCTCCGGGGCTTATTTTCGGAATTTTATGGTATCAGAAATACAAAGTTAATATTATTTCTACCTTAGATTTTGTGTTGGGACAGCATGCTGCCAAGTTTGTGGGAATGTGTAATGATGAAGAGAGTAAGAAGTGGTAGTTGTCACTGGCAACACTGAGCCTAATTGACACTCCTGACCAATATTAACAGCGGGTTCAAAACTCCAAGATGAGGGAAAAATTCTGTTTTCTGGTGACAGGGCTGCAGGCCAGTCTAAATAGGGAGACAAAAAATTCAAAAAATGATACCACTGATAACAGGGGACAATATTTTAATAAGCTTTTACAAGTGTAATTTACAAGTGTGGCTATTGTTTTTGGACCCTAAAACAATAGCTTTAATTGTAAATTACACTTGTAAAAGTTTTACAATCTTTACCTCAGAAAACCTTACCTTAAAAGTATTTTTATATCACTTCTGTAACTAGAATATTCTTCATTCCAAATAAGAGATGCCAATAGCAAGGTTGAACCAGCTGTTCATCTTTTATTTAATATTGTAAGGGGTAAGCTTCCATTAAAGTTCACAGATAACCTGCAGACTTCCAGAGATTCTAGAACTGGAAGGCAAGACAAGACCATTTGCTGGCAGATTTCCCTGACTACCAGGAAAAATTTTTGCGACTTAAAATTAGGCCTGAATGCAGTAAACTGTGTTGCACAAAGTTCAATTTAATTTTTCCAGGTATCAAGCTTCGTTGGCTGCAAGATTGTATAATTTTGTTTGTTACTAGAAAGTTCTGGGTTGGGACTAAGGAGACCTGAGGACTATGTTGCATCCATTCAAATGGAACATGAGGTGCAAAGGAACTACTTCTATTTTCCCCTTAATTTTCCCACCCTATTCATGCTATTTGCTGGCTCCTTTTAAATGGGCAGTAAGAAATCCCAGCTTTATTTGCAAATAACAAGTCAGTTCTTTGAACACATTAAATGGGAATGCAACAATTATTTGTTCAACTCTCAAAGTTTCTGTGTCACAATTGGTGCCTGGAAATTAGCTCAAACTGATTTCTGATGAATGCCTGATTCTCCTCTCAAATTGCCTTAGGTTTATTTGTAAGACAATTAAGAGAGTGTTAACAGTTAGAAACAGTTGAGGCCTTTCCCACACTCTGCTTTATTTTTCCATCTCTCTCAGAGCTGGTGCTAAACCCTTTTGCTTCTATAGACCATGTTATGGCAAGATTATTTGTTACCCTTCTTGAATCAGTGGAAAAAATCCTACAATGTTACCATTCAAATGGATTTCTTTGACAGAATGTTTGCATAGTAATATTTAGTTCTTTGGATTTTACAAAAAAGAAATTTGACCCTTTTTTGTGAATTTTTCCTTTCGAATTTTTTTTGGAGTGAGAGGCCTTAAAGGGCTTAAGGAAATAGGTAATCTATTGTATAAATCTTTGATTTATAACCCTAGTTTGAAGAAGAAGAGAACGAAAGAGAAGAACCAGTGGTATAGCTTCCTTAACTACAGGACTCACTACACTATCCTTAGGATTAGCAGATCTATAAAATATAATTCTATTGTTAAGCTCTCCAAATTAATTTTGCCATACCTTTTCCTGAAATGACTGAATCGATGACAGGATAAGGTGTAGACACTCGTGGCTGACAAGGGACTGGTGTAAACACTCCACTGTGTGAGTCCATTATCATTGTGTGGGGTGTTGGTGAAGACAAGGGAGATGAAAGGATTGCCTCTGGACACTCAAATGGTATTGGTGAGCTTACAAAGTTATACTGCTGTCAGCAAAAGGAAAAAAAAGACAATGGCGTCTTTGACTTGATACTGGAGGAACCTTTGTTAACCAAGTAAGGTTAAGTTACAGCAGCATGATTCTACTGCTGTGTGGTGGATCAGTTTATAGTACTCAGAGAAGAAATCAAAGTGAATGGCCTTGAACTGGAATCTTTCAAAGATTTGAACTATATGCAGCTAAAACCTTCTTGGCAACAAGGATTATCCATTCTCCAAGGCTGAGCAAAACTTCAACCTTCAAAAAGACTCAGTGACACTCTGAACACTTTTCATGTCAACAGACCACCATAAGGTGGGTACTACCTCATGATTAAACAAAACTAGCAACATTAAATAACACTTTTTCAGCCAGTTCATGTCAATGTGCATGCACGAATACTGCAGTTATTCCCTAAATATAAATGAAGATTTTCATTTATAGTGATAGATGGTCACTTCTTAGGAATTTATTGGCAAAGTGGTATAAATTGCACACTTGTCTAGACCCACTTAGTTTAAGGGTGGGGGCTTATTCAAGATATGTACCATCCAACTAACAAGCCTGAAGGACATAATTTAAACATATTTGGGTGTGCATGAACATTTTCGGACAAAACAGCATAGGAACATCAAAATCTTGTGCTTGTTTTCCGCCAGTGATAGACATGGAGCTAACGAGACACTTGTTTTACAGTGGGGAGGAGGGGGGCACACACAAAAACACACACCACCGGTCCCCTCTGGGGAGACAGATTGAAAAGTGTCATGACTTTAATCGCTTCCCTCAATAACAAGAAGCTCATGATGAATGTGCAATCATTACAGAATCAAGGAGCAAGTAAAGGGGGATGACTTGCGAAAAATCATTATGTTTTCCTTTCCGATCTCTAAAAGATCATGTCTAGAGTTTTATGTGCTTTTTGTCTTGTCCACCTCGAATCGAGTTCTGTAACGCCAAATTGGGTTGTTGTTTTTAGTCGGATCTGATTGAACGAAAAGAAGTATTAAAAAATTATCTTATACTTGCCACTGTACGTTGTTACGGAAAAACAAAGTGAAGGCTTCTTTTTGGAGGATATTTTTCAGTCTTGTATCAGACTTAAGTACACTTACGGTAAAAATTAACAGTCTACCGACCTAACACCGTGAGTACATCGACTTCTACTCGAAAAGTGATAAGAGCAAAACAAGAGTATAACGTTAACTTGGATCGAATTCTTTCTAGCTTTGTAAAATAACAAAACTGTTTTGAATATCCTTCAGTAAAATATCAGATCTCCTGGACCGAATAATTAGAGAATATTCGCGAATCATTGCTGCACAAAACCTCCAGATTCAGATCCATCGGATGTCCAGCTAACTTCCACTACGATTCATTTCCTTTTAACAACACAATTTTGAACACCTTTAAATCATGTCTGAGAAGCAACGTGCCAAATACATACCATATACCATACCAAACGTAAATATTAAATGTCTAGAAACCGCCCGATCTTTTATTCGAGAAGGTTTTTCAACCGCGCCCCTGCTGTATACTGATGGTTGATCATATCACAAGAAAGTCGGTTGCGCTTTATTTCTCGTTTGGAAAATTCAAATTTGACGAACTCGGCATTTCAAGAAAATATAAAACCAAGGGTTTTCTCGCTGAGGCTAGATCGTCTCATGAACAAGCCAAGGCTATCGCTATGGTTATGCGACTTTAACTGAGGGCTTTTCGTGGAAACACGCGCCATTTCTTCAAGTTCGACCTTTCCTCAAGTTTCCACGAAAGGTTGCATAAAAACGAATCAATACCCAAAAATAAGTCTGCAACACTGGAAATATAGCCATACGACAATGTGTTATCGTTAAAAGAGTAAAATTCACCATTTAATTGACCTACCATCTCTCCCGCTTGTTCCATCCTCCAGATCTGTGCAAGGCGATCAGGGTTGTTGGTTTCAACAGGGATGGAGGCGTTTCGCGTGGACATGAGGGTGGGACATTTAGTTACTTTGACGGGCACCTGTCAATTTGTCTTGCTTTGCCAGGATCGAAAGGTGAAAAAAGAGTTCAACGATCTCTTTCGTTCATCTGCAAATGGCTAAATTGAGGGTTTTGTAGAGAACATGCATGGATAGTAACTAAAAAGACCAATTTTTTATTAGACAACACGAGGACACCGCGTATAAATACAAATCCCTTTCTATATGATCTTTAAACTAGGTCGAGATACAAAAATCCGGATTTTTTTCCAGGATTTTTACAGGCAAATGGAATTTTAAGAAAAGTTTTAGAAAAGTTTAGGATTTTAATGCTCAGAAAAGTATTGATATTATGCCATATGAAAGGCAAACTCTACTGAGTGCTTATTGTCGTTATCGTTTGTTTGAAGGATAAATATGTAAACGAGACAAACCACTTACATTGTCCAGTAAATAAATTATCATTCTGAATCAGTTTGAAGGTGTTTGTATGCAAGTTGACCACAGGACCTGTGGTCAAATTGCACAGGTCACAAGAATCCCACATTTTATGCAAATTATGTGATTATTTCGACAAAAAATTGGGATAAATAGGGATTTTTAGAGATAAAATTGGGATTTATAGACATTTTTTGGAGTATTTTCAGACAGATTTTTAGGCCATTTTCGGGATTTTTGTATCTAGGCCTACTGTGAACTTCCTTTCTCGGTTATTCAGTTTCTCCTGCCACAATATTATTAAAGGGATTTCGACTTAGCTTGTTCCAGTATTAGGTGGGTTTACACTAGACCCTCAAGGTCCCTCAAGTGCCGTTTTGACAAGCACTTGAAGTGCACTCAGCTTTTTAGTGAAAAATGGCGTTCACACTAAAGTTAAAGTGAGCAGTTGTCGTACATGTGCGTCTGCGAAGACAAGAGCCGTAGGCAAAGCGTGATTTTCCGTTTATTGACAACAGTCTTCTTGAACAGTGCCAAAATAAAAGGATAGTAATGCGACAGATGGTTTCATTGAAGTAGGGGAAACCTTTGTTGTTCTAAAAGCTCCGCTTGCCTGTATTTTGAGCTCGTTGCTTGAAGCATTCAAAATCGTATTCTATGCAGATTGTGTGTTCTTTCCATAGGTGACGTTCTAACGCTTTCAGCAAACCGCTCTCGAGTTTTCGAGTTTTGTCGTAAATGTCACTCTGCACCCCTCCTCTCTTTTCAGTCGATGAGCGCTTTAATTCGTACTTTGGTCCCACTCTCACGCTAGAGCTCTTCTAGCTGTTTCTTTTGTTTCGTATCCACTTTTCTGGTTCGCTTTTTAAAATTTCTTTGAGAAAATGTAGTTGCTTTCTGTTTCTTTCTTGAGACGCGAGGTAGACTCATGTTGCAAATTGTGAATGGTTATTACTGCAGGTGGACACGAAAAAAAAAAGCTTGAAAGAGTTGAATAAAGAATGAACTGCACTCAACGAATCGCACAACAGGGAAATCGCTCTTTGTGGAACATAGATCATTTCGTTTCCACAGCCAAGTCTTGCATTAACGTTGTCTCCGCTGTCAAATACAGTGAAAAAGGGAAATGTGAAATTTCTGAACCAATGGGCTCATAAATCTGAACTTAGAGAAACCTACTTACATTTCGTGGAGATCAGTATCCTAATTCACGCGAGAGTGAAATTTTTTGGCTCGAGATGATTGACACTTTGATAATAAACTTCCGACGCTTTGATTGGATAAGTGCAGTCTCAAGGAAGACTCTACTTGAGAGCGCACTTCGGCACTTTATTTGAGGTTTTGACGTTTCTGTGGCAACTAACTACATCTAGTCAAGATCAGTCAAGTGAAGCGAGACCCGTTCACACACGAGTTAGTCTCAAGTGCACTTCAAATGCACTTCAAGTGGAGGTGCGCTTGTAAAGTCCAGTGTGAACCCACCTGTGATGGAAAAAAACAGTGAGCTTTTCTTCTGTTTATTTTTCCTCCGCTCTCAATTTCGCGCAACAAATAAAAAATAAAATATCAAGCAAATTCATTTTGTGTGATCACGTCCGTAATTCTCATGACCACTCTGTTTTACAAAGCATTGAAATTACAAGCGGAAATTTGATACTGATCAATCTTGGGGCTTAAAGGCTTCACTGAAATGATCTTCTCTGCATTTATTTCTTCATCCTGCAGTTCACTAAACGAAATTAATTGTGTTTTCACATGACGTCATGGCGGCCATGTTTGTGTCCCAAAACAATGAAAACCAGTTTGCTCTGGGAGTTGAACTCTTTTCTTATGCAAACGCTTTCTTTTGTTACAATAAATTTGCATAGATGCTGGCCACGTGAGTGAAAACACAGAACACAGTATGTTCATCATTTTTAATTAATTAATGTAGGCAGTTGTTGAGTCTGATTGCACATGGCTTAAATAATCACTGATTTACAGTATGTGGGTCTCAACCATTTTAGAATAACTTTATTGACCTAACGACGACTAGACTCGTAATTTGTTGGTCCGCTTTCAAGTACTGTACAGAATGTATAAAATCTTCTATCTACATCATCTGGGGGTTACTAATATATTATCGCGTTATTTGAGAAACTTAACAAAATCAAAAGACAATTTTTGTCAATGCAATTATCGTTGTACTCTTTCTAGAGGATAAAGTGCTGATCACTATACAGTTTTCAGGCGCATTTGAAAACTGTATAGTTGAATTTGCGCGGTATAAATAAATGTTATTAGTATTAGTATTATTATTATTATTATTATTATTATTAAAGTGTAAACAAGTATTTCCCACAAAATAGATAATTTTATAAACCCCATAAATAATGAACCACGTCTGTGCATATAGTCATTACAAATTGCGGTTCTAACGATTTATAATACACTTTTATAAAGTCAAAGGGGTTCTTTGCAAGTCTGGTTTACCCTCCATGCTTCTTTTTGGAAAACTGAAGCCGTATGCAAAGTTTATAAACTAGCTGAAGGTTCTTTGTTGTTAAACATAAAAACATCAATCGGCTACTGTATCTTGCTCCACTTGCGTAAATGTAGAAGTATTAACCAGCTTTTGTATGTAAACGACGCTTGACTGACGACTCTTGAAGAAAAAACCCTCAAAATTCCTCTTCATTTTCCACTTCCATCCTGATACTGTCCAAGAAGCTTGAGTTTCTTTTCTTCATTTTCGACTGCTGCTTCTCAAAGTTTTTCTTTCTGTTCTGTAGAAAAATAAAATTCATAAAATGATACTTTCTTTGAAACTCATGTTTACTTTAATACTGCATGCGTACATCGTTACTGGTGTTACGAAGAAAACTCAGACAGTGTAATGTAGACAATAAGAGCAAACTTTCTGGTCTTCTCAACCATTCAATTTGGAAAGGCACCTGCCCTAAAAGGAGCACGTTTTTTACAAACCGCAAACGTAAATCAAAGAAGAATTGCACCCAGAAAACTGCATATATTTTTGCACCATCTAAGTTGAGTTTGAATTCGCCACTAGGCTATTTCCGAGTTCCAACAATTCTCACTTTCAAAACGAGGCTTAGTGCAAAACCCTTCTTGTGAAAATGAGTTTTATTTGTATGAGAATAAAAAATCATTTCCATATCAATCGCTTCACACTCAGCCTCGCTTTGAAACAGAGGCTTAGCCAACTCGAAAAACCAGGGAGGCGCAAAGACTTCTGGGATCGTTTCTCGTTTCTGCCATCGACAAATCATAACTAAGCTTGTCCACCCGAAAGATCCCAGATATCGTTGCAAACGAAAGCTTGTAGCCATTCTCCCTGAAGTTTAAGAAATGTCAAATTGATTGATTGATTGATTGATAGTCCTACTGATTTTCTAACGTGTGATACAATTTCGTCGAGCCCTAAAAACAATGGCGCTTTTCAAGGCTGACAAGCTCTTTCAAAACTTGGTAAGATATCCGCGCTTATGATGGTATCGGTTAAACACAGCATTTGACATACAAACCTCCATTGACATTATGGAATCTGTCCTGGCTCTCGAGGCTGACTCGGGACGCTCCCTTCCTGAGCCCGGTCGCTGCCTGGTAGCTGAATCCGGCAGTGAGTCTTTCATTGTTTCTACTGTTAAGTCCTCCTGCTGAACCAAAACACAATCTTTAAGGAGTGATTTCTCGATTACTTTACCCTTCTTTCCTTTGAGTGTCCAGGGTAATATTTTTTTTTAAAAAAAATCAAATTTCATTTCGTAGAATACCAAGAAGTAAAAAGTAGTATGCCAAAGTTCTAAAGAGGTTTTATTTGAACGCCGGGTAACACCATTAAATTTCGTCCACAGATTAAGTTAAAAACATTAAATCTTGTCCTAAGTTGATCTCTGAGTAGGTTCATAAGCTGACTAGGTTTATGTTTATCATTTTTTTGTTTCAGAAATAACAGTGCTCCACACAGCAAGTATTTCCAAAACGATCTGAGACACTTTCCTTAATGAATGTGCATCATCGTCTGTCCCATTCTCATCAAAATTACGGTTTTCATCAACTTATACTTCAAAGTCGTAAATTTCTTTACGAGAATCCAAGATTAGACTTCTGCCTCTACGCTGTATTTCCACGTAGTGTATTCTATTACGCGTTGCAAAGTAATCAGTCTCTCAATGAAAATGTCAACCTCTAAGCATTAAATGCAAGGTCGTTTATACTTTGGAATACGGAATTTTAGTAGCGAAAAAAAAAAAAACACATTTTTTGCCAACCTCTCCTTTCAGGACCGGTTTTTTAATTTTCTACCAGTTAGCATGGAAATGGCTAAAACTGAGATTTTCACTATTTTTTCGCAAATTTTCATTAAGCTTCATCTGTTTTCTATATCTTTTTCTTTCCTTTCCTTTCTTTTCTATCTCTAGAATCCGTGCAAAGATCTATCCTCCCTGAAAGCTAAGTCGGTTCAGAAATGCAAAATCTGAATGGTTCCATGTTGACCCGAAATGACCCGATCCGTGGTCAAGGGGTTAAGCGTCACCTCAAAACCTCAACGTCAATTCACACTCATCGATTCTGAGCAAACGCTTCCCTAGTCTATCCCTGCTGAAGTTATCAAACAGCCACTTTTAATTTCCTTTAGCTTAGTGTTTGCCAGTTTAAGCAAAAAAAAACCGTACTTACTAGTAAGCACTGATGAGATAAGCCTCGTACGGAGAAAGTCTGTCAATGGTGATCTTTACTGCCAAGTGTCGGCACTGTAAAATTTTCTTAAGTCTAAAATTTTAACCTGTGTACAGAGGAGGCGTCTGTACACAGGCTATAAAATCTCCAATCTTTTTTTTCCTCTAAACGAAACTATGCGGAGGATGTTACTCACCTCTGTATCACTGATCCAACTGTCCTCTCCGCTCTCCAATCCACCAACTCCGCTGTCAGAGACTTTGGATGGTACACCGTCTTGATCACTTCCCATAGAATCGATACTACAAAACAGCAAAGAAAAGCGGCTTTAGCATTACAGTTCCGTATCCCCCTGATCACTTCCTATAGAATCGATACTACAAGCAGCAAAGAAAAGCGGCTTTCTCATTCAGTGCTAGCCTGCAGAGCAGGGGTATTTTGGGCGGGCGAAAGCCGCTTGTTTATCTTCGTCGCATTGTTGTAACCGCCATCTTTTATTCGCGTGCCCGAAGAAAACGCCTGCACTGCAGGCTAATTCAGTGCCATATCACTGATCTGAAGAAACGCCTTTGATTCGAGAAGTAAAGTTGCTAGCGACATCACGATACCGAATCACTGTTCGAAAAGAGTAGGGGATGTAGACCCTGGTGGTGTGGTTAACCTTTCCTGGGCTGGGTGGGTAATCTGTAAGGACGGTTCTTAATGTAGGGATAAGCTCATGATCGTCCACTCCTTCAGGAGACGAAATGGCTATCTCTAAGTGTATGTGTATGATACATACGCCCTACGAATTATAGAGTTGCTAACTCAACGATCCACCGCCTTGCTAAACATTTTTCACAATAATCTTTTTAACAAATGTAACTTTCTGTTCACCTCTTTCTTCTCTTGCTTTCACTGGTCATTAGTTGAGCAAGCGTGCTGTCTTGTCTTGTGAGTTCTTTTTCTAAACCACAAATAGGGAGGTTAGTTACCGCTAAATATAAAACCAACTGAATTATAAAGAATTAGCTTTCAAATACAACAACAATTTAACTTACTGAATTTCCTGAGGAGTTTAACTAAGTCCTCATGGCCGTATTCCTGCAGTGAAGAAAACCTTATTTTAATTTTTATTTGTAATCAGGTGCACAAACTGAATTAACACTACTCTGAGCAGTAATAAGCAAGTCGCTTCCCACGCAGACGTTCTTACGGTCTTCATCACGCGTTCCTGGAGCATTGCGTGACTAGCCAAAAGAGGCTAAGCAGGAGGCAGAGCAACTAAATCAAACTAAAAGATAAGCAGCACTTTTTACCTCAGCAATATCTAGCGGCGTACGTCCATTGTTATCAACCACATCTATTTTGGCTCTGTTAGCAATAAGCCACTTTACACACTCCGTGAATCCGCTGCAACAAAATAAAAGCATTTGAACAAATGCACTGTTTCTAGGTCACACGAGAAGAATTTACAAGGGTGGCGCAGTTGTGAGAGCACTCGTCTCTCACCAACGTGGCCCGGGGTCAAATCCCGGCGTCAACGCCAAATGTGGGTTGAGTTTGTTGATGGCTCTCTCCCTTGCTCCGAGAGGTTTTACTCGGGTACCCCAGTTTTCCGCTCTTCTCAAATACTAACACTTTTAATTTCCAATTCGATGTGGAACGCACGGAAAAGTTAAAACGAGTTCTCAAGGATCCCTAGTAAGGGTTTCGAGGGTAAACAAAATTACAGTTACTAATTAAGTATTCAACTGACCTCATACAAGCAAGATGTAGAGGAGTAAGTTCATCAATTGTCCTAGAACTCAGCGTACTTCCCATGGCTGAGAGGATCTTAAAAAAAACACATAAATGAAATCAGTAAGGAATAATCAGCAAAATGAGTCGGACTTATTAATCTTTTAGCGTTCATAAACCATTAAGACTGGCCCTGAGATGCTAAGAGAGTATAACTGCATTCTTGGACGTGTGCTATTTTTGGAAACTACAAGGGAGAAACATAATAAAATGGAGAATGAATGGAATTAGCCGGAACTTGCAAAAGAATCTACTTTTTCATTGTACTCCTTTTACAACTTTTTAAACCGGAACATGAATGACCAGAAATGGACGCAAAGAAATTCGACAAAGTGTGATCGGGACAATTAAAGATAATCGAGGAACTCATTGAACAACTACCCTTTGTGTTCTGGACTGCTAAAACTGCTACTTAACCCCTTCATCTATATTGTGTTCCGCAATACAGCTTACTAGCCACATTAACCCTTAAAATCAGACTGTTGTATTGTTACAAGGTATTGCCTAATTTTAAGAGTTGCTAGCATGGCCCTTCGAACTTCACCTTAAAAAAAGGGCCACTTCCGACTTTTGAAAACGTTTTATACAAAACTTTTTCTATGGCAATTAATTTTCTACCATGCTAGACACAAGACACTAAGGCAACTTTGAAATGGCTAATTAGTTTTTTTCTTTATTTGTTTGTTTGGTGGTTTTTTTTTTTTCGTTGTAGTTGCTGTTTCTTTTCCAACCTACCATCATGCAGTTCACGTGACCATTCATGGCAGCCAAATGCATGGCGGTATAGCCAGTTGGAGTCTCCTCTGCTAGGTCTACACCGCTGACCGCTAACCACTTGACACAGTCCAGTCTGCCGTTGGCTGCAGCTAGATGCAGTGGGTTCATACCACGTTCATCAGTCCTGTTTTTCATCTCGGGAACTACGCTTATCAATTCTTTGATTCGATCAAGGTTTCCTGTTTTGGCGGCGTCATGTATTGAAATACCTAAGCGGGAGAAAAAGCAGTTAACACTGCACCGCGTGATAAATCAAAGGGCAATCAAGAACTTTACCACCATAAAACGAAAAATGAGCGAAACAGATCCAGAGGCAAACAGCGAAAAAATGAAAAAACACAATAAGTTTGACTTTCCCGCTGATTCTTCGATAAAAAATATCAATGGATAAGAAACATTATATGTCATGTGTGAATAGATATAAAAAACTTAATTTAAGAATAAATTTGGGCGTGTTCACTTTGATCCACCTTAAAAGTAGCCTAAGATCATACACAGTTCCTATAGCTCTCTCTATGTCACAAAACGCCTAATCGCACGTTACTAACGGCTCAGAGAGACGACACAATATTCATCGCAAAATTACATGGGAGTAACGTTGCGCCGGGTTTTTCACATCTTAATTTTCTTCGCCATTCTACCTGGGATTTTCTGAGTACGAGACTGCAACATAGCATGTAATCTGCAGTGCTTCTAACTGGTTGAAGCACATTTCCCTCGCGGCACCACCAATCAGAAGTACTACCTAGATCTGGGTAGTGACACGTCATAAGCACGGAATTTTTACAGTCGTTCCTCAGACAACTTTTCGCGGGAAAACCAGTAGTGCCCGTGGTGTCGCGAAATGTCGGCTGCTTTCTCAGGCTAAATATTTATCAAAAACACAATAATTCTCAGATGCTGCAAACATTAACAAACCTTTTCTCAGGACACTTTCACTTTCATGTACAGATTCCCTGTGTCGCTCTCGTTCCTTCTCGTGTTTTGCGCGCACTCCAGCCTTAAATCCCTCGAAAAATTCTTCACTCTGGGCAGAAATAGGTCGCTCACGCTCATTCTATAAAGATAATAATTGACTTTGAATTTGTTACAATCAGTCAGTCGGTAAACAGGCCCGCCAGTTGTAGAAGAGTGTAGAAATTAAAGGGGTTAGTTTCTCCGAAAACTGGGGTGCGGCATCGCTGGGAGAGTGAAGAGATTTGGTTTTATCAACTGTATTGATAAGGAAGGAAATAAATAATCGATTCGCTCTGACGAAGGGCTACGGCTCGAAGCATCAGTTTTTCTATCTCCCTGCAATCACAAATTTACGGCTTACCAACTCAGTTGATAAAAGCAAATCTTCGTAAATTTTAAAGCTCGTTCCCTCTAACTGTCAACAGAGAGAAGGTTCATAGTCTAACCCGTTTCAGGGCTTCATATTCTCGAGGCATCGGAAAGACACAAAAACAGCGAGGAGACAGGAAAAATGTTTCCCCTCCTTACTTCCCCAGTCTCCCTCACCGCTGTATCCGACGACTCGAGAATCGGACTGCCTGGAAAAGGCAGGGAAAGTGAGAAACTGCGTTGGTGAGGGAATGAAACACTAATGAGTCGTATATACTAAATTGTTATATTAATTTTACCACAGTAAAGAAATTCAAAAGCCAACGTTTTAAACTCTAGCCCTTCTTCGTCGTCGTCTTTGCCTTAACGAAGCCTGTGTTCGCGCTGGTATGCTGGCTTTGAATCCTTTACAAAAGAACAACTTAATTTATACACTTAGCTTGATAAAACTAAACTTTTAAAACCTATACGTAAGTCTGGAAAAATTCAATGAACGTTGCCTCGCATACAAAGAAGGGCTTTCACCAGCAACAACACCTACGCATAAAAAACCTTTTGCCAAATGAGAGCGTAACTGCTAGCAGTCTGTCTATTCAGGAACGGCTCCTGATCTCATATTTTTTCAGTGCTCTTGCGTGTTCCGCTCAATAGTAAGTGTCATTTAACAACACAATTCAGTTTTACGGAATTTCTCCGGAGCAATTTTTTTTTTTTACGTAAAGTTAAGCAGTATTTTTTCATGTTAAAGATGGCAGGATCTTTTCCCGCCATTTTTCTGTCTATAAACTAAGAATGATCTTACCTCAGGTTTTGTATCACCAGTAAACTCAACCCGAGGCTCTTCCTCTTCCTCTTCCTCTTTTTCAGGCGCTGCTTTCTCTATGTCCTTTTCCTGTTCGACTTCGTTTTCACCGCTTTCGTCCTCTTTTTCTTGTTCTTCCACTTTTCTCTTTTCTTCTATTTTCTCCTCTTCCTTGTCTTGTTCTTCTGCTCCAAACTCTTGATCCTTAGTCTTCCTTCCAGCTGCTTTCTTGAACGACGTCATAGCAGTAGTGACAAGTTTGAGATTATCTGACCCGTTCTTTGTTACAGCTGCTCTCTTTCCACCTTCCGTTTCCTCTTCTTCGTCTTTCCCTTCTTCTTCGCTTTCACTTGAATTTTCTGCCTCCTCTCTTCGCTTTTTACCCTGTGCTCTTGAATTCTCCTCTTCGTCTTCGCTCTCGGAATTATCGCTCTTATCATCAGGGTCGAAAAACTTCTCGTTTTCTAGTTCCTCGGTAACTCCTTGCTTGTCATCCTCGCCTTCGCTGATATCAAACAAGTTTTCAGCCTTTACAGCGATAAAGCCGTCCTCCTGAACCTCGCTTTCACGGGGAGTTGGTACTGGAGGGGGTTTGAACACGACTGGCTCGGTCACATGCTTTGAAGTCTTCTCTATATGGGATTCCTCTTGGTTCTTTGGTTTCTTTTTAGCTTCTCTTAAGTCAGGAGCAGGAACATTATCTTCATCGCTTGAGAAACTGTCGCTGTCACTAGCGCTTCTGAAAAAGTCTTCGTCTTGTCTCTCGTCGATCCTTGGTAAAACAGCTACAAGATGGGACGCTGCGCAAAAAGCAAATATGATAAAAGTAAATAATATATAAGAAAAGAGCTTTTTACGTAAAATTTCCCACTCGCGGATAAAATACAGACCTTTAGGTCCTTTACATTCGAGGCCGAAGACGAAATTTAACGTAAAAGTTTTTTTTTGGCGTATTCTCCAAAAATAGACACCCCGGAAAGCTGCACTTTACTTTTTTCACCAGAAAAGTTAATACGGTTTTTTTACTGAAGGAAGTTAAGCCCTCCCCGATCACAAAATGATAAAACTTCCGTCTCTAAAATTTTCGCCAGAACCCCCGGCCATGGTAGAATGACAGCAGCTATCGCGTTTTCCCGCCAAAATGACGCTGGTTCACGCGCGCGCGCTACTTAGTAACCACAAGAAGATTAAACAAGAAGAACCTTATAAAAGTATGTTATACCTGGTAGGACATCACAGACTGGTAGATCACGAATAATCTGTCCGTCATCATCGCGTGAAGATAGCCACCTGAATAAAAAACAAAAATGAAATAAAATGAGGTGAACTTAGAGCAATGGCGTGTGACAGAACATTTAAAAATAATATAATGGACCACGAGGGGCCTAAAACACTTTAACGGATAAAATTGAACGCTCACATTGGCTGTAGAAAGATGGAGTATTTCAAAACCTACACAAGGCATAGCCGAGTGCAGTATGAAGAATTTGGAGATTATTCTACAGACAGCAAGTGTGTTTATTGGCCGGTAAAGGAGTAACAGAAAGTCTCGCTCTAACCCCTGACAAATGGAAGCACTTCATAACAATGGCAGTGAACTATGAAAGAACCAAGGCGACGTCACCGCAGCAGCAGCAAAAAAATTAAACATATTTTATTTGTAAATAGTAACGACAGTATGCTTTCAAACGAAAGATAAAACAAATAGTTGAAATAATTCTGTAAAATTCATAACATGTTCACTGAGGAAGGGGGAGGGGATTGGCGAATAAAAATAGGGCAGCCATTATATGTCATTGACAAACTACAGTCAGCCAATCAACCTCCAGATTTTGTCCAACACTCGCGCAGACAATAAAACACACACCCACCTATTACATTTGAATTCAAATGCTCTCGTGGCCTCGGGACCTTCCTTGATGTAAACTTTGTCTAAGAACCAACCATAACCTGCAAGTACCAATGATTTAACATTCAGTAAAATGAAGGAACAGATTACCTCCGATAGTCAGATGCTGACACTAACTCACCTAACTTCGTTTCGTTATGTCCAATCCTGATGCTTGACAACTTTCCAAGGAAAACTGAATCTATGACAAAAATGTCAACCTAAAAGAAAAAAACAAAAAAATAGTTTTGGTTACGTTTATGTAAAGCCCGAGGGGTAATCCCTATAAAGGCCTATACGGAGAGGCTCCGCCCGAAAGGGGTACGTTTTTCAGGCTTCAGGTTATGACAGGGTATGGAATTCACGAATTGAAGTATATGAAAGGACAGGAAAATCTATCGAATAAGTAAGTAAAAAGGACGTTCATTCAAATGTTTCGAAAAGACGCGCCTTTGTTTTATATGGCTATACCACTGACAGGACGACTTTCCGTTTTGATTTATTCTTATTAAGCAGGGAGATGAATTGAAATTGGTACCATTTTTCAGTGGAAGGTATGCGAAAGGGATACCTTTTCTGCCAAAAATGGTATATATAAAAGAGTAAGCGGTTGCACTTCGGGATGGCACATCCCCGTATAAGACTTTGTTGAGTAGCCCCCGGGACGTAAGATAAATTTTTTTAGTGGAATATGCAGCACACATTTAAGACAAAAATATGAGGGTTCTTATTTTTCGCCCCGATTCGCGATCTTCCTACCTGTCCTCGCTGGAACTTCGATCTGTGCGTTCTTGATCGTAGTAACTGCCTCTCGCCAGAGTTGCCGTATTCTCCAAAAATAGTCATCTTTACAGCAGCCTTAGTACCAGCGCCTAACTTGTCACCCGTCAGGATGTAAACTTCATAGGTGAGAACTGGTGAAAGGCAAAACAACAGAACAGCACTTGGTTAGTTTGCAATGTTACAGCATCTACTTTGTACTTCTCGTAACAATCGTTATAGACAATTCGTTTTCCATATTCATGCAACCGCACTGTCAGTTTAAAAATTAAAATATGAAGGAGCAGTGTTTACTGGAGTCACCCTAGGTCGTATAACTATTTATTGCTTCAAACGTGACCCCTCTCTAATTTTCATGAAAATTTGCGTCATTCAGAAGTAAAAATAGATGACGTTGAGTTGCTAAAAAGCCATAACAAATTATTAAAAGGCAAGCGGGAGTAGCTACAATCACGGACAAAAGTCTTTTGCATTTCTGAGACGTTGTCCATTTCACACAGGCCCAACCCTCCCCTCACCCCACAAACAACGTTGGACGTGTATATCCAGAAGTTTTTTCCCAATTTCGACTTTGTGGGAGAACAGCAAAAAAATCTCGAAAGGTTGCACTGTTTTATGAGGGAAGCCAGAAATTACAGAAAACTATGAATACTGCATTACTGTCCCAAGGACTTTTGTCCAGCATCGTAACATCACCTCAAGGTGGGACGGGCAGGATTATATACAATGCTACAGGCTGAAATTGGCGCCAAGAAAATTAAACTTAAAGTACCTTTAGGCTCTAAATCCCTGTTTCTCGTCTGTGTTTCTGTGGAAAGAGGTGTTGATGTTGGGATGTCCGCGGTACTTGCTCCAACTGTTGCCGTCTCTGTGGACACATACACCTCTTGGACTCTCTCTAACGGGGTTTGTTTGATTGGCGACAGTCTTGAAGGGAGGATGATATGTCTGTCAATCTGATCCTGTTCTTCGTCATATTGTTTAACAGTCTGTGTACCTACAATGATGTAGATGAAATTTATGCAAGGTTAACCTCGAGACAAGGGGTCTGAGTTGGCGGCAGCAATGTGATTGAATATGCAGTCTTCCAGCTGGCCTTTGTCGTGTTTAATTTCGAATGAGCTTTAAATCACTTTCTACTACAGGTGGGTCAAGTCAAAGCGGAAGTGATTTTTGCAGAATGCTCCATCCCCTCCCCTCCCCTCCGCTCAACCTCGTTCCCAGGGTTCTCTCCCACCCGCCCTACGGAGCGAGAGGGCGGGTAGGAGAGAACCCTGGGAACGAGGTTGCCCTCCGCTCTCTTCCTCCACACGCCAGGGTGGTGAAAATAGGTCACAAAAGTTCCACTCATTTTATCATTGCAACTGGTGCCAGCAGATGTCGTTTGCAGTGTTGCCATAGTAAACCAATGCTTTGCTGCCTTTTGTGCTCTAGACTGTTGGCAGTCTCGGGGCAGTAACGTGTGTAGCCACTAATCTCCCGTGTTTTTCTACAATGTAGACGGGCTAACAGAAGCGGGGGGGGGGGGGGCCCCTAAAAGTCTGTTTGTTCTTGGTGCTCTCCTTGTCATTGCCCTTAACCTAGTCTTCATGCAGCTTTCCAGGGATGGGAGGGGGGAAAGTGCTCCCCATCCCTGTCCCCTTTCCCCCTCAGAGCTTACCAGCAGGCTACTCTTTAACCCTCTTCCACCGCACCTACCATACTAAGACACTACCATTCGCCACTTAAGAAACGAGAGGGGTAACGGAGCCAAAATCATCGTTACTGGGGATGTGCCGGTCAGCTATTGGCCAATTCTTTTTCCTGTCCACAGGAACAGTCCCAGAAGTCTTTGCGAAAGTTAGAAATTTCTAGATGACCGTTGCATTCTGGTACAATTTTTGAAGCTTATCTAATGAATTCCCTACGATTTTCTGAAGTGTAATTTCTGACATTTTACTCCCCACGTTAAGCTAATGTCCGTAGAAAAAAGAAACCTAAACTTTTTGGATTCAAAAATGTTGTGGAGAGAGGAATAAGAGCAATTCTCACTTTCGTAAAACGTTCAATTGCATCAAACAATTTCGGGAAAATAATAATGAAGCCCTTGTAATTTCGAAAAGACTTTAAGTTCTCCTAGGATGACCGAACGGATACAAATTTTATAGCGCCGATTAGAATGCATTTCTAGATATCTAAAAGTACTCTGGATAGCCTAAAAAGAGTTTTAAATACACATTTAGGAGAAAACCATCGTTGGGTGCCCCTGATCAGATGATTACAAAGCAACTCACCTGAATGAACAACTGTCTGTGTAGACATATCAATCATTTCATGTTCACTTTCCATCCATGATTGCCTCGGAGTTGTACGAGTGGAGGACAGTCTTGGAGATCCTCCACTTTCAAATTCTTCATCATCGTAACTATCTTCCTCCGTCCGTGACTTCTGTGGAACAGCCGCACTTTTAGGTCTAGTTTCCTTTGATTGGTGCTTTGATGCAATGACACTGCTGCCACGCCCCTCCAAATTCATGCGTCCAACTAATGACCTACAAAATCACCAAGAAAACATCTCAGCAAGGGCACGGACACCAGTATACAAATACATGTTGGAGATTCTACTCTCTACTATGACTGTTTCTATTTTGCCTTATTTAGTATAATTAGAGACCTTAGGAATCCAAAATGAGAACAACCACAGGAACAATATTTTCACACAAGTAGTGCGTACGCACGTGCGTGACCAGCATCATTTTGGCGGGAAAATGCGATAGCCATCGCCATTCTACTACAGGTTATGGTATTGTAGTGACTGTTGTAATATAACAGAAACATGTTGTCAAATGTTAAAAGTTTTATCATTTCGCGATCGGGAGGGGGCTTAACTTCCTTCAATAAAAATATCCTTGTTAACTTTTCTAGTGAAAAAAGTAAAATGAAACCCGCGGGTGTCTATTTTTTTGGAATATGCTCGAAAAACTTCAAGTCAAATCTTGTCCTCGTCGGTGTTCACGTATGAAATGTTTATGTTGAATTTTGTCCAGTTTCTCTACTGGCTCAAAACAAAGAGCATCATGCAGAGTCTTGGAAAATCAATGTGGAAAAAAAGTCGTTCCCTGAAAAACAAGACAAAGTCATTTCTACACAGAGGAACAAGCAGCGAAGTTTTCTGCAATGATTTTCTTAAATTTACACATGATACTGACTTGACTTTTGAACCTATAATACTGATAAAATAGTTCCTAAGAACACAGTAAATGCACACAAATTTGAGCCAAATGACAAACTGGCATAAACTTCATCAATCATCATGAGCCCTCTAGGCCTCTATGGACTCAGTTTGTAAGTATCTGATTCTAAGACAACTGTTACAGTGAGCGAGAGGATCTGGCTAAATTTTGGGTTAAAAAGTTGAAAACTAAGCTTTAGTTAAATAATGTTAACTTAAGTTATACAACAACTTGTGTTTTTCTTTCACCTGAGGCGATCTTCATCGTCACTTTGTGATCCTCCAGGCAGCAAAACATGGACACCACTTCGGCCATGTTTCTCTCCATCTCTTCTTGAAGAGGATGACTTAAAAAATGTGGATTCAGGTCTTCTGTGAGGAGCTGACCCTGATCTGGGTTTACCCTGAAAAATTGATTTCAAAAACTTCAGCCAAGAGGCACCAACATCAATAATTTTTACATACATACATGCATACATTTATTGGGACTCACTTTACAGGGCTTTTACAGGGCATTAAGGTATCGACTGAGTTGAGTGAATTTCGTAAGCATTTAAGATCTTTTAATCTCGTAAACTTAAAAGCCAGTTGTTAATGTATGTAGGTTTATTTATTTATTTTTTTATCTTGGGTTTTTAACTTATTCTTACAGTTTTTAGTTTTTAATTACAATATTCAGTGGGATGTGGGAGGGTGTTGCTTTGAGCATTCCCGGATATATTATTTTTGTATGTTTTCATAAACTTTTGATCTTTTCAAATAATTTTTATTGAAATGTATTGTATTATTATTAACTTTATAGTATTGTTATTGTCAGATGTTTCATACATGAGTTTTTAGCTCCAGTGATTGGGGCAACCCCATCCCACATATGGACATAAATAAATTTATTGATCGATTGATTGATTGATTTCAGTCACAATAGAGAGGTTATGCATCATGTTTACGTCAAACGGCAAACGTGAATTTGTACCATGTGACCAAGTTTCTCCTTTACTTATTGTTTACTGTTCATTATTTCTACACATAAATTAGCAGCTTCACGCAATTTTTTATCCATAAGAATTGTTTTGAGCTGTTTTCATCTGCTCATTTTCTATTTTGAGAAATTCTCAACTTGAATCTGACGTTTGCTGTTTGCCATGTATGTGAACCTTAAATTCTCTCCTAACAATGCAAGAGAAAAGGTTATGAAAAAACTAAAACCATCACCTAAGGGAAAATGCTTTGATTTTTTATCAATTCTCCCAACTAATTCTTTAAGAAAAGTATGGAGACCAGTCTCGAGAATCTGTACGCGGATAGTAGAGTGCATACATGTACATTCAGATGTATGTCTTGTTTCATCTGTGGTTGGTGTTACTGATGAAAACTGCCACAAACCTTTGGAGGGGCAGGTCGTCTTGATACCTTTTGAGACCCTTCTGAATCTAGAAAAAAGGGAAAAATTAATGATTATTTGAGGATAGAAATCAGTCCAGAGAGATAAGCAGCAACTAGAAACATTAACAAGCTCCCTCTAAAAGTATCCAACTTGAAAACTCCAACAAAATTAATATCATAAGACACAAAAATGTAAACATCAGTCTTGTAGATCTCCACAACTCTTTAGCACATGTGTAGGTCTAGAGTACCTGATGAGAGTGACTCTGTAGTCACTTGGCGCTTCTTTTCTCTTTGAAGTCTGGGAATATCCTGAAAGTCAATCAACCAACCAATTTACTCTCAAAGTCTGTTAATCAATGATCTAATCAACTAGCATATCCTCATACCTACAAAAATATATTCTGTCGCTAAACAGATGAAAGAGAAAGGAAGGATCCCTGAAGAGTCACACCAAATGCCAGTATACACTTTGTTACGAAAAAACCGAGACACAAAACCTAGCAAAAATTTTTTTTTTTTTTTAAAAAAAAGGCAGATAAAAACGACCTAAAATTTTGTTCATAAAAATGTAAGCAAGGTATTTAAACATTTTTAATTGATAAACACACTAAATAAATGTTTTACCTTTTCAGAAGCCTGAAATCCTTTGCTTTGCTTCTTAGTTGCAGGTAAAGCAACAGTTTCCTGAATCAAAAAACAGAGATTTTTTAGACAAAGTACGTTAAATAGAGGATTCAAAAAAAGACCTAAGCAAATCAATCATCAAAGAATAACAATCATCAAAATAATAACAATTTAATTTAAAATGATTACAATTTTTATGTAACTAGTAAAAGTGGTAAAATGGACTCACTGCTTTTTGCTCTTTGAATAATAGTGAGATCACAGCTTATAATTTTCTGAGGGTAGTTACACGTGTATACATTTAAATGGTAACCTCTTAATTAAGAGACACAAAAAAGAAAAAAAATGCATGAGTCAAAAATGACTGCTGGTAGTTGATGATTGTAAGTATAAATAAAGTAATTCTTCTGTAACCAGATCTTTGACAGACAAACTATTACAGTGTATTCAAGCAGTGATCGTTTTTTTCCTAAATGAAAAGTCATCAAACAGTAATCTGAAATCTTACCGTAGCAACAATAAGTTTAGTAGCCATGTTAACCAGTCTCTCCCTTTCATCTCGACTAACATGCTGAGGAGGGGATCGTCTTAGTATTCTCCGTGGTTTGCCAACCACATTGACAGGGAGTTTTCTGAAAACATAAAATGCACTGTAAGTCTCATACTTTCCCAATGTTTATAATGTTTGGCTATAGCTACCTACCGGTACCCCACTAGAGTGCCACCTTGCTGTTTCCAAATGAGCTTCTTTTGGCAAGTACAGATATATTGAGTCTCTTTCAAATACCTTGTAACTTGTTATTATTGAATAATAGATTTAATGCTTTTGCTCCACTGTGAGATAGTATTGGATTGTCCCAGCCAGTCATTCATTGACTAATGTTGTTGCTGTTGTTATTATAGAAAGACGTATAAGTTATTAATAGTAGAAATGGTGGTTTAAGTTTGGGCTGTCAACAGCACGACTAGCACCCGGGCAACCATACCCTGATGTACGAGAATAACTCAATTAATAAAAAAGTAAATTGACAGCAGTACATCTTGTTAGACGGTCAAACCTCTCTGATACGGACACCAAAGGGACAGAGCGAAGTGTTCATTAATTAAAGAGGTGTCCACATAAAAGAGGTCACTTAATGATGACATCACTTTTATGACTCCACTTGCAGTTTTAAGTGTTCAGTAGCTAAAACTAGGCTCACACTCGTCGTTAAACTACATTTAAAGTAATTAATTCACTAAGTTGTAATGTAAAGTACAATTCTGAAAGCATCTTTCGCTACTTTGCAAGTGCAGTAAACAGCAACTAGAGTACAAAATCTAATAGAAAAGATCTTTATGCTATATGTGGTTATTGTAGCCTTCAAACAGCAACAAAAGAATAACCGGAGCGCAATAAAACAGTCAACTCGGTACTTATAACAACCCAAATTTAATTCTCAAAACCACTGAATGAATGATTTACAAACTACTTCCTTATATTATCTGCATCTTTTTCCTCCACTAGCTGCTGTTTCTCTTCTGATATAACTTTAAAAATCATTGCTTTTTAGCATGAGGCTTCATGTTTGTGTTGTTGTTTTCATTCACGAAAAAGAAAACTGGCAATGTTTTTCCCACCTTCTGTCACGCCACTTTCCACAATGCTTTGATCATGTGCTGTAATGTATCCCAAGTGGGGTACATTGCTTAAATTTATGTATCACAATTGGGACACATTTGATTTTAGTCAAGGCCACGTGACCAAGAATCAACCAATGGCAGTCCCTGTTTAGTTGAGTGAAAGTCTAGGAATATAACAATAATTCATAACGTACCTTCGCTTAGCTCCTCTCTTTGTCTTCATGTACTGGTCTACAGTCATCGTGGCTTGTGGTCGGTGTGGAGGTGGCTTAGGTGTTACCGTCTGAGGTATAGCGTAAGGTGAGATAGGACCAGGCTTGAGTCTATAATCCACAGATGCCATGGTCTGGTCCATAAAACCTCTCACTGTACCCTCGCGGGCATCTTGGTTCCGAGCTGTGTGCATTTGTTGCAACTGCTTCTTTACGTTACTATTGTGAAAGTAATGCTTTAAGCTTCTGTCATGGATTCCATCATAATCTAATGTTGGACCCTAGATTTGAAATATACAGTAAACCACGAGAGTCAAATGATGATCATAATATTTGAAGTTAAAGCTTGAGGAATGTTTTGAAATAAGAGTGGTCTTATTGAAAGCCAATAATTGGCTTTCAACACTCTGACTTAGTCAACTAATTATTACTTGACTAAGTCAGAGTGTTTTTGACACAAAACTGCCCCCCAAAAAACAGCATTGAAAGCAATGTTTGGCTTGCAAGCAAGTGAAACATGCAGAAAAATGTAAAGTTCAAGTTTGTCCAGAAATGCAACCAGAAGATGCAACTTAACTGCAACTGGAAAAAATTTTTTTCAGGCCTTCTTTATGCAGATACGTAATAGCTGCAATGATCTTCTTTACATTTAATTCTTCATCACACAGTTCTAATATGTGATATTCATATGTTCATTATTTGAAATCAGCTTCGTACATGTAAGTCAGCCTTGCAAATTTTCACGTACACAGACTCAACTCAACAAAGCTTATTTATTTGGTTTTTGTTATTAAAAAGGACCATACAGTGTGTATATCCATGGCTGAACTTTCTTCTTCCTCAAAGCAAAAATTGAACTGACACGCGAAAAACAAAGAAATGGCATGTAATTCAAAAGCAGACATGGATTAAGGAATTGTGATGAAATACAATAATACATAACTAACCATTTACAATCATGGCATTAGTTTGTATTTTTAAACTTCAACTTCAGGATGTAACACATAAATCAAATTGCTAAACTTTAAAGAGTAGTTTGATATGAAAAAACAATTCAAATTCTTACAGCTCTTAAAGGAACTGGATCCTCTCTGGGATGACATGGCCCAGATAAATCAAAACCATCTTCTCTTCTCTGAACATCAAGATAATACTTCCTACAAGTATGCAAGAGAGAAAAAAATACATTAAGAGATTCTATTAAGGCTATAAACATAAACTGTAAAGTAAACACTAAGATGTTAGTGATACTAATGATGAAACCTATAATTACCCATTGATTGTCTAATTTTAGTAATGAAAACCAAAAAATTATAAACAAGGAGAAGACTAAGTAGCAAAATGCATGAAATTTGGTACATAGCAATTTTAGTATTATACAGCCATACTTCTCTTGACTTCCATACTCAGATTCTCCCGAATCAGACACTGTTTCCAGGAAGTGAAGGCAAGAATTAGGGCACAAAGGACGATGATTAAAAGATTTCCTTGAAGTTCTCTTCATGTATTATTCCAGAGAAGGAAATTACACAAAAACATTCTCAAGCTCAGTTCAGCAAGTTCCAGAAATGTAAAATTACCAATTTGAATTACAGAGTAAGTTCATGAACAACACTGTACTGTGGTCAGAGTCAAAATAAGTATTTAACAGCTTGCAAGGGAATTGCAGTGTAAAGTTTTGAGACCATGGAAACATGCCAGAGGAGTAAAATGTTATTTCACAATAAATAATTAATGACTTGAAAAAATGTAGCATATATTCCACATGGATCATTCTCAAATTAAATGCCAGGTTTTTGTAGTTTAAAAAAAATACTTTGTTTTTTTGACTTAGAGCTTATGTATGATACTTAAAAAGTATGATTTGTTAATATTTCTAAACAATCCTAGGGGAATTGAATATGACATAAATTCATTGGTTAGAGCTCCAAACAGGAACACTGATCATTGCAAAATGAGGCAGAAGTAATTAATTATTAACAAAAATAGGTCTGCTAAATGAAAACAGTCTTTCAAGATCTTCTTTTAATTGGTTGTGACTGATAACAATACTCAATTCTATATTATTACTGACCTACTTAGGTCAGCAATTTCATACCTATTGTAGAAACTGTTCAGCTGACTGAAACATACATCAAGCATTTCTTTCAATTTTCCTAGTTTCACTGTTTTCAAAACAACATACTGGGCATAGTTAGTTGACATGCACTTTATAGTGGAACACCATTTTTAAAAACTGTATCCTCATTAATTTTAGTTATATTTTATAAATTTATGTGCTTTTATAGCCTGTGCTAGAGTTAGATGCCTTCTCGATCCAATTCTTGACAATTGGCATGTGTTAATGGATTGTTTTAAATACTATTGGCTATATGACTGGCAGCTGGCTGGTCAAGGTCTTTCAAATCACCAAATGGTCATAAAGCCTAATACAAACTTTTAACCATATTCTTTGTCTCCCAACCCTAAATCGATAAACCTAGGTCAGTAGTTCACTTTATCTACCAGTAGCAGGGATCCATATTCCAAGAGAACTTAAAAACCTCGAAAGACCATTAAGATAACTTCAAAAGTCACCCGTCAGACAAGTGAGCTTCTGCTTGACCACAAAATCTTTTCAAAAATTCTTATATGGTTTTATACATTTTCCCTGTGTTCTGAATGCTTCTCATCCACTTAAAAAACTCTTAGAATAATGGAGACTAAACAAGCAATGAAATCGTAAGTTTGGGCACCATCTCTGATGGTGCAGCATTTTCTACGAAATGGTCGCAAACTCAGTTTATTGTGAAGTACTGCATTCAGAGGCCATTCGTAGAAAATGTGACTGCACTCATCAAGATGTGCTGTTTTTTAGAAGGCGTTTTGTTGCCTTTGGCAGAAAAAAAAAGGTGAAGAAGAAGCCCGTACCTTATACACATCAAGATGTGATATCTTTTAGAAGACATTTCACTGCCTTTGATGGAAAAAAAGGTGACACAGGAGCTGCTGCCTTGTATGGGGGAAAACGTAAGCGCACTGTCTAATCTTCATGGCAAACTGACCGACCATGGCTTCTTGTAAAACGTAGATAAACTTTGTTTAGCCTAGGCCTGTAGCCTGTTGTACTTAACTTAGTTAAAACCCTTTCTTAGTAACCATAACGGAATTAAAAGGCTAATCAGAAATGTTCCAGTTGCACACAATTTTTTCACTATTCTTTTATATAATTCTGCACTTTTGTCCAGGCAACTGAAATTGTAACCGGGCAAGTATGCCATGAGGCTTACTTGCCTGGCTGATGACTCTGAGAAAAAATGAATATGGATCCCTGCTGTAGAGGCAAAACTAAAGATTAGACAAGCACAGATCAGATGGTCAGTAACAATTTTAGTGATTTGAAAACCTTATAGTTGCCAGCAATTAGGCTAGACACTTTGTTAGGTATTATAAAAATTGGCAGAATGAAATGAGTTTAGGTAGCAGGTTTGTTAAACAACAAATTCTAATAACATCAGTAGACAAGAAGAACTTCTCCCTTCATTTCCTGACCAATCATAATTTTTATCCTAGCCCTTAGAGACAAAGGAAATTGTGAATTGAGCAAGGTTAAAACATTTTACCTTGAAATCAAATTTTACCTGTATTATAAGAGATACACGACAGAATGCAGACACCATTTATCAAGATTTTTTTTAACTTTACGATTTCATTTCATTCATTTTTTAGTCAGTAATTTTGCTTTTTCGTCTTTGCATGGCAGTGAACTCTTTCATCATGTTCTTGAGTTCTGCACTTATGCCAAAACAGCAATGACTGTATATTGACAACATACAAGAATTGACAACCGAGTGACTGACATCAGTGATTGTATATTGCTCACATTTTCCAAATATGGTCAGTGCCAGTTAATTATCAAGAATAATCTGGAGGATTAAAGCCATTCAGAAATAGCAAGATATTTTGTATGAAAAATAATATGATTTCATACACATTTTGCAAACCAGCAAAACCAATCACGTTGCATTTGACTTATGATGTATTTCCTATCTAAATAATTTTAAACCTCTTTAATGATACACTTGAGTGTTAAGTGTGGTGTTTATCTCTTCATAGTGACGTGAAGAGAGCGTTATACAGATGTATATCATGGCCATGCTGTTTTCACTGCTAGTACAAGCTAGTCGAACAGCATTTTTCCTTGATTCTCTCATGAGCGATTATTTTATTTAAATTTCAGAACAGGTTAATACGTTTTAAAACGTGCAACAAATAACGCAAATATTACTTGACAGATCGAGTTGAAAAATTCAAACTTAGCCAAAGAGCCATTGACGTGATCGGCCTTACTTCCAAGTTTCTCGAATAAAGAAGGAAACAGACGGCTTTAAACTTAAAGCTTGACTTCTTTACCCAAAAATACACTCACATTCAGCTTATAACAGCTAGTGCTGATTGCAATCAAGTCGGAAATTAATCTTAATAACTTAAACTAATTAAGCTTGGTAGTGGTGGCTGATGAAAAGAGAACACTAGCTACCAAGAATACTTACAATTTCTTTGCCACAGTTTTCGCAACGGTAGCAGAACTCATTTATATTTGCCTCCAAGCCTTCTTGCTCTTGTCAAATCCGTTGCAGTACCATGGAACAACACAGGAATGAAATGAGGGTGAACGAAACAGACTCAGCTCTGCAGGAGAGTTTGGAAGATTTGATCTTGATTAATTAAGTCAATTCCTTCGCGCGTTTTCACAATTTCATCACCTTAAAAGCAATGCTATCCTTTTCCGTACGAGAACTGAAGTTATTTAGTCATACCAATGACACCACAGCCCAATGCAAAACACAATTCACTGATCCTTAAAAATTCACCCAAAGGCGTCGCTAAGTGCGAAGTATTTACCCGCCGCTGGCCTTAACGACGATCAAAAAACATCGATAATCCTTCGAGGGTGGCGACGCACAAGTCGATAGATAGCCGGAAGACGTAATTATGCCATATTTAGGCATTGTTATGTGAAAACAGTGCACTATACAAAAGTTACTTTCTAGTGTGGCGATTTTGCATCCATGCTTAGTAGCTCAGACTGCTTAAAAAAGCTATCTTTTCCGAGTAGATTTGTTCGCCATATTAGAGGGCATAAAATGTTGTATATTTGGTGTGCGTTGATCGCGGCTTATGCAGCGATGATCTTGTATCTCCGACTTCCCATGGTTGTTTTCCCTGCATTTCTGTTCATAACCTTTCTGGCGTCTGGTGGGCGTAACTTCCCTAAAGTTTTCTTTCGAACGATTCTGCGTGATGTGAGGTACGTTTTTCTCTGATTTTTATCTAACAGACCATCGAAGGTTAACATAATCGTTTAATTTATGATTGTAATTTGTTAAATAAACATGTACATTACTGATCAACAAGCATCGATCAGGTACTCTACCGGTGTGCGACAAACGCAGACTGCAGACTTGCACAGATAAACTAGGTAAATGTTGTTGTGAAATGCTTCAACAGATTCCCCGTCCCTAAACACTTAAAGGTTAGGGACAGGGAATGTGTTAGCTCATTTCACAACAATGTTTACCTTACTTACCTGCAAGTCTGCAGTCTGCGTTTGTCGAACACGGTCTCAGACAAAAGTGTAGTGAGGACACTTCCACCAAAAGCTGTTTTGTCTTTTCCTTTCTGGCCCGTCTCCATGTCCTCCCAATGTTGCTTATTGCACTAAACTTACCAAATCTTGCACACCAACATTGGGAGAGTAAGAAGACAGTAAAGTGTCCCAACAATTTTGACTGAGACTGTACTTTATCTGGTCTGTAAATGCTGTTAGATAAACGAAATGGTTCATGCTTTTAGCTGTGTGTATATCGAAATATGGATGTACTTGCAGACTATCCAACCTTTTGAGTTTGTAAAATTGGGATTTTAGATAATTGAGGAATCATGCCAGCGCTGAAGGGGTGAGCTGCTAGGGCAAGCCCTAGGATTTCACAGTAACAATCGTTTCCGGTACCGTGTTGTTACCCTGATCTTAAACTAATGGAACCGAAAAATAGTTTCCCAGTGACATGTCCTGATATATTCAGACTGAGGGATCAAAATATGCCATGGTCATGTATACTAGGATGTTGTTTCCGTAGTTAGTAAAATGTTAAATAAACAACTGGTCAATAAATTTAGTTTTTTCCCAACCACATGCATCAACCACTCCTTGACCAAGGACCAAAGCTGTGTTTACAAGGTTCTTCATCAATTGGCAATCAATTTCAGAGAAGTACAGTAATGATTTTCACTTATGGTATATAACCAATGTCACATTTTATTAACATTGTTTGGTTTCATTGCAGGGGTATTTTTCTTTATTCAAAGGTGATTTATTACACCCGCCGTTATAAAAGAGAAAAGAAAACAGTTCCTGATATATTTCAACTAACAGTCTCCAAATATCCTCAAAAAGCTGCCATAATATTTGAGCAGAAAACTTGGACATTTCAAGAGGTTGAAGACTATTCCAACAGGATAGCCAATTATTTCAAGGCACTGGGTTACCAGAAAGGAGATTGCGTGGCTGTTATATTAGAATCCAGCCCTGAGTTTGTCTGTGCATGGCTGGGACTGTCTAAACTTGGTGTTGTTACTGCTCAAATCAACACCAATTTGCGGCTTGATTCACTTTGGCATTGTATATCTGTTGCCAATGTAAAAGCAATAATTTTTGGATCTAATTTCTCAGGTAAAAAAATCTTGGCCAAAATTACCACTATTCAGTTTAGCCTGCAACCTAGCCCTCCATTTGACTATCCTAAGGGGTGAAAGGTTACGCACAAGCTACACTATACAGGCAAAGCAAGACAGGAGGGCGTAACACTGGTGAAGTCTCACTCCTTTCCCAGCCAATTACTTTTCACAGCTTGGCCATGTGTGACCTTCTATGCTCACAATTTCCCCACGGCTTGCTTGCTCGCAGTCTGTTTCCAATTGTTTGGTATTTGTACACAGTGAAATAAAATACAGTCTGTAAAGTGCCACTTATAAGCCCTGGGCTTCTTAGTTCTACATCTTCATAAGGGGTTTTAGAAGGACTTAATTATAAAAAGAGGGGCTTATTTTGATGGGGGCTTATGACCTTAATAGAAAAGCACTTCAAAACAAGCTATATATAGCAGTACTGATAAAAATTATACATTTTACATTTACTAGTTTTTAATTGTTAAGCTTCAAAATGCCAAAGTAAAAAGTAACTTAACATTGCATGCACTTTTATTTTTTCTATTGCAGGTGCTATTAAGGAAATCCAGACCAGAATTCCAAGCATGGTACAGCTGTATTCTTTAGGAGATTCCCCAACATTGCCTTCAGCAACAAATTTAGAGAAAGAGCTTGAAAATTGTTCATCAGTAGCACCCAATGTCACTCACTCTAAATCTATTGCAGGTAAGTAAAGAAGGCAAAAACCAAGCAGTTTGTAGGAAACTGCATGTATGTGTTCAATTTTATCCTTGGTTTAAATTTTATTTTCTTTTGTTTTTGGGTATGGTGATGTATGATATTGACATCATAATGAGTTTAAAACAAAAGAAAATAACAGGTATTTGTAGGATTCATTTCAGGTTAGAACCTGATTGTTAGAAGCAAATAGAAAAAAAAAATAGGTAGAACCTGCATCACCTGACCAGAGTTCCCAGCTGAAACCATCGCAGCAAATAGAAAACAAAAATTCAAGGGGCATTTATTTCAAAAATTTCCTTAAATAGAATGGAATCTTGAATTCTTGAAAAAGTCTTGAAAAGCAGACCTGGAAAAAGTCTGGGGGATCCAAGTAAGAAGGGTAAAGTAAAGTTTCTAGTGTCTCTCCTATTTTGCTGAGATAGAATCGTAAATAGACCGCAAGCAGTCATCCTTCTTTCCTCAGAGCCACCTGCAGCGAGAGAAAAAAGTAAAATTATGCAAATCTATGGTAAAAAGGAGGCGAGATTGGGGTGGAGAGAGGAAAAAGGACACCCGCAGAGGTTTTATTGTATTTTGAATTACCATAAGTGAAACAGAAATGTGCAATTGGTCGGCTACTTGTCACTCTGTCAACACCAAAAAATCTCAGTCTCAGGGAGTTACTGCAGCTCCAACTTTTGTAGAACGTGGTGACCAGACAAGAACTGCAGTCACTGTACTCCAGTTTCCAAATGGAAACGGAGGTCTGTTAATGGATTAACTAGCCCTTGCTTTTGTGGAACCTGAAATATATTCTCGATCAAAATATATCCTATTTTCGCACTACTGAAATTTCTGTGCGTGACCGCGAAAGGTCCATGGCAAATTCTAAATTGGTCTATAATACTGTATTGCCAGGGGTACTTTGAGGAATACGATACTATCATTGCAGTACCTCACAGGACTTGTAGCACGATACACATGTATTCCCAAACCATCATTACTTGCCAGATATTAAGTAATTAACATCAAAAGAAACATTTTTGGAAAATTTTCATGGTATAATTCTTGTCTACAGCTTATTTTAGAAATTACCCAGAATCCTTTTGGGCGTGGCATCTGACTTTTGGCTTGCTTAGCATGACTATTATCTCTAAAATACAACAAATTTACGAAGTGCTTTTTGTCTGCCTCTTTCTTTTCTTGATCTTTTATTCCCTCTACATTTATTTGAAAGGCTTTTCTTCTCGGTATTCATCTCTGTATTTGTGTAACAATCGTGACGTCCACTCTATTTTTACCTCACGTTTTCCCGCTTTTTGCCCCTGATTTGTTATAAAAACACCCCCCAGATACTAAGGAGAGGTTACACAGGACTCCTTCGATGTTTCTTGTGGATTTCGGCTGGAAAATGGCTTGAATTCAAGTTTCATTTGGGAAGTTTTCTGCTGCGAGTGTGGTGGTAATTCGATCGTAACGCTTAGACAAACATGGCATTCAACTGGAAATATGTTTCCGATTCACCATTTGTAGAATTTCTTCGTTTTAAGCCTATTGAAGACTAAAAACATTACCAGGATTTGAAGACCAGTAACTGAACTGTGTTGCAGCTGTGTATCGGCGACCGTTGTTAACTAGAGGCTGAGATACAGGTTTTCTTTTGGGTAAGTAATATTTAATTTCACACATCAAAAGTACACAACAGTTTAGTTTCCGAACACGAAAATTCTTTATTTCTTCATCGCCGTGAGTAATCTTTAAAAACCTTTCTTACTTGATGGTAAACAATGTTATGAACTTTACTCAGACGAATTATCTTCTTTTGTAGGTGCGTTTGGAAGTCGCTAGCCTTATATTTGTAAGGCATGGAGCGCTGTTGGACCTCGAGCGTTACACAGGCATTTAATGGCAACCGTCCCTAGAATTATAATTCTCGTTATTTCAAAAATAAATGAAGAGAACTGTAATTTTGCGTATGGTGTCGTTTTTTCCTATTTAATATTTCTGCTGTGTTGAATTTTCTTGATGAGATAGTGTTAAGGGTGAAATTTTACTTTTTTAACTATTTCATGCGAATTAGCTGTTACGCGTTACACGCTGATTTTGTAACTATTTTCTTTCATCTTCAAGATTTTTTGATTCCTAGGTTCCTCCAAATGATATTTTTTTAACATATCACTTAACTACAATCCTTGTTGAAGTAAGGTATAAAGTTTGAACGAAATCCGTCATTAGCTTGCAAAGATATAGGAAAATATATTGGAGCAACCACTAATGTACATGTGTATCGTGCTACAAGTCACAGATAAGAAGAGAACTAATGTTCCTAATCAAACAGCAGTGAACAGACTAGCTGTTTGTTTACAGGAAAAAGCACATGAAATGGTGTCACTTGTCAGAAGGAGACAACTGTCAATTAAGGAGGCGTGAAATGCAGTAAATCGCCACATCAAAGATCCCATCACAGTCTCTTACTTTTTCTTTGCTCAGGCTTCCGCCCTCATTCCTTGCAGCTTCGCCACTCACCCCCCATGCATGCTCTTAATCTACTGTGACTCAACGGAAAAGTAAGAGACAGCTGGCGGTCTAAATCGTAAATGTCTGGATGGTGTAAATTACCAAGTTGTACCGAGTTTTTTTCTATTATCCTCAAATAAGCAAGGGCAGCATTTATAGGTAATTTTGCTTAAGTCTGCGGCGTTTTGTCCAGGGCTGTATTTAATTGAATAAATACAGTATGCCATGGTGCTTTTATTAGTTTTGTTCATCGTGGTCTCAAGGTGCCCACAAAATAGGAGTTAACTGTCAGTAGGACAGTCATTGGTCATCTCTCTTAACTGCATTTGTCCTCTGTGGGTCTTCTAACTCCTGTACATTCTCTTATTCTTTTTAGATAAGTTACTGTATATTTATACATCAGGGACTACAGGATTGCCGAAAGCTGCAGTCATAACAAATGCTAGGTATGTACAGACTGCCTGGGTAGCAAGCGTTTCCTTGCAATTTCATTGAGAAAGTTGGGACGAGAGCAAAGAAGAGGAGTGAATGGGGAGGGGTGGGAATTTTCGTCTTCTCCCCTCCCCTTCCCCTTCAATGTTAATTCTATTTGGTTAGAGGCCCAGTCTCATCTACCCAGTCAGTCTCATCTACCCTCATCTACCCCGTCTCATTTACAATTTCATCATCTGCTACATCAACAACTCCCTTCCTACACGTAAGAATATGGCAAGATGGGAATTATCACAAAGTCCTGATTGCTCCTTTTGCCTTAATCCTGAATCACTCCTTCATATTGTTGCTGGCTGATCGCTTCACCTAGAGACACAACTCAATCCTTCACTTCCTTGCCAAGTCACTTCAACCTGTAAATTAATGCTTACTCTTCACTATATGCCAATGTTAATGGTTTTCTGAATCCTTCAGTAATAACCGGTGAAAATTATCATCGAGATCTTCTTTTCCTAATTCTGCCCAAGTGCCTATATGTTCTAGAATAAACAGTTGGTTTCGCGACTAACCTTAATAAGAATGTAGTGCGCAAAAAGGAAAAATACCAGATCTTGATCAAAGAAATGAGCAGAAATTACCGATGTGTGAAATCTGTAAACCTCTCCATGAGCTCCCTTGGCGTTTTCTATGACGAATGTTCCACTTTCTTAAACATTGGCATTGACAAAAAGCAGCAACATTATATAATAGAAAAAATGATAAATATAGCCATTAGAGCAACATATTACATCTTTTGTTGTAGAAATAGGAATTGGGATAGCCTGGACTTAATGAAATTTGGAGTTTTGAATAATTCAATCTCAAGCAGCCAGTTGTAAATCGCCTATACGAAGCGAGATTTACAAATGTACATTCAAAAAGACAAAGTTTCCATTATTTAGAAAGCCACTGGTATTAACTCATAAGGAATATACTGCTTTCAGCAGGAAACCAAGTTATGTTAATGCCCCGCCACCCTTTTTTTTTAGGAACATTACATGTAACTCCATGTAGTCCTTTATTGCCTATTTTTTATCTTTTAGATACTTCAGGATGGCATATGGGATAACATGCGCACTCTGCGTAAGTACAGAAGACATTGTTTACTCCTCCCTGCCCCTGTATCACTCTTCTGCTGGCGTCCTCGGTGTTGGGCAGTGTCTCATTAATGGTTGCACATTGGTTCTGCGACGCAAATTTTCTGCCAGTCAATTTTGGGATGATTGTGTAAAATCAAAGGCTACAGTAAGTGCTGCCATTTTTCTTTTATTTTTGTGTTTGATTTGGTCGGGGCAATGTAGACATGTTTTGCATGGGCAAAACTCATACTCCAGTCAGTACAGTTGCAACTCTTACCCTTTTGCTGTTATAATCACGTATGAGGATGTTGTGGCTTAATTTCATCCTAAGCTCAATTAGTCCTTATTTTTTATGTGTGTGTGTGTGTGTGTGGGTGAGTGTGTGTTTGTGTTTGACGTTGAGTGAAAAAGGGTAAATGAAGTTGAAGCACAGGGATATTGAAACTATGGACAAACTTATGTTAATGATTTGACCATTTAAATGAACCTGTACCTCTGCGGTTCTTTTGCGTTGTTTGAGTTATTCATGCTTCATGATTTTACTTTGAGAGCTCTAAGTGCTTAGCAAAAGAGCTAATACTAATTTTTCATGTTCTGAAACTGTTCTTGCACGTCAACACGTTATTTGACGATGGAAACGTTTATGAAGGGGTCGGAAGATTCATGGAGTCAAACACCTTCCTAAAGGCAATACCTTCACTGTTTTTTTTTCTTGTGCGTTAGATCGTTCAGTACATTGGTGAGGTTTGCCGCTACCTTTTGGCTCAACCTTATCGTCCTGCTGAGAAACAGCATTCGGTGCGCTTGGCCTTTGGCAACGGTCTCCGGCCTCAGATTTGGGAAGAGTTCCAGTCCCGCTTTGGCATCAAACAAATTGGGGAATTTTATGGCTCAACTGAAGGAACTGCCTCCATCGTCAACATAGATAGCAAGGCTGGTGCTTGTGGTTTTGTTTCAGAGATTGCGCCCGCTATCTATCCTGTGACTATTATCAAAGTTGATCCTGACACGGGGGAAATAGTGCGTGGAGCAGATGGACTGGCTGTGAGAACCAAGCCTGGGGACGTTGGACAGATTGTTGGGAAGAGCTCAGCAGGTATTTTGTTTTACTTTATTCGTGCTGATTTTTGCGAGGCTTATAATAATGTTGTGAAATTTAAGTCCCAAAAAGTTGTTGTGATTTTCGTTTTGTTATTGTTCTGTTAAGTGTTGACTTAGACTCTTTTTATCCTCATTATGTTTCTTTCATTACGACTTTTCTGACAAATCGCGAAATTCAAGTTTCGCAAAATGTACCTCTCCCATTTTCAAAAATTATGTGACCGGGAATATTAGCACAAATTAATATTTTATTCTGTAATAAACACCAATTTGGCCTACTTATTACTAAGCTTGAAGCTGCCTTGACTTAAGTCACAGGTGTCCCAACTGATCCTTTTCTTTGAGTCACATGTGACCCAACTGACCCCTTTTTTTATGTCACAGGTGACCCTTCTAATCGTTTCGAAGGCTACCTGAACCCCGTGGAGACGTCCAAGAAAGTCGCCCACGATATATTCCGTAAGGGTGACACGGCCTTCCTTTCTGGAGACTTGGTAGTGAGGGATGAGTTGGGCTACATCTATTTTCGCGATCGAACCGGAGACTCGTTTCGTTGGCGCGGTGAGAACGTGTCCACAGCTGAAGTCGAGGCGATAATGAGCAAAGTACTTGGTCTTTGTGATGTTGTTGTTTACGGTGTCTTGGTACCCGGCTGTGAGGGGCGTGCGGGTATGGCGGCCATTGTCGACCCAGACAACAAAGTTAATCTTGAAGGTTTGGCTACCAGTCTGAAGAAATTATTGCCGAGTTACGCCTGTCCGATGTTTCTTCGGATTGTGCATAACGTTGACATAACTGGTACATTTAAACTTCAGAAGAACAAGTTAAAGAGTGAAGGCTTTGATATAGGCCTCGTGGAAGACCAGTTATACTACTTTGATTCCAGAGAAAAATTGTATATGGTTCTGGACGAGGTCAAATACGAACAAATTATTCGAAGCGAAATCAGAATGTAAAGTAAAGTTAGAAGGGCAGGCGCCCCAGGTCACAGGAAGCCAATTTATTTGGAGCTGAAACCTGTCTATGCCTCATTAATCTGTTGGCAGGAGGGGGCTGGGGGGAGGGGATTGTATGCCTTCTTGTCTTTCCCCGCCTTTGAAGCGTGTGGATACCAAGTATGAAACTAACACCTTGCCTTGTTCTGGAGAAAGTAACCATGACCGTGTTGTCTTCCTGTGACTCTTGAGTGATTGTAGACACATATGAATCGTCAACTGACCGACTATGCTGACGACTCTTATGACTAGTCCTTTAAACTGAACGAGCTTACTCTCTTACGCTGGAGATCTTACGCAACCACAACGGCGACGGCATAGAAAACGTCACCTAGAAAGTGCATTACTTGAACCTTATCGCATTTATTCAAACTCGCTGAATTTGTCAATGAAGGCAAATTCGCCGTCGTCATGTGCATGAGGAAAATTTCGCTTTGTAGTCGCGCGGTGACGACGACCTGCCTTTTTTTAAAATAATGATTTTTGCCGTTCTCGCTGCCGTCGGCGTCGTCGTTGCTAAAACTCCTCTTTAGCTCACTTGAACTATTTTATATGATATTAACGACCTCTTCCAATTTGCTGTCCACAGACGTTTTATCTTTCGAGGAATTTTGCGAATGCGTGCCGTAGGAAAAAACCCAAACGCAACCCCCATCCGCGAGCAGTCTAGTACTACTGCAGCGAATTTTGTTTTGATAAGCACGCTTGGCATTATAGGAGCAGATCATCTTAAAATCAGTTAGGCTTACCATAAATCCTCTATCAAGCTCCCTCTCTAATAAATCCCTTTTTTTAGGGAAAGAAAGTTATTAAGCCCCCCACCTCTCCTCCCTGGATAGACTGACTTGGTGTAGCTTATTCATATGCTAGAAGTTTGGATTTCTAGGGTCATGTGCTTGAGCATTTTTACTTTGCGTTCTAGTTCTTTATAGAGAACTGATACATCTTCTGGTTATTCGAAAAAGGAGTATGGTGCCCCATTTCGGCAAATTAATGAAGCCCCCCGTCAAACGTTTTTGAAATAAATAGAGGATTTAAGGTATTACAGAACACAACAGAACACGTAAATTTCGTATATCCATAATATAACTGACGTAAAGGCAAGTATTGTACGTTAAGCATATTTTCCTCTGTAGGTAAAACCGGAAATTTGACGATATGTAACTATGTAATGTTTGTAATATATCGCCTTCGCCTTCACCAGATAAAAAGAAGACGTCATTGGCCAATCAGCATTAAACCACATATCATACATAACAACCCTTTGTCAGGTTGAATGACATGCGATTAGTACAACTCTAAGCTTTTGTTTCATTTCGTTAAGGCTAGGTTTGCACTAATGGGGATTTTTCCCGGAGATTTTCCCAGATTCATAAATGTTTCCGAATTTATTGCATTCAGAGTATTCGGATCCACAGGCGCTCACAGACATCATGACACGTCAGTTGATTCGAAGCTTAGCGTGTTATAATCTGAGGAAAAAAGCTTTCCGATTTCGTGAAAGCAGGTTGTCGCAGTCGCAAGCAGAAGCGGGAGAACTAGCATTATGAATAGTTTGCCATTCCGTTTCTGCTACGGACTCTGACAATCCGGTTTACTTTCTTTTAATCGCTACCTGTTAGTCCGCGAGTAGTCTGATCTGCTCAGATGTCCCTCTTGTTTTCATTTTCCGTCGAGCGAAACGCACTGGTGAAAAATGGCCACGCGCGCACAGGCCTGTGTGCCAGGCGTTCGGAAAGGGAGGGGAAGGAAATTTGGGCGCGCCCCTCGCGCTTCTTGTGCGCCCGAAATCCCCTTTCCCTTGCCTTTCGAACACCTGCAACGCAGGCTACGCGCGAGCCTGGACTGGGTGCGAGACAGGAAATGAGCCCTCTCCTCCTGCTTCTCGTGGCTTTGAGGCTCGCGCGCGTACCCACCCACCATCTTTGTAGGAAAACATGAGACGGCACGCGGGCTGCTACTTTTGGAGGGTCTTTACTTTGAAGGGATCTCTTTTTTCTCGGTTAGCTAAGAACCGTGAAATGATATCGTCACTTTTGGGGAATCGTTGATATCGCAGCACAACAGTGATAACTCGTGATAAGGTGGGCTAAACATATAGAGCAGCCGGGACAAATACAGTTGCTCTACTGAACAGTTTTTGTCCTTTAGTCTAAGAGTGCAACGACTTCCTCTATTTTTTTTCTTCTCGCCTCTTTCTTCTTTCACTCTCACAGTTATTCCTCTCTGTTTCCTTCAAAGTCGGGCTTGGTTACCCACCCTAAACAACATTTTGGCGTCAATTAGGTCAAATGGCCGCAATTTTCGTCAGCCAAGGTTTAGCAAATCCATTCATCCGAAAAATTGTGCAAACCCGTTCGTAAGCGCCCCTTGAAGTTGTTGGCAAATTGCGCGTTTCGGAAAGGTGGCTACGCTAAAATATTCTTCCCCAGTCCTTTCTCTTAAGTTAAAATCGTTTTTTAAAAAACTTTTAGTAGAGAGCTTTAGATTGTAAGAAGAGGACGACAACGAGAACAAGATTTTCTCAATACTAAGTAGTACCAACGTCATTTTGGCGGGAAAATGTGGCAGCCGTCGTCATTGTACTACGAGTTTTAGCGAAATTGTCGTAGTGGCGAGAAAAAAGTTATCAAAAGGTAGGAAATTTTATCATTTAGCGATCAAGTGAGGACTTAACCTCCCTCGATGGAAATAAACGTACTAACTTTTGTGGTAAAAAAAGTACACTGAAGTTTTCCGCGCTGTCTATTTTTAGAGGAAAGGCGAGAAAACGTAAAATTAAATGTCGTCCTCCTCCTCGAATCTTAAGCTCTCTACATGTAATTATCTTCAAAGGAAAACTGATTAGCCATTATAAAAACCAAGTTTTTTGTTCTTCTTCCCCTTCACTTCTCGTCCCAGGGCTCTCATAATTCCTCTCTTCTTCAGTTCCTTCTGAAGTGTGATTTTTGAACGACCTAAAACTTGTCAGGTTTTCCCTCTTTCACCAGCACATTTATCTTTGTGCACAAAGCTAAACTGCAGATTATCCGGCATCTTAATTTGCATCTCGTTGATTAACGAAAGCTATATTGAAAAAGCCTTCTGAAACGTGAAAGTAAAGTGGCCGAGTATTCTGTAATTACTCCGTTCATAAGAGAAGCTTTTAGAAAGATGTCCGCTTCTGTCAGTAAAAAAAAAAGAATGACAGAAAAAAGGGGATCAAGGGACCAACAAAAATGTGGTTTCTGTTCATGTGCAATTCGTTCTATAAAAACAGTGTACAAAGCGTGACAAGTGCCGAAAGCTTTTCTGAATAGTTTCCATGCATGATCGCTCCTTTCGTAGGTGTGGCACAGTGAAAGAAAAGAGTCGTTCATTCCGTGGCTTTGCGTGACAGCACGTTCGAACAAAGCGATGGCGTACGCTTGGACAGTAGTGGTAGCTGGTATTTCGTTTCTCGTTTACTTCACCAAGCTTCCTTTTTCTCTGGTACCAGTTCTTTTATTTGGGGCGTTTTTGGCTTCAGGAGGAAAGTCCTTTCCCAGGATTTTCTTTCGAACATTTTTTCGTGATTTAAGGTACGGTACAAGTGTCATCAAAACTCTTTCATTACCTTTGTATTTGTTTAACAACGGCAGCATATAGCAAACATTGAGATCAGTTATGGCTTTCTAGGCTTTGTATAGCTGTGCAGGATGGCCGTACCGGGGGTCATAGTATACAAGAGTTAAGTTACTAATCCGGCAAGGAGCAAGGCACCCTTAAGGTTAAAGCACCTTCGGATCTACAGTACTAGTGCGGCTGACCTTTGCAGCATGTTTGTTTGTTTATAAGACTACAGATCAGAATAGAAACATTTCGCTATTTCGCCTCCTCCAGGTAATATACTGTTCTCTTGCGTGTCAGTCCTAAATATAGCAGATTGCATTGTGTGATTGATTGCAATTTCGGACGCACAAAATTCATGCACAAAGTACACAAGTTGTTTGTTTGTTGTGAGTTATTTGTTTAGCTGCTGCCGTTGTTGCATTGCGGCGTGGCGCTCGTTTTCAGGCCTTCTCCAAGGTTCAGATCAAGATGGCGTTGCACTAAAGGTAGAATGTGCTAAAGATGACAGAGATTTCCTCTACTTTTCACCAAATCAGTGCTTGTGCATTTTAAAATACCCGGCCACTTATATGCCTCTCGGGTTGAATAAGAAAAGCTGCATATTGTGTACCAGCGATGGACAGAAAAGAAAACTATTTGTAAAAAACTGAATCTATGCAGACGACGCTGTGGTTAAATGGAAGGATACAAAACCCGTTGAGGGGGAAGGCTAGGGAAGTAATAAAAGCGATTGTTGCTCCCTGCTGCTAAGCCAAATGCCGAGCACGGCGTAGCCTAGTGTAAAATTAACGGATGTAGTATCCATATCTTCCGTAAATCACAATTTTAGGTATAAAATTAGTTATGCAGATGCTATGAATCATCTCGAAGTACACCATGCCTTCCTTTTTTATAAATGACCGCATCAGTCTAAGCACGGACCATCCTCCAAATCCACAAAACTCAGTAAACAGGCATAGCTTGGGAAACAGGACAGCCGTGATTGATAGTTGACAACATAGGCAGTTCAGGGGGAAACAAAAAAAGTAACATCTAATATAAAAATAAAGGACTCCAAACCCATAACGTCGAAAAGTGCGATCAAAGGTATAATAACTAGAGGTAAGACATAATGGTTCTGGCAATAACACATAGGTTCCAATATGCGAGAAAGTGGAACCGTAACGTAAAGGAGAACAGCCCCGGGGGGGGGGCACTTTAGGAATTTCTGGGTGGGGATGTGCCGCTGGGACCCTGGAACCCTTGACCTATACCAGAGCTAGTTCAGCTGAATTTTGCTACCCTATACTAGAGTAAACTCCCAGAATCCTCCTATCCTAGAGTGGCTGTTTCCCCAGTCTAGATAAAATCTTCAACCAACTGATCACTTTCCTGAAAAATGATACCCTATTCTAGACCTAAACGCTCTGATTTATATACCCTATCCTAGAGTAAACTGCTTGAAAACCATACCCTTCACATCGGCACATGGGGCCCATATGTCCCCAGCGGCGAAGAGCCTCAAAGAAAATTCCCCGAGATCCTCAGTGAGCCCGCCCTGTAAACCTACCTGAAAGGCAAATGATGCACCACCCTATCAAAAGGAAAGGCAAACGAAATCTCTAACTAGAAGATCACGGGCATGGACGGCAGTGTAAAGGCGTTGCCAAAACTAACAATAGCTACAAATCCTGGAAGGAAGGGAAGGAGAATCTTGCCATATGAAGACCTGAGAGCGTAGATACAAACGAGAGAGCCCTGTGGGTAGCAATTACTGGGTTAAGTGGGGAAGTCAGGAACTGGCGAGACAAGTGGAGTTACACAACCTGTTTATTACCCCACCGAATAGTGAGTGACAAGAGGGGCACCCCGGGGAAAAATTGAAAGTCTGACCTGACAAGTCGGATAAGCTGTTGGGAAGGAGCCAAAATATGACGGGAACTAGGTAAAAGATGGTTTTTACGCAGTACGCCGTAAAAGAAAAGTAGGCAAACGATCCAAAAATGAGATATCAAAACCGTTAGGTAAATACAACTCGAAGATAGGGGACAAAAGACTGCTAAGGGTCAAAATACCTGTAAGGAGCCGGGATTGAAGGGCCCAGTTATTAGCTAAGGGATTAGGCAGGTTGAATTCCTTGTGCAAAATGCTCATAATTGTAAGCAGAGATTTTCCATGAATTCTTTGTTTGCCTCGAGTTTCATATATGTTTTATATATATGTGGTGGTTGAGCTAGTGCTGGGGGATACCCCATGTACGGACAAAAACGTACCTGTTCCATTGAGTGCAGTAGGTAGCTTTTGCTTTTACTTGAAAAATAATCTGTAGTGGGAGACTTTGTTCTCTAGTTGTGTTGGGCCACCTCAGGGCCCAGGCAATCTACAACAGAGATGTTCTTGACTGGTAGGAAACAATTATTCTATCCACCACTGACTTGGGCTGGCGTATCAAGAGAAAACTTATGACAAAAGCATTCCCATCGAACACATGCTTCTGCTGCTACTGGACATGCAGCCTTATTGACATCAGTTGTGGGAGACGGGCTGACTGAGCTTGCCATTGAAATGACAACAGCGGGAATGCAACTATCTAATATCTTCATGAAATCCTGCATTTTTCCTGAGGGGGATTGAAGGAAATTCTTATCTGATCAAGGATCCGTCACAAGAATGTTGGACCACCAAACACCACCCGACAAGCCAAGTTAAACTTGCCTGCAAGTGGCTTTTTGCTTGCTCCTCCCCGAAACAAAAACTTAGTGACTACACGGTGCAGCTCGGTGCCGGTTTGTTAGGTGGAAGTGCCATCTCGCAACGGAACGCGTCCAGTTCTACGCCCAGGAGCACTTCTGCGTTGGGCAAATAGCTTTACTCTGGGGAATAGAAAGGTGTATTGATGATGTTCGTTACAGGATGCTGAACGGTAGATTGAAAATAAACGATGATAAAAACGAATTTCTGATAATCCGCCCATCGCAGCAACTGGGTAAAGTATTTCAGATTTTGAGCCTTTGTGCTGGGTTAGTTGTGATTATTCCAAAATCTGCGCTAAAATTTGCAAGAGCACATACCAAGGTAGGTTTTCTCACTGAATATCTTTTAGAGGTCGAGAAAGCTCTACGGATAACCATAACAATATATCATTACTGAAACCGGACATACGTTTCAAGCAAGCAGGAGAAGTGTGGAGAACTTATGGTTAACAGAGCGCGAAGAGGTGAGAAAGGTTGGAAGGTAGGCTGCCCATCCTAAGGGAATGGCAACTTTTCCTAATTAAGTAAAATATGAAATGTCCTACAACCCACTAACCTATTCAAGAAATAACTAGTTATCGGGTCAGCAATTGTCCTATCCTGCGCTCGGTAAAATTTTGTCTACAAATTCTACACTTCGTAACACTCTCTCACCCTTTGCCAACTGGGTCGGCGCCCGTTAGGAACATTTAGGACTCTTGGGCTACCACAGATCCAGTAAGCGGTCCATTAGGATTCAAAACATGGCTGTCAGTGCGCTGCCTGTCTGAAGTCTGGCGCTTTGATTTTGTGATCGAGACTTCTTCGGTGAGGCTTTTTCCTTCAGTTTTAGCTACTTGACTTGTTCTGGAAGTTAAAGCTCCACCTGCAGTGAAAGTTTTTCATCCAGTGATGGAAAGGAGTCTTCGGGGTAGGTGAAATATAGAGCCGGTTCAAATAATAGCGAGTGTTGCTACTGTCAAGCCGAATGCTGAATACGGCGAAATTAGAGTTTAGCTTAGCTTATTGGATTGACGCTAAAAGCGTCATCTTCTTATCCCCCTTCAGTGGCCAATCTGCCTTGTTATCAACGCAGATCATTCATCCAAATTTGCATGTAACTCACCCTCACCGACGTAGCACCACCAATCCTTTATTTCCATTTACCTCTGCTTTGAATGTTACGTTGTTTAGAACTATCATACCAAACCACGAAGTACATTTATGTATGTCCTGTAATGGTTTTTATTTCTCTTCTTTTGTCACAAAGGGAGATAGAAAACCCTTTACTGTTATTCCATCTATTGGTGGATGCCATTTTTGTCGCCGTCTTCATTAATTTACTTTCAGACGAATGGGACATGTATTCACTAATGTTTCATGAAAATTTGCCTAAGTTAAACTTGGGACATTTCTGGCCAGGGAGTCTTTCTTATGACCAGGGCTGCACCAGGGTACCAGGGTATTTATAGCTTCTCTATTGAGGTCAGGCCATCACACTACATTACGCTGTTCATGCCGCGATGAAGCATTCTGCACCCTACCTAACCCTACCTTTGGTGAGTGTGTTCAATTTCCACCCGTTAGCAGTGTGACAGTGCCTGATTGGGGTTTGCCATGGTTACTTGTCGGCAGTTCTTGGCTTCACCAACCGCTGACACGCCTTTCCTCAACGCTCACCTTTGTTGATGAGTTTCACCCTTGTTTTGAACGTTCAGTAAGCCATTTTTCTCAAGGGTTAATAATTATTAATACATGCTTGACTGGTAGATACACACGATCTCATGTTAGAAAGAAACCTATCTTAAGCAGTCACCCACGGGACCCAGTCTAGTACAAAAGTAGTATAGTTGTTCGCAAAATACAAGTTTGTTTAACTAAAACCATGGGAAGAAACGCCAGGGACTTTCTAAGGTTTGTGTCCACGCAATGGAAATATTTTGCAGCGGTTCTTGATAATCAAATTATTTATCTAATATTAATTTTTTTTCCTTCCTGAAGGGCAGTTTACCTGGCTACACCCTTGGTCATAAGTTTATTAAAGCATCAAAGGAACAATGACACAATAGCAGATATTTTTCGCCAAACAGTGTCTAAGCATCCTCAAAAGACAGCCTTCTTCTATGAACAGAAAACATGGAAATTCCAAGAAGTGGAAGATTTTGCCAACAGAATTGCAAATTACTTCAAATCTCAAGGGTACAAGAAGGGTGACAAAGTGGCTTTACTTCTGGAATCATGCCCTGAATTTGTTTGTATATGGCTAGGGTTATCTAAACTTGGTGTTATCACCGCACTCATCAACACCAACCTCAAACGTGATTCGCTATGGCATTGCGTATCTGCTGTAGAGGTCAAAGCTATAATCTTTGGAAGCGACTTTTCAGGTACTGTACGTCCCACCCCCAGTTTCTCCCAAAATTCAGATCCAGCTTCCCACATTTTTAATTAATAATTTTAAAGGCCTTCTTGGGATGAAAGGGAAGAAGAGATGGAGCTTCTTTGCTGTCCTCCGCATGCAGCAGTCACGCAGTTCAAACGTGAGCAGTGTTGCAGTTCCGTTGATGTTAAATTTACTGCAGGGCATATCCTGCAACTACACTAGAGGAAACATACCCGCGCTTGCTGCCTGGGTGTAGGTCATCATAAGGAAGAGGGTCCTTCATCCTTTCTTTATCATAAAAAGATTCTCCTTTTGATATTTTGCTCCTCAGTAATTCTTCCCCTAGGAATTGGCATATTAAATAATAACTCATAACTACATAGGCAGATACGTCCATTTCATTAAAACTGGTTTAAAACATAATATGCTTTACTTTAGCCCTCATTATAAAGGGATGTAAGTTTTGTCATTGTTTTTACTACTGTAACACAATTCACTCTTGACAATCTGTAACATGTAGGTGCAGTGAATGACATTCATGAACAGGTGCCAAAAGATACACACATGTATTACTTTGGACCTGCACCTTGCTCAGTGAACACAGCTTTAAGCCTTATCAAGGAATTGAAAAGAAGTTCTCCGAAACCACCAGACACTGATCACACAAAGTCGTTTAATGGTAGGTTTATAGTATGTATACATATGTGTAAAATTTTTAATCCTAACTCTCGGACAACACATGCAGAATCCCTGAGGAATTCCACTGGAATCCAGCAGGGATTACGAGTAATCTGGAATTCTATAGTAGTTCCATGACAATGCTGAATGCTGCCAGAGTTTGGATTTCCAAAACCCAGACATGACTGCCTATAATTATCAGATTCCCACAAAAAGACAAACTGGTGTTCTGCAGTTGGATTTTCCAAATGTCCACTTGGTAAACGTGGTGTTACACGGAGCGATGCCCACGACGATTTTTAACGCAACACAGGGTTGCAATATTGGAAGAATGTTGCAATCATTCGAAACAATGTCGCAAGAATGATGCAACGCTGTGTTGCGCTAAAAATCGTCGTTGCGAATCGTCTCGTGTAATATCACCTTAAAACATTGTTATTAATTTCACTGGATCTTGTCCGATTTTGCATTTTTCAATGCATTTATCACTGGTACGTGGGTTCAGCGCTCATTTTTGTCCTGCATCAATACCATAAATTGTGTAAGTTCCCATAAGCTTGTATTTCTGGATGTAAAGGAAAATCTCAAGAGGTATTTATTAAGAAAAGTGGACTACTGTGATTTTTTGTTGTAGATGTACTGATGTATATCTACACATCAGGAACGACTGGGCATCCAAAGCCAGCAGTTATAACGAACAAGAGGTAAGCAAGGTTTGAGAGATCGCACACCTTTCACCTGATTGAAGTCGATAAACACTGACACGGATAATTAGGCTGATTTAGCAACATTACTGGAACGTCAGTTGGCAAAGGGAAAGGGAGCGGAAAGGAATAAACGCGACTTCCGGTGCCCAATTTGCCGCTCTGCCATTGGTCAAGCCAGTTGCTTGATTTGCGCGCGCCGTTGTCAACTGACGTTCCCGTTCTATTGCTAAATCAGACTAATAATTTGTTTAAGGGAACTGATCTGATTGAAAATGAAGTGGAACCAGTTAGGAGGTTAATATTCATCATAATTTCTAGGTATGGCATTTACTAACCTGCTACCGCGGGCAGAAGGATTCTGCAGGTCAGGGTGTTTATCACACGCCTTGAAACCATTACCTTTATATTTCAAAACAAATTGTGAATTTGTTTCGTTATTCCTCATCTCAATTGGGGCCATCTTAAGCTACCATTTCGCCTGGCTCTTTATCAGGAACGGGTAACTGACTTGATATCTAGTTTGAGGCCTGACCCCGTTTCTGCATTCTGCAGTTTCCACTTTAGTATTCAACTGTTGTTTTTCGTCTGTTAGATTTTTCTCTTTTTCCTGCGTCTACGCTATGTACTGTGTGGCCCCCGAAGACGTCATTTATTGCACTTTGCCATTGTACCACGGTGTTGGAGTGATGATGACTGTGGGATGTTGCCTTATGAGAGGAAATACTGTGGCACTGAGGCGAAAGTTCTCTGCCAGTAGATTTTGGGATGACTGTGTGGAAACTAAAGCAACTGTAAGTGCATGTCAAATCAGTTAACGATGTTCTTCTTTCAAACTTAGCTTTATACGTCTATTTTAAATTTGTAAATATCAGCCATAACTTAGTAAAAAAGTGAAAATGTTAAATTTTAGCGGGTCTTTTAGAAATGTCCAGAGCGTCTCAAAACTCCAGGCACCATGCCTTGTCTACCACGTCCAGCTTAAGTTCCTCAAAGCGCTGCGTTTTGCATCTGGAAAGCTTGTACCAGTCTCCCTGCAAAAAGGAAGAAATGATGGGCTCTTTATTACTGATAAAGTGCTCGTTTAGTTTACGTTTTCCTCATTTCTCTCAAAGCCTGGTGTTACCCGTATATAGGTAGTCTGCTTCACAACCGTTCTTCGTGTCGTCACGCAAAGAACGGTGTGAAGCAGACTAATATGTAGGAGAACACGTTTGCTATTAACCTAGCAAGTCTTGTTTTTCTTTCAAATTCAGATTTAGATTTAGAACACTCTAACCGCATTGACGTGGTAAGGCCAACACAACTTGGGTTGGTCTCAAATTTAACTGCCGCATGGAGGCACACACCAAAAGTTTACACTGCCAGAAAGTGAACGTTTCTTGTTCTCACTTGACAGGTAGTTCAATACATTGGTGAAATTTGTCGTTATCTTTTGGCCCAACCTTATCGTCCTTCTGAGAGGCAGCATTCGGTGCGCCTTGCCGTCGGGAACGGACTCCGACCTCAGCTATGGAAAGAGTTCCAGTCACGCTTTGGCATCAAACAGATTGGAGAAAACTATGGTTCAACGGAGGGAAATATTGGTTTTCTCAATATTGACAACACACCAGGGGCTTGTGGATTTGTTTCGGTTATCGCACCCGCATTGATGACTACAAAGTTCATCAAAGTTGACACTGTAACTGGAGATTTACTCAGGGGTGAAAATGATTTGGCCGTCCTAGCAGGTCCTGGAGAACCCGGGCTTGCTGTTGGAAAGATTGTAAAAGGTACCAGTACTCTGTTCGTTTAGCGAATGGTACTCAATATCACGAAACAACGGTTTCCTAGAACAGCATTGTGTGTTGTGCAAAAATTATTTCTTTCAAAGCTCTCAAAGTTGGGAACGACGTTAGCTTTTTACTTGCTTCTGGAGCATTTCTTTCTCTGGCTCCATCCACGATGAAAAAATATTTTTAATTACGCAGTGTGAAATTGTTATTCGAGGGTAGACATTCCTTTACTGCCATTGGATAGCTTATCTCCACTAACAAATATACACGCTCATTCGAGCTTCAACATTTCGAGAATAACAGCGCTGTGAGTGCCATGACTGCAGCCTGAGGAAACAGCCGGCAACTCGTAGCGACGCCACTGCTGATTTCCCCGCTAAATGACGTCTGAAGAAGGAGCTCAGAAATTCCATACTGATGACTTGTCACTACCCCGACCTAAGTGCTTTTGATTGGATGAAGCAAATATCAGCTAATCAGAAGCACTATCTAGATTTGGGAACTGTCACGTCATCAGTATGGAGTTTCTGAGCTCGTTCCTCAGACGTCATTTCACAGAGAAACCAGCGGCGTAAAATGTCGACTATTTTCTCAGGCTGCAATGATCTGGGCTAGGAGTTTATTAGGACTGGAAAAGGATTCACATGGTGTCTACATAACATGTTACCGTCTAACACTCTTAACGTTTTCCCAATTCTTTCTCAATAGTTCTCCCCTTTCATGGATATGTTAACCAGGAGGAAACATCCAAAAAGATTGGCCATGACATTCTAGAGAAGGGAAACTCCTATTTTCTTAGTGGCGATCTGCTGGTCAAAGATGAGTATGGCTATGTGTACTTCTATGATCGCATTGGAGACACGTTCCGCTGGAGAGGTGAAAATGTGTCCACTGCTGAAGTGGAGGCAATAATGAGCAAGATACTTGGTCTGCGTGATGTTGTTGTGTATGGAGTTCAAGTTCCAGGCACTGAAGGAAGGGCAGGAATGGCAACTATTGTTGATTCAGAAAGTGACATTGATCTGAGCAGACTTGTCCAAGGTCTGAATGAGCAATTGCCACATTACGCTCATCCTCGTTTCTTGAGGATTGTCGAAAGTGTTGCCATTACAGGAACATTCAAGTTCCAGAAAAACAAATTGAGAGAAGAAGGATTTGATGTTAGAAAAATACAGGATAAACTACTGTATTATGACGTGAATGAAGGGAAATATCTGTCGTTACATGAAGACACGTTTAATAAAATCAATCACGGTAAAATCAGAATGTAGCATTTCATTCTCCCTCACCAAGTTCGTTCGAATGAAAAATATTTTTCTTCTTGTTCGGACGTCACAAGAGAAGCAGAGACAAAAGACAACTAGAAAAAATACAGGTTGGATAGCGCCTAGACTTGAAACCTGAAATAAATATTCCAGTACAAATGCCCTCCTCTCCTTGTATACTGTGTAAACGATCGAACAGTAGTTCGTAATTAGAAAGTGTAAGAACGAATTCTTGACAAAAGATACAAAGAAAATGGTGCATACTTGCTATGCCCTCAAACGAAGGAAAATTCATTTTACTGTTGTCATATAGTTTCTTTTTCCCGGAATCAGATTTAACGTAAGATTATCATAGGATAAACAAATACATTCAGTATGGTGCGAAAGAAAGACACTAACTTTAATAAACTATTGTTAAAATTCTCGCTGAGCTTGACCTTGTTATGATACAAACCTCCTTTCCTTTTTTAACATAAGAACACCATTAAGAAAATAAGCAGGAAGGGCAGGCTATTATTCTATTGCGGAACCCTAGGACGTCTAATATCCCTGACGCAAAACAACTAATTTCCATTTTTTTTTTGCACGACGACGACGTGAAAATGCCTCATCTCACGTTTTATGGATAATATTAGGGAACTTTATACGAGAAAAAAATAAGACGCGTCTTACATAGGACGCGTCTTAAATAAGACGCGAACTTTCTGTATAATTAAACGGCACATTTCGTCTAAAATAAGACCCGACTTAGCTAAGACGCGTCTTATTTTAAAACAGCCCTTACCACCTGTTCTTAGATAAGACGCGTCTTAGCTAAGACGAGAGAAACTTCGTATAAATGACCTTCGCGTCTTACATAAGACGCGAACGCATGGTACGCATGCGTTAATTTTTGGCGGGAAAATTTTTGCGCCTTGTTGGTTGCCGTTGCTACGGGCAACACTCACATGAAAACGAGTCAAGAACAGAAATAAGTCGCGAACCATTTATACGAGCTGTTCTTGTCGTAGATAACACAAGCTCGTATAAATGGTACAGTTCGCGTCTTATTTAAGACGCGTCCTATGCAAGAAGCGTCTTATTTTTCCTCGTATAAATGGCCCTATTGTCTTTCCCTTTCTGAACTTGGATATGATTCTCAGGTAGTCAACTGAAATAATAGCGATCAAAATTGAAAGAACGCGAATTCACTTTCGCTGCCGTTGCTGTCATCGGATGTTAATAGCCTGTGGCAGGCGTCGAAGGGAGGGGAAAGGAGGAAAAAGGGAAAGGAGATTGTGGGATTTTCTCCTCCAATCCCCATCCCCTTTTTTTGCACCTACCACGCAGGCTAGATCTTAAGGTCCCTATAAAAAGTATAGGCACTATTCAGGCTCTCGTCCCACTGACAATATATTACCATTTTTTACATAAAACAGTGATTGTCTGGACAGGCAGATGCATGGTTTACTGTCTACAAATGAGAAAACTGCAAGGCAAGATTGACAGCTGTGTCAGAGTAAGCTATTGCAGGCATATTTGAAATTGAAATGTTAGTTTGTTTGTTTGAATGAATTTTCAAGGAAAGAAGCGATCGAGTGATATTCTGAAGAAAATTGAAAAAGGTAAATACTACAATGGTGAACGTTACCTGTTCAATTTATTGTTGTCTCTCAAATAAGCTTATAGCCTGATTTTTTTCTTCTAGTTAGTAAAACTGAAAGACGCTCGTTATAATTAGAAAAAGAATATACATGTGAGGCGACGGCAAAAGCAGACTTACCCACCGCTTAACTTACACACTGCTAAGAGAATTATAATGGCATAAGTCATATGTTATGGCAGTAACGTATATGATTTTGGCGTTAGCCGGCCGCGTTAGCCTAGAATGGGGAACCTTTGGTGGGTTGCGTTATGGCAACTTAACATTTACTACTTCTGAGGAAGTGATTATATGAAATCGAACCTCGGAAGGATTCAACATGTAAAAAGACCGTTGCAGTTATCTACCACAAACTAAGAAAGCAAAAAAATTACCTGAACGTGTTAGTAGAAATATTGAACTTCCGTAGCTACAATATTTACATATCAAAGGACTAACTATCCAATAATTGGAATGAGCGGCTCAAAAACCAGATAGGGAGGCATGATCAATGCAAGAAAAACTGATAAAAAGATAAGGGGGCGGGAGTAAAAACATTTACTAGACGGTGGGGGCTGGAGTAGAAGTTTAATTTTTTTTGACATCCTGGCATATGTGTGTTGGGGTAACATGGAGTGACACCAGTACTTCTCATTGTAACGTATTTAAAGCACAAAAAAATCCAAATACATAAAAACATTAACCAGTCATATTGATAACAGCGACTGTAAAGGTGAGTCTAGTGAAGCAATTGGAATGGAATAAGCGTGGATAATATCCAAGGAATAAGTCAGAAAAAAGTTGACGAACTACTTGAAGCAGCATGTTAGGCTTTGATCACATTATACCGAATAGGTTCTGTGACGGCACGAAAAGCATACCGGATACGGATTCAGTACACACTTGAAAAACGGTGAATTTTCGGCGCCTTTTCTGCAACGGAGAAAGCTGCGCAGTGCCGCGTAGAATTCTAAAGTGGAGAGTCACATATCAGATGAGCTCATGAGGTAAAAAAATTTGGCTATTTTTGCATCCGAGAAAAGTGTGGTAGTGACTTGAAGTCACGTCACCGTACGTCAGACCAGGGCAACCCTTTAACCTTTATCCGCCTTGCGTCAGACCGCCCGCCAGCCGCCTGCCCAAACGTCCGCACCACAGGCATGCCCATATAAAATAACTCAATCAACAGGTTTGGCAACCCAAATGTAACTCGAGATTTTTTGGGCGGGAAATTGCAAGGCCAACCGCGTCTTGTGAAGCAAAGACAAAAGACAAAATGAAAAGCGGAAATTGTTTCTATATCTTTGTTGTCTAAAGTATTTTAAGCTTGATTAATTGTCATGTCCACAAATTGAATTTGGAATATAGACTCAGAGAAAGACAGAAAAAACGAGAAAGAAGGCGACAGGCTTGCGAAGCTCAACGAGAAAAAGAGCGCCAGAGAGCTAGGGTGAGAGACAAAAAACAAAGGAGACGAATTTCGCTGGAAGAACAGCATGAAAATTTTATACCGGAGGTGGGAAAATGAGAAATGCTAGCAGGCAGGGAGGCGGAAATTAGCAGCAGTTAAAAAAAAAAAGGAACAGGAACACAAACAACAAAACTTTTTGTGAGCACAACGACATTTTTCCATGAAACGTGTAACTAGTCAGTTTCAAGTTGCAACAACAACGGCCAAAAAAAAAGAGGAAAAAAAAGTGCGCTGCAGGTGCATAGTTGTTGTTGTTTTTTGCTAATTAGACCTATTTTTTTTTCCGTACTCGTTGCCGTCGCCGTTTAGTTTGAGTAAATTATAGGTTATTATAAAAGAAAAATCGAAAGCTCAGCTTTTAACCCTTGCTAAAACTATTGTTAAGCATTACTATGCCGGCCGGATAGTTCTCGTGTCGTCACGATGAAAGCTATTCGGTCAAGGTCAGTGGAGGTAAATCCGCACTTGTATGACGAGTTTTTTCTCTTCTTCGAACCTCTTCCCTTCTCCTCGTTCCCCTTCCTTTCAAAAGTCAGAAATGAGATATTTTTCGGGCTGGTGGACCCCAAAAACTCACATCCGTTTGGCTTTCCTAAAGTCAAATGTTAAATATTCAGTAGCTTCGTTTTTGATATATATGCCCAGTCGGATCTTATTGGAATTACAGGCGGCATATGCCGATATATATATTTCTGTCCTCAAGCACGTTTTTTCTCCTTCACTAGCGAGTTTTTCTTTGATGTTAAACTGCAAAACTGACGCGACAACATCATTTACATCTTGTTGAATAAGACAAGCTATATTGTGTTAGGTCTACTCCGACACATGTAAAGTGGTCTGAAGTGCCGGGTATTCTGCAGTTCTCCGTGAAAAAAAAAAACAAGGATGTCCGCGTGTGTAGAAATACCAGAATGACTGAAAATAGCAGACCGGGGAAACAATAGAGATTGTTTAAACTGTTCAAGTATAATTGGTTCTATAGTAGGCGTGACAAGTCACCGAGGACAAGTGTTTGAATATTTTGCTGAATAGTTTCCATGCATGATCGCTTTTTTTCCTAGGTGCGGCACAACTGCTTGACCAGTTTGCGTGACAGAAAGTTTGACTGAAAGCAATGGCGTTCACTTGGGCAGTAGTGGTAGCTGGTATATCATTTCTTGCTTACTTCACCAAGCTTCCTTTATTTCTGGTACCAGTTCTTTTGTTTGGGGCGTTTTTGGCTTCAGGAGGAAAGTCCTTTCCCAGGATCTTCTTTCGAACATTTTTTCGTGATTTAAGGTATATACCCTACATTGATTTGTACGGTAAAACTTTAAAAGTGTAATGAACATCCTCTTCATTTGCTTCATGGAAAGCCATAATTTGTAGACGCTGAGATCTTTTATGGCTTTCTTAGCCACGTAGAGCTTAATTAATCAGATAGTCCAAAAATGGGTAAGATTTCGCTGTAATCACATACATTTATTATGCAGCTATGCATACATGTTTTGACTCTATTCATATCAACTGTCTGTGAGAAAAATATGAAATTGTTTCATGCATAATAGATGCCTGGGGTCATATGGAAATCTTACCCAAATATTTTTACACAGACCGCAAAGAGTGTCGTAGAATACGAGGCTTTTTAAAATATACTGACCCGGCACTGAAGGAGCAAAGCGCCCGCCGGGCAAATTGACCTCTGCAGCGTGCAAATTTGAAATGGTCCAGCGCTCCAGCAAACGTGCAAACCCCCAAAAGGCAAAAAATGTGAGATTCTGAATCGTGAGACCCACGACAAAGTCGTGAAACTTGGCAAGTCTGCTCCATTATTTTAAAGAAAGGTGGCCTACAAGGAATATTAGAACCAGATGTACATTGCGTGACCGATCGCAGTTCCAATGTGTTGTTCAATTTTATCAACAAATTTTAAATTCAAATTTTACTCATTTAGCCATAAAGACAACACAATGAAATTTAAACCAGGGATAAAATTAATCCACAACAGACGCACATTGACAAAATTTGTGTACAAACGTACTGCTACAAGAGCCAAATTCTTCGCGTGGTAGTTGTTTCCAGTACTCCTCCAGCAGCTTTCCGTTCAAGATGGCCGCGTTGCACTTGCAGGATTCCTTTACTTCTTACCCAAGTTAGTGCTTTTCTATTGCCCCCTTTAGTTGAAATTTCATAGTTATCGGCTTTCCTTTGATTTATTTTCTTCAATCAAAATCAGTCAAATTGAAACTCAAAAGACCGTCAACGCCTGAAATATTGTGGGAACGTTGAATGTGTTTAAGCGTTCCCGTCGCTAACGAACAAACCAAACAAAATCCATTCATAAAATGAACAATCCAAAGTCATAAGCCTCGATTCCATAATCGAATTTGATTTTACTGTTTTTGAAAAAATTACACTTTCCACAAGTTGACCTCGCTTTTTTCTGAGAGTCGGGCTGGCGAGTTCTTTCAAACCCAAACAAACTGTTGCAACAAAATGACACCTTTTACGGTCAAAAATATTTGAGGTATTCACAGGTCTCATTCTAGCTGTTATTTTGATTAAAACTGAAAAAGGTTGAAAAGGGAAGCAAATACGATTGAACAGCAGACAGAATAAAGAACAGGTAGATTTTGTTCATAAACCAAATCAACATTTGATTATTGAATCACAAACCGTTGGTGAGAATCAACAAACGAAAATTTTTCCATTAATGATTGGTTTATCCTTCTGGTTTGACTGCTTGACTCAAAACAGAGATCAGGACAGGCAAGCAGCAAAACTCAAACCAATTGCTTTGATTTAGTTTTCTTACGCTTCGTGGGCTTTTTCCTTGCAACAAAATGACATTTTAGAAATATTTAGGTATTGGTCTCATGAAAACTAGAGTCGTATGCAGCAGAAGAAAATGGAAATGTTCTGATTCTGGTTTTTTGATCATCTCATAAGCAGAGTCCGAAGAAAATGGAAATGTTCTGATTCTTTTGACTCTCACTCTGTTATGCTCATGACTCTGCTTACGACCCTGATTTTTGATTTTCACAAGGTCATAAGTGCTCTTACAGCTCTGCACTTACAACCCCGACTTTGACTTGGTTACTAGTGAAAACCAACCGTAAAACAATGCTGAAAAGAATATAGTTATACTTTGAAATTTAAGCACCCTCATAAAAGCAATAATTTGCAGATGAATTTTTCAGTAGCTTGCATGACCATTTTGAGCAACTTGTTTGGTCATGTGACTTTCTATAATTTTAGTAAAGCAAAAATGATGGTTTGCAGTTCAAATGGTGTTAAACTACCAGGATAGAATGCTGTAGAAATATCTCTGCTTCCACCCATTATCATGAATGATAGTGACCAATTGATTTCCTTGCCAGACAAGTTATTTTGTGAGCGTTCATGATCATTTTAACTGCAAGCTGTTGAAAGTATTGTTATCACCTTTCTAAAACTATAGAAAATCACATCATCAAACAGGAAGCCCGGAATGGTCATGCCAGCTATTTGAAAATTCAAATGCAAACAATAGTTTTTTAGGCTGCTATAACAGTTTAATGATTCTGGTAGTAAACATCCTCATCAAACTATTGTTAGTTTCCTTTCCGGCCACTTTTAGGATTGTCACACAATGCTCCTCCCCACGACGATGCTGAAAACGGCTGTGAAAGAGACTTAATTATCTCATGATGTAAGAAATCAATTATTATTTTGATAGGTTTATCTTCTTAGCTGCAAGCCTTACCATAAAAATTAAGAAGCTCTTAAAGAATCAGAATACAATAGCAGAAGTTTTTGGACAAGTTGTGGCCAGACATCCTCAAAAGGCAGCTTTCATCTTTGAAGAGAAAACATGGACATTTCAAGACGTCGAAGATTATTCCAACAGAGTTGCAAATTACTTCAAATCAGAAGGCTACAAAAAAGGAGACAAAGTGGCTCTATTTCTGGAATCATGCCCTGAATTTGTGTGTTTGTGGCTTGGGTTATCTAAACTTGGAGTAATAACTGCCCTTATCAACACCAACCTTAGACATGATTCACTGTGCCATTGTGTATCTACTGCAGATGCCAGGGCAATATTGTATGGATCTGATCTAGCAGGTAATAATTTGCTGAAATAAATGCTCATAGCAGTGCTTATCCTTGGTTTAATTTTTGTTTTCTTAAGTTCAGACCAAGGATAAAGTGAAACCACCCTCTTAAACTTGTGCTTGTATCAGCAGTTATCATAGGAGATGATTGAGGCCATTCTCAGGGAATTTTGAGGGCATGATATAGGATTTGTTTGGAAGGGTTTATACCACACCCCCCTTGGGGATGTCACGTTAACAATAGCTACATGTACACAGTCTGAGTTAAGGTAGATATGTATTGCCTAGCTGAGCCAAACACAGGCCTTGTTTCATGAACTTAGCGGGTTGCTATGGGGAAATTGCTCCTTCCCATTCATGGGAAAATTGTGTGAACCTGTGATAATATTGAGTTATTGGTTTCATAAACTGTGTTTGTCAGGTCATCCCACTGGTCAAAAAATGCTGAGTTCTTTGGTTCAAATTTTGTTGAAGGCCAGAAGTTCAGGCTTCTTTTTTCAGTTCCTTAAATTGTGTCAATCATTAAGAATATGGGTAACAAAGGTGGCAAATTAAAATAACAATTAGAGAACTCTGACCTACCATCAGTGTAGTCCAGGGTCAAATCCCACTGCCAACTTCATCTTCATATGGGCATGGTATAATTCATTACAATAATGAATCAGTCTTATATTGTCCAGTTGCAGTGAAGGACATTCGCGATCGGATGCCTGAAAAAATGCAGTTCTACTGCTTAGGAGCTGTTTCTTCCTTGGATGACTCACCAGTCAGCTTGATCAAAGAACTAGAAACATTTCAACCAAAACCACCTGATGTTAATCCCCAAAACTCAACTACAAGTAAAGGTAAGTGTTTTTTGTAACAAGCAAAATACCTGATCCTTATATAAGATCAGCCAAATGAAAATAAGAGGGGTTCATTTTTCCAAACCCCCTTTTTGAGGGGCTTTTTATTTTTGAAAAGGGGCTTATATTTGGACCCTCCCCTTATCTACAGAGGGAAATTTGCATCTCAAAATCGATTGGGCAAGCCTTAAAGTTTATGTAAAAAATGCTTTTGCTTTGTTTTACATTGTATTGCAAATTTTCCATTGTTTTTCGGGGCTTATATTCGGAGGGGCAATTTAACGAGGGAGAAAAAAACTGGTTTTTATTCATGTTTGTACAGTGTCTAATAATCTCACTTTTGCCCTGCTAAGGTTTTTTGTTATTAATTACAAGTAAGTCACTAAGAAACATGGAAGTCGATACCATACATGACAAAAATGATGCCATCTATAACCAAACACCGAGTGGACTTCAATTGCTTCCTTTCACTTAAAAACATGTCAGAAGAAGGCTTAGAACGGGATCACATTATGGTGAATACCACAATATATTGTGAAATACCATTACAGCTGGATAACCAAAAGTTTATTTAATGAGCCAATGACAACTATCTATCGTTCACACCATTGAAAAAAAAAAACATTCAGCTGAACTTAAATAAAATGTCATCAATGAAAACAACAATTTATTCTTGTTTTAAAAGACTGTTAACAGTAAATTAATTGATAGCTTGCTTGACAGAGCAGCTGTTAGTTTTTGATAACTCACCAGTCTTAGAGCCCCCCACCCACGCGGAAATTGCATTGTTTTGGGCCACCTCTTTCCCCTCGGAATTTCCATATGCCCTTAGTGGGCGGTATGTAAAATTTCTGGAACTACACATAATACATAACAATTGTAAAGGACTGGTAGGACTCATTCCACATAGTCAGACCTTTATTATGTGGCCACGATTGGGGAATCACCAATGTACATAAACATTAAAAAACACGTGCTAAGTCTTAAATATCCTGTCATGTTTGATTTTATTTTACTGCTACACAGATTTTTCAGTTTACCTGTATTTTGTGTGTTTTTATGCAGTTGATTTTGTGAAATAAATATGCCTTTTTATTTTTATTATTTTGTGACAAAAATTGATACTTGAAATGTTTTATTTCCTATTAGATGCTTTAATGTATATCTACACTTCAGGAACAACTGGATATCCAAAGCCTGTTGTTATAACTCAACAAAAGTAAGCAATATACACTACATAATAATAACGATATGACCCCCTCTGGCTCCTCCACCACCCTTGCTGCTGAAAAAACAATGTAGGAAATATAATAGTAATGATTAAGGAAACCACTAGTTAAGATCTGGAACTTTTGGCATGGGTCTTTTAAAAACTGTAAAAAATTCTTCAAAGCTGCAAATTTCTTTTCTAAAGATGTCCATCTTCTTGGTCAATGTGTTGTTGACAGGAGAGACTTGATAACCTGCGATCAGGCGATTAAAAAAAAAAAAATCACCTGATCGCAGGTTAGAGACTTGAGGGACATCAAATTTTTAATGCAGAAATCAGGGAGTTAAATAGAGTGTCAGTAAAACTTGAATTTAATACACATTAGGAATATGGTTGATCGTCCACATGAAACCACCTTATGTAAGTGAAGCCCTTATATGTTACATTAACTAGAACCCCCAGTAAATGACCACTTCTCATAAGTGACTGCAACCACTTTTAAGCTTGATGGTTTATCATTTCCCATGATATTACAACCTCTTGACGCAACCACTTCCCCACTTTGTTCACATCACGTACTTCACTGCTCAGAGTATTTGAAGAACTTTCAGTGACAAAGTGGAACAAAACTTGTAGGAACTTTGAATTGATTAAAAATTGCATGTAGTAAATGATCTTTCAAAAAGTACACCTTTCTGGACCTCTCTTGGAATAGGTAGGAGACTCCCTGTTTGTTGATTTTTTTAATCAACCACCTCCTATTATCAACTCACTAAATCTAGCCTTCGCATTTTGGGTGGTTATTCACAGGGGTTTGGACTATACAGTGTAGTCAAGTTTTTCCTTATACTTTACGGTCTCAACCTTCCCAGCATCTGTGACAAAATGTGGCTAATCTCGGTAAAACCACACAACCTCAATGAACATATAGTAGCCAAATGGAACCAATTTGTTTCAGTTATTTTTGTCTAGCCTGAGTACAGGTATTCATTTACTTATACTCAGTTCTGCAGTAAACCTCACTCTTTCTAAGCACAATATATACGTGGGTGTCTTTACAGTGTCAACACAAAGAATCCTTTGTAAACATTTGTATGTAAATTTTTATTATTAAATAGTTTTTTCTCAACTAGAATGGGATAATTATGTTCTGGTTCAATTTTCTCCGTTTAAATTTTATTTTCCTTCATTTTTGGGTATGTCAATGTGGGATAATGAGTTTGAAATAAAACAATGTAGAACTTTAACCTCAGCCTGAGAAAACAGCCGAAATTTTGTGCCGCTTCCATTGGTTTCCCTGTGGAATTATATTTAAGGAAACAACCACAGAAATTCCTTACTGTTGATGCATCACTACCCATATCTGGGTAGTGCCTCTGATTGATTGAATGACACTTTCACCACTGTGCATGTTATGTCATCAGTATGGAATTTCTGCACTCGCTCCTCAGGCATCATTTCACGGGTTAGCGATATACCAGGGCTTAAATTGAACAACATTTGATACTTCCAGTTACTGTAAATCAACTAGCAAATTTACCACCATGAAATACTTAAATTTTGATGTTTGTTTTTAAAGTTTCATCGCAGTGGGCTTCATCGGTATTTTTTTCCGTGTGACACCAGAAGACATCATATACTGTACATTGCCGCTATACCACACTGCTGGTGGAGGTCTTGGAGTGGGATCCTGTCTTGTCCAGGGAAACACATTAGTGCTCAGACGCAAGTTTTCTGCCAGCAAGTTCTGGGATGATTGCGTACAAAACAAGGCAACAGTATGTGAAGCAGTTTGTGATTTTCCTTCTTTTGATGATTAACTGTCATCACAAATGGATCCCAATGATATATTTTTCTTTCAATGTTCCATCTTCATTTTCAAGGGTGTGAGTTGTTCCGGCTGCTAAATTGGAATGATTGTTATTTATTTTAAAATCTAATTAACTTTGTTTTTCCAGTCTTTCTCAACTTTGTGAGAGTAGCCTAGAAGAGTTTTGCTGTTATCAAATTACGATCTTTTCTCTTAGCTATGTTCACACAAGCAAATTTTCCTTTAACTTTAGTCAGTTGAAACTTGTTTGCATAAATTAAGGAACACTTGAGAAGGAAATTGATGAAATATTAATTTTATCTCCTGCTCATACATCAAAGGAAAAATAGGCTTGACTTCGTAATGCTTCTGTATGTAGCCAACGTGCATGGTGTTTTCTTACAATAAATTGCTGCTTGTAGCAGAGTGACACATGGCTTTGAACAGCCAATTTGAAAAATGGTTGAAGGTTTTTATTAGAAGCTGGTCAGTGGTAATTTGGCCAAATAAAAAAAATTGCAATTTTTGCTACTTTATGAGCTATTCACACATCTTTTGCTTTCAGGTTATTCAATATATTGGTGAGGTATGTCGCTATCTTTTGGCTCAGCCTTATTGTCCTTCAGAGAGGCAGAATACAGTGCGTGTTGCATTTGGCAATGGACTGCGGCCTCAGATATGGAAGGAATTTCAGTCACGCTTTAGTATTGAGCACATTGGGGAATTTTTTGGTGCCACGGAAGGAAATGTTGGTTTGTTCAATACTGACAACACACCAGGGTCTTGTGGTTTTGTGTCAGTGATTGTGCCGGGATTGGTTCCTTTAAGTCTGCTCAAAGTGGATCCCTCATCTGGTGAATTACTTAGAGGTGAAAATGGCCTGGCCATCCCAGCGGGTCCTGGAGAACCTGGCCTGGCTGCTGGAAAGATTTCAAAAGGTAGCTTTTCAAGTTCATGAACCTCACTTCGATGGGTTTACGGTTACTTTAACACTGCCTTTCCTTAAATATGAATAATTCTTGCATTTATTCAGTTCATTTTTGGACAGTCATCTCCTCATAGCCATGAACTCTTATTATAATTCATTTGCTATGGTTCTGTGCTCATGCCAAAACAACTAAGCTGCTGCACTGCATGGCGTCAATCATGGATTAACTTGCAATTATATACAATCATTGACATCTAGGTGACTTAAATCAATGATGGCAATATTTAACAATTATTCTTCGAGCCCGACTGGGCTCTGAGTCAACAGCTTATGAGGCCGAAGGCCAGATAGGCTATTGACTCAGAGGCCACAAAGGCTGAGGAATAATTGTTTTAGTAAAATCCAACTAGTTGGTCAAAAGTATCAAGACAAAACAACTTTAGCTAGCAAAACACGATTCAGCCACCATTGTCTTGGTTGTCAAAGCCAGCACTTTTCGCTACTAGTGGGTTATAACATATGGCCTAGTAGTAGCTCAACCAATCAGAACGCAGCATTGGTAATAGACCACTAGTTGGATTTTACTAAATAGATTTAGCCTAGGCTAAAGGCTAAGCTCCCATTAATAAATTTATAATTTTACTTCAAACAATAAACTTGTATAACTATTGCAAAGAAATCCACTAGGAGTTGAGCCTGCAATCAGTTGAAAACGAGTAACTCATCAGCGAATATGTCAATAAAACATGCAACCTCAATGGGTCAACACCTGAGCCCCCAATACAGTCATGTGATACTGGTCAACAGATAACCTGTTTTCACAGCTGTCAATTGACCACAACATGGATGTGCAATATCAGGTTGCAGGCTCCCACACTAGATAGAAAGTGTGAGATTTCACATTGGTTACCCTGTGGTGCGGACGAACAGATGTACCAACAGTCGTATGGCCATGTGACAACCAAATGTTCTTAGCTATGGTGCAAACTAGTTATGAAGAATTAGCCCGTGGATTAATGCCAATCAGAAATGAAATGATAATTTTGAAATAATTTTTGAAATATTAATTTCATATACTTATGATAGTTAACAGCATTTACATGTAACAGTGACAATATATGACCAAAATCACTAAACAAATAAACCCCATCTAGGCCCCTGACAAAATTCCCATGATTAAACTCCAGTGGGGTTGAAGGTGGAAAACTGATGTAGTTTGGGCTGTTGAAAAATTCATTATAGCTGAGAAGAAATTTGCAAAAATGTGAATGAAATATGTAACTTGATTCTTATCTCTGTTGTTTCAGACACCCCATTAAGAGAATATGCAAACACAAATGAAATGTCAAAGAAAGTCTTCTGTGATATTTTTCATAAAGGTGATGCATATTTTCTCTTTGGTGACCTTCTTGTCAAAGACGAATATGGTTATGTTTACTTCCACGACCGCACTGGCGATACATTCCGCTGGAGAGGTGAGAATGTGTCCGCTACTGAAGTGGAGACAACAATGAGCAAGATACTTGGTCTGCGCGATGTTGTTGTGTATGGAGTTCGAGTTCCAGGTACTGAAGGAAGGGCAGGAATGGCAACTATTGTTGATTCAGAAAGTGACATTGATCTGAGCAGACTTATCCAAGGTTTGAATGATCAATTGCCACATTATGCTCATCCTCGTTTCTTGAGGATTGTTGACAGTGTTAGTGTTACAGGAACATTTAAGTTGCAGAAAAACAAATTGAAGGAAGAAGGATTTGTTGTTGGGAAAGTACAGGATAAACTGTTGTATTATGATTTGAAAGAAGGGCAGTATCGAGTGTTAGATGAAGAAAAGTATGCCCAAATCAACCAAGGAAAAATCAGAATATAGGGATTTTCTTTATTAACCTGAACGATCTTATGTTCATTTAGTGAAGTAGCTGACACTTAAGGCAAAACAGCTTGTTTCCTTGTTAAATGATTGGGTGTTTGTCACTGCCTTGTCACCATCATCATTGTTTTATTTCCTAAACCATGTTATATTATAATATTATAGAAGACAGCTTGAAAGCTGATGTGGACAATTTCCAGCAAACACACACACACACACAGATGGAAGATTGAGAAGCTGATGTTTCCAGCACTAACCCTTCATCGCAACAAATCAATTCTGGCATCAGCTTCTCAACTTCCCTTCAGTGGCCAATCTACTTTAGGTATCACCGCAGTTAATAGAAGAAAAGTTTTGTATTTCACTAACCACCACAGTTTTGAGACTTAAGCCTATGTTTTCAAGTTTGACCACACTAGGGGATGTCCCATTTTTTATCTGTACCCCCCTTCCAAGAAAGCTGGTATTAAACCCCTTAAATTTGTGTTGGTAGCCTTTAAAAAATGAAATCAGAAGGGTTTATTTTTTGTCGGCACCTTCGAATTAACTTTCGTCCAAATTTTGTTGGTTTCCTTGAAGGAAAAACCTTAACCGCTAAAAATCTACCATCGTTAGGAGGGGTGTGCAAATGGAACATTCCATCTGTTAGTCTCCTACTCTTTACAAGGAGCAGTGTACTGGACTATTTTAAGTCCCACACTGTTTCTCACAGGGATTAAAACAGCCAGAGAGCCCTGAGTTAGGGCCTGCAATTTTTTTGTCCTTATCCGAGCAGTCTAGCGTGTCTAACCATTAATTTGAAGATGTCAGAACAAAGAGAGTGCATTCACATTGTCTATAAAAAACTACAAGACAAAACACCCACTAAAATTAAATCTGATGAGGAAAAGAAGATGTTTATACAATGAAGACAGAGTGCTTGGCAGTTATTAATTTCAAGTGTAATTCTTTTATATGTCAATAAAATACGTTGCAGATATTATATAAAATTTTCACATGCTAATCCCAAAACTTTTTCTATTGTCTTAACCTGTATTAAACGGTCACACGCTGTTCATACAGTTTCAAATAATGTAACACACGAGGTACAACAATTACTGATTTCGTTGTTTATTTTCGCAAACCATTAAAACGCCGGAAATGAATGTTTCTATTTAAGGTCAAACGTTTGTTTTGATCGGCACTGGAGATCTAATTCTTTGAGCTGTATTTCTTGCAACCTGTATTAGGTGGTCACCTTGTATTAAGCGGTCACTTAGCCATTCTCCGAGGGTGACCGCTTAATACAGGTTCGACTGTGTTATTCAGTTTTCATATGCTAATGAAATTTTCATGGTTTTGACTACATACTACTTATTAACTCAGAGTGTGAGGTCATTACAGAGAAATCTCAGACTGAGGCCTTGATGTATTGACTTGGCAATAGCAAGATCAATACAGCAGGGCTGAAGTCTGAGATTTCCCTTTAATGGCCAAACAGACAAGGTTAATAAGTTATTTATTATATGGTCTTTTCATTATTGACCTGAGCCTGCGATCAATTAAAACCAACAACTGGTCAGCGGATAACTTTAAAAAAACATCTCACCTCAAGAAGTCGTACACTTGACCTTGTGGTACAGTCAGGTGACCCTGGTCAGCAGATATACCCTTTTTTACAGCTGTCATTGACCATAGCATGGATGTCCACAAGGACACCTAGGACACCTAGCCAGTAATGCCCGATTATTTAAGACAAAATAATGCCTGGTAATTACAAGGAAACAGTCAATCAGAGTACGTGTACTATTGTAGCCATATAATAAAATAGTTAAAGTTTTGTTTGTTTGTGTATTTGTGTGTGTATGATAAATATCAGAAATACCATTATTGGTGTCTTGGCTTGAGTCTTGCATTTTAGCTGTTCAAGCAGTCAATGCCTTTTAACTTCTTCTCTGAACTTCTTTGGAAATTATGAACTATAGTTATTTCAGGCCTTTTCTAAATGTAATAATGCCACAAACATTTATTCAATGTCTGTCTGCAGCTCCGGAAAATGACCATAATCTGCCATAAGATTCATGCGAAAATGGTGCTGGGGTGGGGGTGGGTGTGGGGGTGGAGTGTTACTGCTGTGGCCAAGCCCAGGCTCTTATACCAAGGCATGATGCAATTAACCATTTGCACGATGACGTCATCTTACTAATACCTCTTCAGTGTTTGAATTTTAATAGCTTTTTGATATTAAAATGACGCCATTGTGAAAATAGCCCATTGCTTTTTGCATTTGTCCTGAACATACCTTCCATTCTATTTCAAAATTTTTAAATTTAGCCAGATATTGCAAATAAAGCTTTCAAAAACCCAAATTATAGTTTCAATTCACCTGAACTTTGCCCCCAGCAGTCGAACATTTTGACTCGATAATTTTGTTGAGCTAATTTAAGTTATGAGATGGTCGTCAAAAACGAAAAATACGTAAATTTTCTGAATAATTTTGCATAATTTATGTCACTATTGCGCAATGATCTAAGTTATGCACATAAATTATATTTTAGCCAATCGGAACGCTCAAATCCAACCTTTTTGCCATATTTGGTAGTACATTGTTTTATTTTTGCCAAATTTGGACATTATTGCGCCCTTTTTGCTTGAATCGAGAAGAGATGAGCTGAGATTGATGCGAGGTCATGCTTGGTAAGTGAAAGGAAGGCGCCATATTGAAAGGAAGAAATATTGGAAATGGAAGGAGGGGCAAGTAAACCTCCAAGTGAGGCTATCATAGTTCTATCCAGCGACGACGATGAAGATGAAGACGTCCAAGAGCTTTTTAAACAGTTTATCGTAAAAGCAGAGCGACATATTCCACACTATGTCGTAGTTTTTCTGAAAGTGAAATTCGCTGAAGCTCCCTCGGATTTCGTGTCGTCCACGAAGTTCAAAAGTTCTCTCAAATGGAGAACAAAACAGCTTGACGAGTCCAACGCGTTTATCTTTACTGGAGATGTTTGCAAGCTTCTTGGTGCAGATTTGAAGCAGGATGAGCTTAAATCGAAAACGGAAGGAGTGAAGAAAGCAGAGCAAGAAGCCATCGATGGAGTTTTTAGTTCCGCACGAAACAAGATCACGAACCGCGTGGAGGAAAATGTAAACAAAGACGCAGTGCGTCTGACGACGGATTGCAGCGATGGAAAGGAATCTGGTAGCGTTGTCCGAAAAAGGGCTTCTGTAAAGACGGCCACAGAGGCAAGTACATCCTCAGCTGAATTCCCTACAAGTGTGCACGTGGAAGTTACGAAGGAAGGAAAAAGTAAAAGAAAAACCAATGGAACCACGGATCCTTCGCGTTCGAAACTTTCACTCACTCCTCGAAAGCGACAGGTACGCATAAATCGACTTAAGGAGAAACTAAAACACGTGAGTGATAAAATAAAGATTCTCAATCAAGCAGAGTTGAGCTTGGAGGAGATGAACATGAGTGATAGCACCTACATCCAAGAGTGCCGGCTGAAAGAGCGCTTTAACAAAATCTGGGCTAAATTATGCAAAATACGGGGAAGACCAACAGACACAGGACGGGTAATCGAAAAGGATGTCAAATGCCCCTCCACAGGCTTCCCAGAAATTGACAGGGCTGTAAACAAGTTCCTAAAGAAAAAAAGAGGGCGCTTTCCAGACAAATTTGACATTTCTAGAGTCATTCAAGATGCAAAGAGGGAGCATGGCTTGAAAATATCATCTCAAGCCCTTAGGGAGATCAGTGATGAGGTTTTTGTTGCCATTGGAAACAAGTTGCAAGAGAGACGCAAACTAGATTTTTCCAACAATTTTGGTTGTCATCTTACGGATGACTACTCTGCCAATAATGACCCTGCTATAAATGATCTTGCCCTTCAAAGGAAATTGGAAGAGAACAAGAAGATAAGCAAAAGGGCTCTGGAAGATGTTTTTAATAAGTATGCTCATTATGGACGCATGAAAAATGAAGGCAGTGATGCTTCTAGTAGCAGTGATTCAGAGAGAGAAAAATCACAAAACAGCAAAATGAAAAGGAAATTTTCTCGTGTTTCTGTCCAAGAATCATCAGATTCTAGTGAAAATGAACGTGATGATTTTGGATTGGATTTTGAGGACCCAAATGAGGATAAAACTTATCGCAGTAAGTCAGTTTTAGGAAAGAGAGACAAGGGACACTCAATTCGGAAATTATCATACACTAGTGAGAATGACCTTGATGATTTTGCTTTTAAAAGGCCACATCACAATAGTGAAAGAACTAACCACACAGAAAGTAAAAGCAGACAAACTGCTGAAAACCATCATTTACCAGCAACAAAACGAATTGAACTTACCAGGGACTGTGCTGTTGTAGAAATACCATCCTCTGTGTTGTCCGAATCCATCAGTATTGAGCAAGTAGAGGCTGTGGATGTACGTCAAAAATGCAGTAATGATAACTATGAAACCACAGCAGAGTCAAATGTATTGGACAACTCGGAAATCTCCTCTGTGCCAGATACTCCTCAATCTGATGATGTTATATTGAAAGATCAACAAATTAATGATTGCGTCAAGAGTCGAGATTCAAATTTAGACGATGAAGTTTTGACCGCAAGATCTGTTGACTTTTCTGCATCCAGCAATGACCAAGCCAGTCCTGGAATGTCTCGTAGTGGAACTGATGTTTTGGATGATACAGTGGCTAGCTCCTCTGATGTTTCAAGCGATGTTAGCAACAAAATAAGCACTAAAACATCTGGCAAACCAACTGTAGAAAAACGAAAAGACTTGAGAGAAGCACTTTCACCAGAAAATAGTGTTTCTAACAGTCAATCTGATAACCCAAATGTTGTCCCATCTGTATCTCTAAAAGATCGTAAGCCATCAATACTCTCTCTCAGCATCAAGAAGAGAAAAGCTGAAGGTGGATCACTGGAATATGAATCTCCTCTTAAAGTCTTCCGTAATGCAACCTTGGAGATTGTGGGAAAAAAGGATAATATCCTAAATGCTAAGGGAGACTCTTCTGAGCAGAAAGCAAATTGTGGCAAAATTGCTTCATCCTCTAAGAGTGAAGATGATGAACTATACATAACGGGCACTAATGTCTCTCCAAGCCAAGGCACAGTCAATGGCCATTCTCATGTGCAAAATAATGAACCAAGAAAGTCAGCATTGTCTTTGAAAAAAAATGGAAGAAAAACCCCAAAGAAAGTGGAAATCGCCGATGAAATAATTGTGCTTTCAGATGATGAGTGATATAACAATGTGACATTTGTCTTTCATGCTTTTTGCAGTTTTTAAATAGAAATCATAATGTTGGACACCCTAGTTTTTTACAGGATCAGAGCACCAGGCTCCCTAGTATTTTATTTAGAAGGCAGGCTTATTTATGGCTCAAGCAGGAAGCGGGTCCAATAGCCTGGTTTTTTCTAGCAGCAGAGGTGGAATTATTATCAGAAGCACAGAGGATTATGATAGTGAAATCCATGTCCTGATTCCGCTTATGACTTTGTTACTTATGTATGATCTGGTAGAGGCACAAGCAGACAGACAATCTAAACCAACCACAGAGCATGTTAACAGGCATTGTGATTGGTTTATCTTCGGCTTCTGTTTCCAACTCTGACATATCGGATTTTTACTTAATCATAATTCTGATCTCATTTGGGCTTAGGACATCTGATTTTTCATATTCACTAGGCTGTAAGCACTCTTAGGATGTCACTTATGATCGGACCTTATTTCCTTTGCTGGTGAAAACCAGCCTGATTTACCTTATTTATAATTCCTATCATATTTCTACTACCATCAGGTCTCCCAGGGGATGGACAGCTGTTGAAAGCTGCCAATACCATAAATCATGTGCAAGTTTATTTGTTTCCAAAAACATCTCATTGGAGCGAAATCTCGCATTCATATTTTAGTTTGGGGAAATCCCAGGTCATTGGTGTATTCAAAACTGACACACTAAGCATCTGAACTCTTTTTTTGTGGTTATCAATATTTAGCTTAAAAAAGCTTGAAATGCAAATGGTTGTATTGGCTGTGTTCATTAGTTTTTTAACCCCCTGAGATCATCTGTTTTTGGCCTTTTTATTCTCTTGCATGTGCAAATATGACAGGTGTCATTAATATGGTCAGTAGTTCAACATTGAATTTTGAAAATTGAATTCCATTAGAGAAATCTTGCTGTATTTTTCCTCTAGGCTACCCCCAGGAGGGGTATACTAAGTCAAGGGCGTAATTTGCTTATTATTGATTCTCTAATGGAATTTGCTTATTAATGACAAGCATATTAGACCTTTTTTCAGGAAAACCTTCACTTGAGTATTTATTCATGATAATTAAAGACCCTACCTCCCAAAGCACACACCCTTAAAAATTTCATGATTATTTTGTGCCCAAGAATTTAAATATTTATTGCACTTCACAGTTCAAGCCGTACGGACAAGTGGTTGACAAGATTTTTGTTTACTGTCGTGTTTACTCCACAACTTGACAGCGATAATAATACCAAAAAAATATGAAAAAAATTTACCCCCAGAGCACAAATGCTGACAATCAGTGACTTTATCTTGATTTGCAAAATCTTGTCTAAGGGCATGAATATCTTAGATGGTGACAAATTAGCTTTGGCTGACAGGAAAGAATATTTATATCTGAAAAGAACTGTTGATCATGACAACATCTTGATGAATGAGTTAGAAGCTTGCTCAAAATCATGTAATGCTCACTTTGTAGTTCCTTTGTATGTACAGCCAATATTCAGTTACCGGGGAAGTGACATAGAGTTGTATGAAGGAGATGCAGTGACTTTTAGTATTGGCAGTGTGTTGCTGAGGGTTCAGTGTACAAGCTTTACCAAACTTGGCCTTAGGCCAATTCACAGGTTGAATTGTGGAAAAGGCAGGCAGTTTATTGTTTGTGGCATTTTGTCAAATAAAATAATATTTGTGGTTGTTAAGAAATTGTCTTGCCATGAATCTGCTGTTTCTGCTCAAGACCCATTTATCTATAACTTTTTGCATAACATACTTTCATGACCTCTTTTGTTCTGGCCTAACCTAAAGTCCAGTCAATATTATTATGACTACTGACCTATTAACATACATTATTTGGAGTCCTCTGTTGTTGTAGCCTGGGAATACAGCTGCCTTTTACCCTTCATCCACGCAGTCAAAAGTTAAAATCACCCTAAGAAAACTCCATCATTCGTTCTGGTAGTGAAAGAGTTGATTTTGAAGCAGAAATGATGGGTTTTCCTTGGTGTAAGAACCTGTGAACCTTTTATTTGTTTCCTAGGTTCTATTGTGTTAACTCCTTTGTATTATTTGTTTTAAGTAACACTTGAGTTTTACAGGAACAGTGGCTGATCCAGGGGAGGGGCTGGGGGGCCCAGGCTCCCATAGTTTTAAACCAAACTGAGGCCCAAAGGCGTACCTTTTTGGGGCTTCGGGTATATCAAAGGGTAGGGATTTTTCTCGTTGAAGCATATAAAAGGGTAGGGAAATCTGTCATTTGGATCTGTGAAAGGGCCCAAACAGATGAATTTTATGGCTTTATAAAGTCGAGAAAACGTTCTATTTTTGTGATTGATTCCTATTTAAACGACAATGCATTTACAGCAGTTAAAAGGGATGCAAAGTTCTAAACAAGGTATGTGAAAGGGATACCATTTGTCAATGGAACGTATACGAAAGGGGTACCTTTTTCGTTTAAAAGGGTAAGGGGTTGGACCTCGAGGCGGAGCCTCCCCGTATAAAAATTTGTTGAGTAATCCCCCCCCCCCCCCCCGGATAGTTGAAGTAAAATGTCCGAAAAACGGCAGGTACAGAGAACCTGAGATCAGGCGTAATTTTTTTTTTTTTGGCTTCTGTAGAACCGGAAGTGAATATGACAAGTGTGCGCATGCGTACAGGGACTTAATTTTGGCGCGATGCATTATTTACAAACCACGTTTGGAAATAATGAAAAGACAGTTTCGGTTGAGGGACGAAGAAAAGCTAAACTAATACAATAATGAGCTTTGTATGACATCTGCTGTTCATTATTTTAAAAGCTGATGTGTATTTTTGGCCACTAGAGTCAAAAAATTTTGATGCCAAGTAGTACTTTTTCTCTCCGCCAAGGACTAAAACCGCGGGCTAAACTAAGGATAAACCGTTCTTTCCAAGATGATAAATACCAGCGTAGTTGTGGAGGATAATCAAGTTGTCAGGCTTATTCTCGAGTTTTTGGACTCTAGAAAACTTCACAACACCATGAGAACGCTTGAGAAAGAAGCAGGAATTGTTAACTGTGGTTTTTCGGATGATATTCTGTTTTTACGAGACCTTGTTCTTGACGGCGAGTGGGAAGCTGTCTTGATCTTTGCTCAGCCATTTGAAGGCATAGATGGTTTCGATTCCAAACAATTCCGTTACCTTGTTTTGAAGCAGAAGTTCATGGAAGTGCTTTACTTCAAGTCAGGTTTCGGTGGAAATTCGACCAGCTACTCAATTGAGGATCTTATCAAGTGTCTTAATCAACTGGAGGAAGATTGCCCGTCCAAAACTGAATATAGCAAGTTGTGTTGGCTGTTAACTGTTCCAAATTTATCTGAACAGTCGGAGTATCACGACTGGAACCCCGCCACCGCCCGGCTAAACTGCTTTGAGCAGCTGCTCGATATACTCAAGAAGGTTATTCCCCTAGAAAAGAAAAGTTTAAATGGAAAATTGCCAAGGACATTGACCCCTATAAAAGAGCGGTTATTGCACTTGTTAATTAAAGGATTGTGTTTTGAAAGTTGCGTTGACTACTGTCAATTGCGGGCAATCAATGGTAGTATTTCACAAGACCTTCATGTCTGTGTAGGAGACAACATTTTAAATGGACCATCACAGGAAAGCTCCGGCAATTTTTTGTCATGGCTACAAAATCTTGCTCAAGAAGCTTTTATTACTCCATTTGAACCAGTGAGCTTAGAAGTTGATTTGAAGAAAGTAAAACAAGCTCCAAATATTGTATTTCACAAGTCTCCCAAACGAGATGATGCAGAGATTCTTTCAAGGAGCTTATCTCTTTCTGGAAGGCCAGCTACTGCAGATATTGCTTCACATCTGTCTGCGTTAGCAGTGGAAAAACATAGGACTGCAATATCTGATAACCGGCCACATTCCACACAGCCTCCCAAGGGAGTTTCACGTTCATATAATGAATTTCACTACAAAAGTACAATTCCTGATAAAAGACCACTTGCTAATGCTGGTGAGAATGGATTCTCTCATGACAAACCTGCTACACAAGAGCAAAATGAGCAAGGAAAGTCAACACTTGATTCTGCACCTAACGTTGCTTCCGATAATATTGTTCATCAAAATCATCAGCTAATTACTGGTGCAGAAAATGTTGTAGAGCCAAGCAGAGATTCTGAAGATATTCATGCTCTAAAAGAGAAACAACAGCAGGAACTGCAGGAGCAATTAGAAGCATATCAAAGGCATAAACAGGAGCTAGAGAGACAGCTTCTTGAGTTGTCTTTGACAGAAACATGGAGAAAAGCTAATGGTGAAGAATCGTCTGCAGGTGAAATGCTTGGCAAAAGACCGGAATCAAGTGGATCTTTTACAAATATGAGAAGTGAACATTTATCCAGAAATGACGACTTAAAACATTTTCAGGAACATAAGCATCACAAGACAAATGAAGTATTTACTACTGATAATCATGACCTGTTGAATGCAAATTCTGCCCAAGATGTAAATGCTGTAAACCTAAATCCAAAGTTTGAACACCAGAACTCCAGTAGTTTCACAGTCACACAGAGTATGACGTCAACTCCAGCAAGAAGAGTCAAAGGTAAACCAGAGGACTTGAAGCTAGGCGAGACCAAAGTTGACAGTACAGTTGCAGATGCAATACCTGTCACTCCAGCAGAGCAAACATTTCCCAACACTCCCTTGTTAAATGGACCTGCAATTCTGAGTGCAGGTCACTGGGTGGCACTGGCTGATGGCTCTGGAGTTCTCAACACCAGGTGAGTGATTATGATCATAGCAGGTAGACTGCATATTGTACAGGATAGTGTTGGGGATCAGCTGAGATTTCATAATATACCTACAGAAAATCAGATTGACGCACCTGAACAATCATCCAGGGCTGTCAGTAAGACTTCAAGTTGCCGGGTTAATACAGCAAGTAGGTGGGGAATCAACCAGCTAGGGATTTCTTTTGGTTCTAAGTAGCTGGGGACCACGTTCTTCGTTCTTAGTAGCCAGGGGAAATCTCCGGCCTCCACCTCTTAATGATAGCCCTGATCATCAACAATTATGGTTGGAAAAATCTCTGTAAGAATATTTTATTCCATTTAGGATGGTTGCTAGGGAAAACAGCCAACCACTGGATTCCCCGCCAAATGACATGAGGAATGAGTGCAAAAATTCCATATTTATGACTGTCACATCTCAGATCTGGGTGGTGCTTCTGATTCATTGTTCTGCATCGGATATTTGTTTCAACCAATCAGAAGCACTTCCCAGATGTAGGTAGTGTCATGCTATCGATCAGTATGGAATTTCTGGGCTTGTTTTGCAGATGTCATTTTGCAGGAAAGCTAGTGGTGATGTCACAAAATGTTGGCTGTTTTCTCAGGCTATTTAGGAGGGTCCTGCCTGAGTTTGATTCTCATTTGGAGCTCCAAATATTTTCTGTGTTTGCGGGTGATCAAATTCTCTTTCTTTTTTAATTATGAGACCAATAAAAAGACAACGCAAGTTTTTAATGATTATGTGTATTTGCCAACAAAAATATTAATTTTTTTCCCACAAGAGTCAATCAAACATTTTATATAATCACTTATGGCAATGCTTTAAGATTTCAATCAATGATCTATCAGCACAAATTTTATTTTTTTCTTTCTTTTTTTTATGTTAATGTACAGCAATGAGTTGGAAACAAAGGAAAATAAAATTTAAACCAAGGAATAAACTGGACCACAGCGTAGTTATGCCTTAGGGAGAGTTGACAAATGAATAATTCTATAAGCTTGACAGACTCTGTCGTCAGTTCAATGTGGTAGAGCTACAAGAAATGTTGTGACTTTTTGCCACATAAATGGATAACATTGATGCTCACTTATTTTGTTTGGCTTCCTTTTCTTTGCAGTACACCCAAGGCTACACGACAGGGGATGACATCAACTCCTGCTCCACCCGCCTCTCCTGTGCTGTCTGTGGACGGCACTACTCCGCGTGGTCTTTCTGCGAGTAAGGCAGTGGATGGACCTAATGTTGTTACAAAGATTGGTGGAACTGCAGGTGAACAGCCGATGCCATCTGATGTGGTCAAGGTATTCTCAATCTCTCTCTTTAATTATAATGTGATGTTCCATTTATTATTTATCCTTTATTAATCATTTCTAAATGTACATGATATGTCTGACCTTTTAATGTTTTCAGCTGTCCATGTACAGTTTCTGTTCAAGCATATAATGCCTTAAGCTATCCATTTAATTAATCAATTAATTAAATTAATATTTATTTTGCCAAACAAAGTGTACAAAGAAAGAAAGAAAAAAAACGCTACAGAAAGAAAGTGGCGAGGAAGCCTTAAATATAAGCCACAAGGCTTATAACATAAGGCTTCCTCAACTGCAACTCACGATGGCTACACATGCACAGTTATGACAATTAATTCCAGAAGAATGGATGAACATACAGTAAATGAGTAACAACAATCAGTGTGTAAATCAATAAATGCTAAAATTACAGCAAACATATATTACAAATGACAAATATTGTAATTACAGGACAGGTAAAACTACTCTGATAATGAAACTATTTAATTCTTCTTGACTAATAGCTGTTAATAATATACTTTTTCAGACTGTTTTTCCTTTCTGCTTTACGGGTTGTGCAATCCATTTTGGGACATTGCTCTACCGTTTAACGATTTTGGTTTTCCATTTAAATGGATATGCAAACCGTTTAAATGGTGTATTTGCCCATTTACTATCCATGTACAATCTGTTTATTTTTACTGGTTTAATGGTAAAGCATCAGTGCAACCATTTATGAACAGTTTTTGTTGCATTTACCTCATGATGCCAAATACAATTTGCAGTTTAACTTCCATTAACACACCAAAAGTTTGAAGCTGTTAACATGCTTTTGATCAGCGAGTTTCACTCATTATTTAGAAATGACTTTTTTCACTTTTTGGGAGAGGGTCCATTATTAGAGTCAAATTCCACTTTGACATTAAAGATTGAAAACTTTCAATATTAGTCATATTTTAAGTAATGTGGACACAATCTTAACCAAAGGCATAAGTTCACATGCAAAATCCATTGGTAGCTGTTGGCTTCAGTTGTTTTTGCTAAGGTAGTTTTTTTTTTCAATTTTCTGGAACATTTTCTTGTTCAGAATCAGCACTCTTGCTTTTGGGAAAATTTCTTTGTAGTTTTATATTTTCAGAGCATTTTTACATCAATAATTATACTGTCTTGTCATGAATGTTCTGTCAAGCAAATTTAAGTCAGGTCTGGAAATGATGTCCTGATCAAACTGCTGGTCATTAATTTTAGACTCAAGTTTGAACTACAGGATAGTCATCTTCATTTAATCGTTCTTGACTTGCTCAAAACCTGCAACATCCATCAAGAATATCAGTTTTGTAAGATTTGCTTATGAGGTGTAGATGCATTCTAGGAACAGTTTTACTTTTTATTAAAAATGAGTATCTAGTCAACTCTTTATCTTTTGCCAACCAACCTGTTGAACCGAATGAGTTGTTTTGTGATGTTATTCTGAAGTTGAGACACCCTTTCTCTTCTAGTAGAGGTTAAAGAAATAAATTCATAGAAAATTCCACTTTTTTGAAAAATAAGTACTAAGAATTAAATGGTACATTTAAATGGTAAAAGATCTACCAAAGAGGTTTGATGTGAATGGCAACATCAAACATAGGATTCTGTTCACAGACTAAGTGAAGAATCAACTTGCTATAACCTGGTGAAGGAGCAAAAGAGTTAACTGTGACAATTAATTTCCAAGCTTATGAGCTGTGGTTTTCTACTATTTGCTCTGTGAATTGGCTTTTCTTTATGACTGATAAATCTCTCAAATGGTTTGAAATTTGAAATCTTCAGTCAAGTTTTTTTTTAAGCTCATCGTGAAGTGCTCTTGAGATAAAATCCCTGTGTATTTCTGGAACACTTTAAGTTGTCACTGGACAACTCATGCTTGTGGTTAATCAACAAGAGATGAACTCACTCCTCTTCACACCTGCATAGATTTGAGCCCCCAATGACATCATATCTGTTTTGATGTAATTTTTAAAACCCCAGTCACTGCCTTGAAGTGTGTAGAAGGCAAGGAAGGAGTGATTTGCAACATAACTTTTTGCATCTAAGCCATTGGAGAGAAATGCCTGTTTTTACCTTCAAAGTAAGTGAAATAGGATAGTTTCAAGGCTCACTGCTAAGTTATCAGAGTGTTGCAATCCATGTGTGTTGTTTATTTCATGGTTCTTAAAAGTTTCCACACTTGACAGACCATTAGCTAGGTCACTGGTTTAATCACATCTCTGCAGTGGGAAATTGATCATGTCTTGCTGAGTACCCATCATTTCTTTGTTTGTTATTTGTTGTGAAACCCACATTGATCTAGGAAACATTATTATTGTTTCTTCTTGGTACAAATGGTTTTCTCTTTCCTACTGTGTTTACAAGGAGTTTTTTAAGAATGTATGTGCTGGATTGTCATTTGCTTGTCATAACTACATATATTTCACATAGCCTTAGAGTATGATGAAACTTAATTTCATTATCAGTCATATTTGCCTGGCTCAAAAACACTCTGCTATATTCTCTGTTCTAACATTTCAGTTGTTTAGAGTGCAAGACGGGAAGGGCCATACCTCCAGTTGCCATATTTGTTGTGATTCACAGTTTTGATTGTTTTGCGGGTACCTGTGTTGTTATGCCCCTGTGTGTGCCGACACATTGGTGGCCACTCATGTGTGTCATTTCCATTAGCTTAAACAGGTACCAGTAGTGGACAAAACCTCTGAAATGTTCATTTGAGCAGTTACTTCAAGATCCTTAAAAAAATAATAATAAATGAAGCAACAGTAACTTTTCTCTTGGTTAGCTACTTGAATGTTAGACTGGTCCTGAATTCATAATGCTGATTTGTTATCATTGTACCTGTCTGTAGCTGCTCTTCATCAGTTTAAGTAACATCTCTTGCAGTAAACTTATCCTGAAGTGTGTCTTCTTGTGTTTTCATAGACTGGATTTACTCAATCAAAACAAACTAGGTTTGGATCTTGCTGGTTAGGTTAAGATTCATCGGTGTGGTGATTAATTTCTATTGCTGTGGCTTTCAAGGTCAAAAATTACATCATTGTGTTAAATGAGTTGATCAGCAAATTTGACTGAATGTTCATTGTGGATTTAGTAATCAGGCAATTATTGTGGTTTTGTTGGTAGAGTGAAAAAGCATCTCCTTAATGTCCTCAGAAAAGACTTGAAGATTTGCTGATAAAAATGTTTAACAGCAAAACTGATCTATGTAACATTGTGTTATTTAAGACAGACTTGTGCTCTGGATACAGTAGCGATACCGCTGTCTACTATAAACTATGGAGCAGTGATCTGTCAATTTTTTTTGTTCATAGTCGATGGAAGGTTACCATGGTCTGAGCAGTGTTAAGGAAAGTGTCATCATTTTAAATTGATAGGCAATAATGTAGGTTCATTTTCAGTGAGAGTCATTAAGAGTGTTTTCTAGACGAATAAGACCTTTGAAGGTTTTGAAAATGGCCCTCTTAAAACATGGAAGGATTGTTTTGAAAAGTACAGACTAAATTTTACTTCTATACTATTCTGCGCAATGAACGTGTGCAAGTATCCCAGTGAAAATTGCTTTCGGTTTAGGAGAAATTTAACATTATTTTTGGCTAGTCCGGTAGGTAACAACCTTGTCTTTGAATTCATCATGATTATTTTACTAACATGCCCATAAAGACGTTTTTTGTGTTGCTGTTTGTGGGAAACCCTATTAATGTTGCTGTTTATAGATTTTTAACAAAGACGATTAGGTTGAGTTCAAGTTGCTCAGGTGTAGTTACTTTGATTCATAATGGTAGTTATTTATTGATTCCCTGTTGTGGGATTTTTTTTGTCAGCAGCCTCCTGAAAACTTAGGCAAAAAGGTTAAATCTCCTCTTGAAATTTTACTCAAAGTCAAAGTACCTCATACTCTGAAACTTGGCAGATATTAATATTAACCCTTAGATTTAAGAATTTTAATGGAAAATGGTTTTGTTGTGTTGAAAACTCTTTCTTTCTTCTGTTTCTGCCCTTAATACCAAAAACATATTTACATAGCCCTTGCAATCAAGCAAAAAATGGCTGTTTATTTGTATCTCTCTATTAGGATGAAAATAAGATTAGTTTTAGTGTTTCTTGTGTGGACGACTTTTTATTTTGTTAATGTTTCTATCTTGACTACCGTTAACGTCAGAGTTCCTCCATAACTCAGAGATTGGAACACCCAAGGACTTTTGGCTGGATTCTGAGGGCTCCATCCTGTCAGGAATTATGATGTTTTTTATTTAATCTGCACAGGTGTCATGACATAATATTTGACATCTTTCTCAGAATCTTTATTTTATTTTCAGGATAAAGAGAACACAGACTCGCTCAATCATCAAGCAACAGTCAAGCGAGGACCCAAAGTTAATGGAGTACGTCGTTCCCTTGTGCCAAGTTCCAGACAAAAGGCAGGAGCTGAGGAAGAAAACAAGCAAATAAGAATTGCTGCTCAAGGACTTGACACCATTGCTCAGCTCAGATTAGGTTTTAGTGATCAATCCTCTGCAGGACCCCATGCACACTCCAACCGACAGCAAGAAAGTGTCCAACAAAGCACCAGAGTAAATGGACAGCCTCCAAAGACTGGCACAACATTTGTGGTGGATGTTAGTAAGTACTATTAGGCTTTTATAAAGAAGTGCTGTTACCCATTTTTTCCATGTTGAAAGTAAACAGAAGCAGGATGTGATTGACTTCACAAGTGAGATTGCCTGCTTTGTTTCCACAAGGAAAAATTATTTCAGTTCCATAATAAATCCCTTACTTAACAAGCTGGACCTCATCTTCATATCTGCTAGGAAAAAGCAAACAAAGAGAACTTAGCATGAAAATCTTGTTCCAGTACCCACCTACCTTTCCTAAAAGCTTTCTTAAAAACTTTTCCCACCAAAATGAAGCCAACTAAATACTCAGCAAAGAAAAAAACATGAGGCAAGAAAAGTGAAAACAGAAAGGAGGAGAGAAAGCGAAAAGTAAAAGTCAAGACTGCTGTGTCACTTTTAAACTCAAAAACTATCTCAAAAGTTTGCTTTCTGTGCATGCCCAAACTTCGCAAGCTAATATTTTGCATCTGGATCAGAAGGTAGCAAAGTGTACAAACTCTAAATGGCTTTATGGTAAGTTTTAGCTCTTTATAGTGCAACAATGACCAGAAAACCCCTCGACTAACTTCAAACATGGTTATCAAAATCGCTGCCTACTTGGTTAGTATCGGCTGACTACTCTGCTTAGCATTTCTTTATGGATGGCGTTTTTTAAATAAAATATCCCTGGACTTTACTTTGACAACTCAGCTGCCCACTTCAGAACTCTCTGACAACCCTACTTCAAAGCGCATTTTTTGGCAAAATTTCCAGGTACAAATGGTTTAAACTCACATTTTGTTACAATAATTTTATGTTGTTGTCACATGACATTGTCACAACTTCACGTCAGCTTCATATTTGACTAGTTGAAGTGAGTCCTATGTTCAACCTGTTTCACTTTTGGTTAGTAATTATGCACTTGTCTTTTTTGTTTGTTGAGATTATTTTTAACATACCGTGATCCTGTAGCTTTAATTTCTTATTTTATGTTAAGGTTCTGCAAGAGAAGTAGCAAGTGAAAATTATCCTCAAGGAATAAAACAGTTACACAACGGAGCTAACAATGAGACTCCGAAAGGTACACACATTTTTTACTTAGAAGTAATATCAGTAAAATTATTTTTCCCTTGCAGTTTCTCTGCAAATGATGTGGACGTGAATATTATCGCAAACTTCCTGAAGGTGATCGTTTTCCAGAATTGAAATACACTGAAACTTGTGGCAAATCTCTTCAACGCCAAAGTTTTGGATCATTAGAATGCTGCATTCATCTTTATTGTTAATGTCCACCAGACTTCTGGATTTTGCCATGCAATGAAAGCCCAAGCAAGTTTTTTTAATTGGAGTTACTTCAATGTATTCTTATTCCAGAGTACAGCCAATCGAGGGTGCCCAAATTTTTTAAGGCTCATGTTCGAGACTAAGTTCTGCTACCTTGACAACATCTTCATTTTATCATCCAATCTTTTGCTCTTGTTTCTGCCTTTTGACATCTTTAGTAGTTTTTCTTAAGTTCAATGATTGTTTTTTCATTATCTTGTTTGCAGGAAGAGATTCAGGAACGGTAAACACAACTTTTCGAAAACCATCCACTAACACACCACCCAACAATACCACAGTTACTCATAGTAAACGAGTCCCACTGCTGGAGAAACAAAGAGAAATCTTGGAATACCCATCAGATTTAAAATTTTACACTGTGGCGACACTAGAGGATGTGCAGGCCATCAGAGCTATAGCTTTTCATCCTTCTGGTGATTTATTTGCTGTTGGTTCAAACTCCAAGACATTGAGAGTTTGCACTGCTGAGGGTTTGCATTCACAGCAGAGAGTAGAGAGGTATGAATTTTGACTTTAAATATCATAAAATTGTGTAAAATACCGATGAAAAAGCAGTTGAAAAAGAATTGGTCACGTGTGACATTACAGAAAAGCGCCCATTCAAAAACGTCGATCGTGAAAATGCAAATAAGTGAAAAATGACGTTAATTTAGTGTCAATCAAGAAATCCCCTGGGTATATCCCTTTCCTGGTTATTGTTCCTGCTCAGACATCCGCAACATTTGCCTATTCTTCGATGAAGAATAGAACTTCACGCGACTAACAATAGCTCAGTCTGTTTAAAGACTGTCTAAATTTACTCCGAATTAGCATGTGACTTTTTGCTGTTAAACGCTTCAAAATTGAAAAATCCTCGATGATTGTTGTTGATTTTGCCGTAAATAATTCAATGCACTGACTTAAATGAATTTCTACCTTTTACAAACTTCTTGGTGTTCGAATCGATCGATGAAATATGAGCGCAACCGATGCGTTAATAGTTTGTTTACATTTTGTCACGGGTTTTGGATAATATTATAAACCTTAACATTTACGGGCAAACTCGACGAGAAAGCACTCTCACTTACATTCTTCATTTAAGATATTGATTTTAGCAAAGTATAAGGCAAAATTAAGAGCGATACTTTCTTTAAGAACGCTATAACTACATATTTAACAGCCAAACCGAAACAGCGATCTAATCCGTCTCTTGAAAACAACTACAATACCGCTTCTGATAATAATATTCATAAACGCTACAAACATTTTTATTCAATCTTATTGAGTGATTTTCGTGAAGATGAGTTTTTAAGTGAAGAATACTTTGGTTTCCAATTAGCTTTAACTGTTTTGCCATCAAAACGATTCGCACGAGACTACCAAATTCGCGAGGGTTTTATGTTAGTGCACGAGGAAGAAAAATGCTTCTCTTTGCATAAACATTTTCTTCTTTGTAGCAATGACAAAGACATTCCAACACATAGAACAATGGCAACCTACTTCTATTGTTTCTGCATTGTCTCTTGAAAGTGTGAGAATAGTTAACTGCTATGAAGTTCATAAGAGACCGAAAACGACGGTAGTCGTTGAAACTTCGTTTTTGCTCGCAAAGCCTAATGGGTACCCCACTTTTCACGGGCGACGTTTTTCAATGGGCGCGTTTCTGTAATGATTTTTTTTCTGATTTTTCAGTGCCTTAGGTATGTTATATATTTGTATGTCCCTTAATTTCCCAAATTTATTTTTTGTGTCGTCATTACTCCTTCACTCTATTGTCATCAATGGTTACCATGGCAACCCTTCCTTGCCACCTTCATATTAATATTTTGTCTCAATTCCCAGTTAACAGTGATTACTCTATGATCTAAGATACTGGCCTCATTGTACATTTTTTTCTTTGTTTTACAGAAGTGTTCATGATCAGCCTCCACAACCAACAATTTTGTTTAAAAGTAACCGGCACCACCGTGGCTCCATTTACTGCATAGCTTGGAGTGCCACTGGAGATATCATCGCCACTGGTTCTAATGACAAAAGTATCAAGATGATGAAGTTTGATGTGGAAACCTGCTCTGTGACCTGGCCGGGATTGGAGCTAGCCATTCATAGCGGCACTGTCAGGGATTTGGCATTTGTCTCCAGGGCCAGTGGCACACCAGTGCTGGTGTCTGGTGGAGCAGGTACTGATGAAGATTCTATTAGAGAAATTTATTATACTTAGGCTTTTATGACCAGTGTGGCTGCCTTTGGTGTAAATGACATCTGATCACCTAGGGTTTTTTAGCCTTTACTGCTCTTAGAAAGAAGAAGGAAACTGGAGCTGAAATGCGGCCCACAGTATCTGTTATTAGGGGACTTAAGTAAAGGCATTTATGAGTGTCGCATGTCAACTGGAAGTGGACATTCCTGCGCAGTGGTTTTGCCAAAATTTCCAGTTAAATTATGTCTAAGCAATACAAATTTTATAGCATCAAGGCATATTAAAAGGTATAAGTTCTCACTTCTGTTTGATGTGCGTCTCTCAAAAATTAATGTCTTTGCTTAAGCTCGATCCCTATTGTTGCAGGGGAGGTACTATTTAGCTATTGGCCATTTTTTTTCTTTGTCCTTAGTAACTGTCCCAGAGGTCTTTGCAAAAGTTAACTTGGCCCAGTTTCCCAATCATATAAGGTCTCATGAGTAATTGCCCTGACAAGGCTGTCACTAAGGGCGGGGGGCTGGGGTTTTCCCCAGTTACTATCATTGATAGTGATGCTTGGTTCTTTTGTGAAAAAAAAAAATCATAAATGGAAGAAAAATAGAACCATTTGACATCCCTAGCTGTTGATTCCCCGTCTACTTCTTGTTTTTACCCAGCAACTGGAAATTAAAGTCACTGTGCCACTTTAATAGACTGTGTGGTTATGCAACACTTTCCTTATTGCAGCAGGGGTGTAGTGTACCTCTTGTCCTTTTTGTTAGTTTGTCAGTTCTTCTTTCTAACAGAAGAAGTTGCCATTAATATTATTGTGTGTATTGTTGTAGGTATTTTTCACGTAAGAGTCCATACAAATTGTCTAGTATAACTGAAACAAGTAAGAATTGGCTCCAGGCAAGAAAAATGTGGGGGGAAAAGTTAAGCTGGTATTCAAGTTTTTTAGTGCTGAAAAGGGTTGCTGCATCAATGGACTTAAATTGCATTCATCTTATCCTTCACCAGAAAAGTTTTAAGGGTTGTAAAGCCTGTCTTTGAAATGAACGTTTCATTCCAAGTGCGTTTCAAGCATTTACTAATGTAAAGGGACATTCACAGGCACTCTCCTTTAAGTCATTATTATTAACCATGAGTTTGTCAAATATTGTAGGTGATGGGAATATCATGATATCTGACTGCAGCACTGGTCAGACAGTTGGACAACTCAAGGGCCATGCAGGGCATATCATGTCTGTGTATGCTGACAGTGATGATATTATAGCCTCTGGATCTGCAGATAATACTGTCAGGCTGTGGGATCTGCGGTCACAGCGGTGTATAGATGCTATTGCCACTGGAGATAGTTGTGTGGCTTCAGTTTGTGTGAATTCATCTGGCAACATGTTAGCTTCAGGTAAATATTAACTACTTACTATGCAGCTTTGGAAGGTTAACCTGTGCTGTCGTAATTATGTCACAGAATTTTTTTTTTGCAGACATTGTTTCTTGTTGCTAACTGTTAATATTAATTGTCCATGATGTTACATTTTGGCAAATTGTGTTATGATTATCTGCTTACATATTATTGTTGGAGGTCTTAGCAATTTAACCTGTCAAGAAAGAAGAGGTGAATCTCACCAACCACTACTGTTTTTTTTTTTTTTACTTGCTGAGCTTACTATGGAGTCTTTGTAGTTGTGGCTCATAGTGTGAAAAGATGTCTAATACCTTCAAATATTACAAATTGTTGGTACATAGCCCATGGCACCTTACTTTTACACGTGGGTAGTTTTTTAGTAAACATCATTATACCTGGGCACCCTGGATTTGACAGGTTCAGAGCACTGGGCTCCCTTTAATTTTTCTTAGATAAGAGTTGTATATAATGTGATTGGAAGAATAATGCAATTTGAAGCTAACGTCAGGGTGAAATGAAAGGAAAAACCTGTTTGCATAAAGGGAAAGTTATCGCTTTAGTTTTCTTGCACAGAACTTTGAGTATCCAATACTGTAAGGTCAGCTTGCCCAAAACTTTGGATGACAATTTAAAAGGTGACAAGCTTGGCTTGTGTACAGCTTGCAGCGAACTATCCCCTTGGATGGTTCCACAGCACTGCATTGCATTATGTTTGTCACAGTCACACCCTGTTTAAAACAAACTAACCCTTGTATCTATTTGACAGGTCATGAAGATGGTAGCTGCATGATATATGACATTACAGCAGGAAGAACCCTTCAACTTTTCACCCCACATACAATGGACTGCCGATCAGTGCGTTTTTCACCAGATAATAACTTTCTTCTAACAGGATCCTATGACACTAGTATTATTATGATGGACATCAGAAAAGACCTAGAACTTAACATACCTCCGTACACAGTTGTTGCACATCACAGGGACAAGGTGATCCAGTGCCGCTGGCATCCAAGCCATCTTGCATTCTTAAGCTCCAGTGCTGATAGAACTGTCAATCTTTGGGCTCCTGAATCCTGAAATTCTTAAAAATGACTTTCTTGGTAGTAGGAAGCTCATTATGTTGTATCAGAAACACATAAGGGGTTTTCAACCCTTTATGAGTTTCTGGTTGTATCAATGTGACCATAGTAAAAATAGGAAGATGTATTTTGTAAAGTATTGAATAACAAACAAACAAAAGTATTGCTGTCCAGAGAGGTTTAATTTGAATTTTAACACTGCAGCGTCAGAGTTTGGTCTCAGACTTAAAAGTTAGAACTGCTGGTACATTACGTAGATTTAGCAAAGACAGGGCAACGGCAGTGATGAAGGCATTCACAAATCTAAAATTCATTTGACGTTGTGCTGTATGCTGACGTCCGAGCTTACTGTTCACATGTTAAAAATGTATTGTAAGAGGGCATGTCTGTTGTCCTCTTATCCACGACTCTTCATTCATTCATTTATCAACCTACTATGTTATCCTTTTTATTAACTCCAGGAGTAAAAAAGGGACATCCTTGGAGTTGGTGATAAGGGTAAATATGGTACATACTGTGAAAAGTTTGAACCTAGGAGTCATTTCAAAAGTAGGCCTGAGTATGATCGTCCTGGTGAGCGTAGTCCTGAGTAGGACTGTTGTTGTTCAGAGTGGTGCAGACTGATGTTTCAACATAACCTGTGTTGTAGTCATCTTCAGAGTCACTTCGACTCGTGAAATACTAGATATGTGCATCTGAGGACAAAATGTCAGGGGGCCAAATAAAAGTTTTTTCTGTTTTGAAGTGTAAAAAATGATAAGCTGCAATAAATACAGTAGTGAGCGACGGAGCCCTTAGCCTGCGTAGCTGGTGGGAGAGTTACACACTTTGTACTTCCTTGGTTGCAGAGCTGTCACATGCACAGTAAATTTGACTGGTTTACAATTTTCTTAATGCTCTGCTGCCAAACCAATAGAGTGCCAGCCTGCTAATCCCAGCAGGTATGCAGGCTAAGGAGATTGTTGTCTACTGTTGTTGTCATCAGAAAACAAGGCATTTATCACCAAGAGGATAGGGTCAGATCAAATGCCCATTTATTTTGACAAGACTTACACAAATGTTGATTTATTTTTATAAAATTTCAGGGTTGTAATCCCTGGTTACCATTGTGGTTGGTGACAGTACCAAATTGGTTTGGAACAAGAAAATTATTACTAAGAATTTTGCTGTTAAAATATTTTCAGATTTTTCATCCTCTCTTCACATTTTTGAAGTTTAATGTCTAGTTACTAGTTACACAAAGAAAGGTGGCAGATTAGTTGCATGTTGCATTTTTCCTGCAAGTATTGAGCAATTCAGAATCTTCTGCAGTTGGTGACATCATTTTTTTGTATCATTGTTTAAATGATAGTTCTTATTGATCAGAGGGAAAGAATTATCCTCTGTTCAAACATTTTTGGCTTGTCATGCAACTATTCCACAACATTTAGGCTCATAGCTCAAGTTAAAATAAAATCTGTCTGGATAGGCTCACAAAGGACATTTTCAACACTGTCAATCAAAATTATTTATTGTTGCCTATAAAAATGATCAGTATGCTTAATTCATGATAACTCTATTTAAAGGTTGCACACATTTCTTGTCATTATTGACTCTGTAAGTTTCATGCATGATGAATGAATAAACAACGTTAGGTAAGAAAATGATGTAACAATAACTTATTAATTTATTTTTTCCATTTGCAAGTTGTATATAATGTTGGTTGAAAATTATTTGAATTTATTTATGATTTTGGAGAAAATTAGATAAAATATTGAGATATACAGTAGTATTTAAAAGAAGGTCGTTAGGATTATGATAATTTGTTGTCATAATTTGTTGTGTATGCATAAAAACATGGACAACAATCCAGAGTTAACTTAAAAGAATAAATTTGCATTTTATGCAAGAGAAGTTAAAGCTGTGTGAGTGTTTTTAGACTTTGGTGCAATGGGTACTGAACAAGGATAATTTATTGACCAAAAAGAGGATTAAAAAGTTCAAGTGTATACTGATTACATTGATGACACCTGTCACAATATGAGCTTTCTCACGTAAAATCAATGTACTGCAACTTTTAAGCTTGGGGGAATTCAACACACAGTATCACAGAGAAAAATTGATCATGACTTTTTATATATTATCTCGCTGTTTAAAATAATGACTGCAGCATCTTCTGTAGCAAGAATGTTTTCTTTGTTGGTCAATAAAAACTTATTAACAAACCTTCGCACAAACTCTATTCAGGGGACCCTTTTGTTGTGCCCAAGGGTGTCCTATAAATAGAGGTTCTACCGTGTTTTTTTTTTTTCAAAAGTGGTCCTAATCATCCTCTTTGTATTTCCAGCAAGACCAAGGACAAATCTGCTGATATCATGTGAGCTGCAATGGGAAACTGTTCAAAAGGGTTTGTGAAATGTTACTTTAGTGTAGTTTAGACCTGTTATGGAAATTGATGATGGTGGTGATAGGTAATAAATAATAAATTAGTAAGTGCATTTCACTTGACCTCAGGGAACTTACCATTTACATGGAGAAACGGAACAAATGCATGGTTCATGCTAATCTGTTTGGGAAGCTTCAGCAAATATGGGCTTTCACTTACAAGGCTGTGCATTTTCCACTCATTTTAGTCACCTCAGCTGACTTGCTACACTTTCTAGCAGATCATTCTCCCAAAAGGATAACTTTGTAATCATTTATTGTGTTTGCATGCAAAGCTGGCCCAGTAGCCCCTGGTGCCTAGCTTTTGCTCCCAGAGGGACTTAAGAACCTAAGGCACCATCAATTTTGATTTGTTTGAAACGCGTACATTTTGCTCTTCTATCCACCCTAATACACTGAGGGTTATCGAAAACTCGTCAATTTGAAAATGCTGTTGAAAATGGATCAAAACAAAAACACACATATCATGTTAGTGTGTACGTTCAAAAAAGATGTGTGAATAGCAGGTGCCCAGAGTTCAACTTATGCTGCAACATGCAATTCTTATTGTTTCCAAACATTTTAGTGTGGACAGTCAAAAATGTCTCAAAACAGAATTGTGGACATGAATCCATCAACGTGTTTTCAATGACAACGAAACTGTGTACTTTTGAATACCCATTAGTGTAGACAGGACATCAGATTTTTTATAGAAATCCTATGCTGGGCTCCCTGGATTTCACGGGTACATATCGCTGGGATCCCTTCAAGTTTTCTTGGAGCACAGCCTTGGCATGAGATTTTTTAACCCAAGTTTGACAAACCAAATACCATGATACTGATCCAACAGTACTATTTATTTACAGATTAGCCTATTTGATACATGCTTGTATCTTAATAGAACCAGTATAAATTAATTAAGTTTACTTCAGTTCTATAAATCTGCAAATGTTGAATTTGTCATTCCACATAAGACAAAGTCTTAAAACCACTTATTTTAAACAAAAATATTTTTGCTTTCACTTATACATTACTAAATATCGAGTTAAAACAGGCAGTGTTTTAAATAACAGCTATTTATGGTAACATTGAGCCTTGGTTGGCAGAAATTTTTGTACATGTGGTATGGAAATGTTTAGTGTCTGTGTAATTAAAAGGTAAATAAATCCACTAACTATTCAGTAAACTGTCGAATGTAATTGTGAAAATCAAAAGTGGTGAGCACAAATAGAAATTCACAAAAATATTAATTCATTGTGCATGAAAATGTGTTACAATCAATCAATAGGTAGTGTAAGATATAAGTTACTAGTTCAAAAAATAACAAATTCTTTTCATGAACCTGTGATTCAAACTTCCTTCAATTTAATTTATTACTACTTGCTTCAAGTGGAGTTCCTATACGTCTGGACCACCCTGCTAATAAAAAGGACCAAACCAACCAAGATTTTAGACGACTAAAGCTGGTATAAATTATATGTATGATATTGTCAAGTTTCACAACTGTGGTTAATGAGGAAAAATTTAGATTTGTCTGTCAAGCAGAGGTATATTCAATATCAAAATGTACAATCACATGAAGCAATGTTTTCTGTTAAATAAATTGTAATTTTTTTCTTTCGTGTTTTATTATACAAGGACAAAAATAAATTTGTAAAATTGAAAGCACTGAAGAAGACAATTTTACGAGAAACTACAATGCTTCCAGCCCGCAGAATTATATCTGTGAATGAAAAATCATATATTTTGTGTTCTGAGTATTTTGACTGAAGCAGGTGGAGAATTCAACACCCAGGAAGTTCTTTTTTTATTTGCTTCTATTTCCTGTAAGAGTAGCTGGGGGCTATGCTTAAAGAAGCCATGGCAAAACTTCCTGGCCTTCAGCCCTGAAGTAGTGAAGCATATATAAGAATAGTCATCAAATATTAAGTGCTAGTCATAGGTAAAAAAATTGAAGTCAAATTCTTCACAGAACTATTATTAGGGACATTCATAAATAAACATTCGCCTAATGCTTGCTATAATAATTATTATATTACAAGCATGCCTCCCTAATCAAACACATTCAAATACATTAAAAATATCTTCACCAGAAGTGCAGACAGTGAGATACACTTAGCATAAAAGGCTCATAACCTGATAAGATTTGAGTCACATTCAATTTACATTTCTTTAAGAAGCAAATATTCAATTTTTAGATTTTAGTCTACGATGATAAAATAGGATCAGTAGAAAGGATTTTTGCTTTCCTTGATCGGTGACCAATATTTATAGCAAATGGTATGAAATAAATTATTACTATTTTTTTTATAATACATTAAATTCATATCCTACTTGTAAAATGCTACTATAAAGCTACCAGTCTTTACGACCTAAGATGGGTAACACAGTCAAATTCAGTTTGTCAGAGTTTGCAAGGATGTTATGGACTTCTGACATAGTCTTGCAGGATGTGTTCTCTCCATTGATCTCAAGAATCTCATCACCAGGATTAAGAAGTCCTGCCATGAATTTTGCTGAAGCACCGTCCATAATACGGCTTACAAACACTCCTTTCCTGTACTGATTGAAACCTTTCTGAATAAAAAATCCAAATAATCCACCGGGGCATCGTTGCAATTCCAAAACATAAGCACTTCCCAGGTCTTCTCGCATTGCCACAATTCTTCCCAAGCTCTGGCCCCCAGTAGGCCGGCTCACAGCTGTTCGAGAGTCAAACCATTTTTTGGTCAGCTCATTGACATGTAAAGATTGTTTCTTTGATTTCTTGCTGAAAATCTTACTTTTGCTTTTCCCCTTGTCTATAGACAGCCTGGGCTTCTCACTAACTGGTACATCATTTACAATATACAGACCAGATCGACGCCCAAACTTACGCCTCTTTTTCTTTGGCTTTTTTTCATCAAAGCCAACATGAAGGAAGTCACCACTACTTCCAAGACTGTTGCTCCTTGCGAGCTCCGGCATGCTCCTCCATTTGTGATTTACCATAATGTCTCTTGGATCAGATGTGATCTCAGAAATTGGATTAAGATTGTAGGTGCTGAAGTATCTTTGACGTGCCGACATATGTGGTCGCAGTATAAATTCACTCTGCACACTACAAACAGTTTCAGCATCAGAATCAGTTTCATCTTGACTGCCGCTAAAACTATGACTTTCAGAAAAAATGCTCCGGCGATAGATACTTGAACCTGTTTAGAAAAGCAAAGAAATTTGTTAATCAAGGAAAATTCTATCCCAATACATTACTACTTTGAATGTTGCGCTTTTGGAAGCATAAATCAACATACTTGGTTGGTGGATTAATTTTGAATTTCATTGAGTCTGTTTGGGGGGCCAGAACAAGGATTTTGGTGCTGCTTCGCAGACATTACTTACTGGCGTTAGATTACATCTGCAAGCAACACAGGCTAAGACTAGACTACAGTAAAACCTGTTTTGAGAGAACCCCATGTTAAATGGGCAAACTGTGTTCAACTGGCAAAACCAGTAACTCCCAAACTGCTGTCTCCATATCCCCTTTACACAATTCATATTAAGCCAACGCCTCTACATTTAATGAACATTGCACCGATGTGTCTGCTCAACACAGGTTTTCACCATACATGCATGGTTAAAGGTTAAAGATTTTTTAACAGGTTTTATTTTTTAGTCAAGCATGCTTTAACAGTGATACTCTAAAAATGCAAGCATTTCTTTTCTTTTTTGTGTGTGTTTGGGCGAGCCAAAAGAGGGGAATCACGATCCCAGGCATTCCTAGCGGAGACCGTGGAAACTGGGGGTAAGAATATTGCAATGTGACTAACAACATACAAAAATTTTCCAGAGTGCCATGTATGTTTTGTGAAGAAAGCTTAGGAAAGATCAATGTTAAAGATGACAAGCTTTTCCGAACAGGTTGGTCTAGAAATTCTATTGCTTGAAAGCTTTGATTACTTTGGAACAAGTGAATACTTCAGTGGTAAAAAAAGAACAATCTTAATGAGCAAAACTTTGTGGTTGGGTGTTGTAAAACTTTCATCGTATGCAAATGAGTCTTGTGATGAGCATGCAGTTTATTTTCGGTGATGATTGAAATGAGGTTTTTGCTCTTTGGCAATGATGAAATTTCTCTCAAATTGAGGGCATTGATTTTCGTGTATTTATACATGTGTACTCAATTCAATCAATTCAGAAACAAATCACCGAATGAGATGTAAAAAGTAAATATCCTGAAGAATACTTGACTGTCGATAGAGTAGGACATGAAAAACTTTTAATGAGGAAATCCTGTTTGCGTAGAATTAGTTGCTTCCTCATTTCTTATCTAGTCCCCAAGCAAGCTCGACTTAAATGCTTTTAAGAGCATTACTGATGCACCTAATATTGCTAAATGTGAGAGTTCAAGGCGTGTTGCACAACTGCCTTTTTGTTGCTGTGTACACGCACTATGCTTTTTATACTCTGACTTCAATGAGGAAAGCTCAATTTGAACGAACTAGATGCCAACTATACTACAAATAAATGTGTACTGTATTGAAAAAAAAAAACAACACCAAAAGCTAACTATGTTAATATTATTGCCAAGAGTATTTAGGTCCATCATTTAATTTTCCTCTCTTTTTTTTGAGCAACTGTAATTAACTTTGTTCACAGTCCGTCCCCCAAAAAATGACGTGCTATTTTAATAAAATTTTGAATCATTTCTCCGCTCGCTGTTAACGTTAAAATCGGTACCAGCAAGCGTGTTAACTCTATTTTGAACCTGCGACTTTCACGCTCCCCGAAAAAAGAACACTTGATCGAGGGTGCAATTACTTCAGCGCTTTTTGCGTTCGAAAATTACAATATATAGCCTTCCTAGGATGTGTTGCAATCGGAGTTCAATTATTTGTAATTTTCACAGCCTAATTTCGAATACAGTAAGATTTAATATACTTCACTTCCTTCCTCCTTAGTCTCTTCAGACGGAAAAAAAAACATTCTATGTTTTTTAATGAAAGTGGAAATGTTCCGGTCAATTTTAAATAGGTTTTTTACAATCTTTAATTCACGCATCCTGATATTCTTCCAAAAATATCTGAAAGACGTAAACTGGTGTATTTTAAGCGTGTATAAGTAAATTATTTACATAAACAATCACATCTTTGCGTAAGAGGAAATTTCTTACTCGCCACAATATATATATAGATCATACCGAGCAAGGCGTTCTAAAATCAATTTATTCACAAGCACGTCGGTTAAAATTGCTTTAAACTGACAATGAAGTTATCTTAGCGTACATAAAAAAATACGCTCCTTGTCTATAAAACTTAAATAAAATTAGTGTCGAGTCGATTCAATTTTGTTTTTTTACAACACCTGGCTAAAAGGCAGATTCTCTAAATATGAAAGTAACAAATTAGTCAAATACGCGGCCAATCATAGTTTCCCGGCAGTAAATGTTGCCATTATCGAATAAATACGAGAGCTGTATGCTTTTTGCCCCACAATAAATCGGCCCTTTTTTCACTCCACAACTAATTTTATACCGCTTTTCAAGTAATCACTGAATAAACATTCGATAAAAAGATCGGCCATTGATAGATTGGTAAATTGCTTTTAACAGATCATAGGGCGAGTGCGACATGCACGAAATTTTGCTGCAAGCTTCGATTTTAAAATAAGTGGAAACTTTCTCGGTGCTCCGGGCTGGAAGAGGATAAAAGCAAACACAGACGGATCGTTCTCTACAATTGTGGGTCTAACTTTATTTTTAGACGGGCATCTAATGAAACACAAAACATTACTTTTGCGTCAATCCACGGAAACGATGGCCGATTACCGGAAGACCAAAAGAGTATCTAGCAATCGCTTTCGAACTTTGCTTATAAAAAAATTTACAGTGTACGTAAAAAAATCATATCAGCATGAAGAGACTCATTTAATCGAGTTTTCACCAGAAATATCAGTCCCTCAAATAAGTGAATTTTGCCGATATTTAAATTTGAAGAGCATTATTTGATGGTGTTTCCTGTTATAAGGATGCCCCCAAGTGACAAATCACCATGAATATCATTTTAATGTGTGCTTTCGCGATTCTGAAAATACAATTTTTATAAATAGCACAGGAATCAAAAATAGAAACAGTTCCGAAACAGTAAAATTTACTCTATTATATGTTGTCGACTGTGTTTTTCTTTGTGTGTGTATGTTTGACAACTCTTAGGTAGCAATACATTAACGTAACCTTTGCCTTTGATTTATGGACTAGACGTAGAAAATTAAGCTAACCAACTGTAAATACCGAGGTTAAACTTTCTGGCTTTTGGGCGAATTGGATAGTTAGTTTAAGCCACTTTTTCGAGACAAAACTAAAGCGAATACAGTTCTGAATGCTACAATTTTTTACACGCTCCCAAACGAAGGGATCATGATTATATGCCACACATCGATCACATCAATCTTCTGAATTATTGCAAAACTTGGATTATTTAGTATTTGCGGGGGGAAACCAAAGTTGCACCAATAAACACCGAGTGGAAAGAGACAGTTAAAGAGGTGAGAAGTCGCGAACTACAACAATAATATAATTTAACCGAGAACTCACCCCTCCGATTGTTGCCAATAGACAAGGACCCACTTCGACTTTGCCTTCCTTGATTGCAGTGAATATGGTTGGCCGCAAAACCAGGGCTATCCAAGCTTTCAGATTTGATTTCCTGATTTCTGTAAGCGACAGATTTGAGAATTCCTCGGCGGTCTACCCTCTTTGCATTAAAATCAGAGGCAGAGCTTAAATACTCTAGGGAATTCCTCCTTGACGACGACAACGCAATCAAACTTTGCGATTTCGTCGGAAGTGTTTGCGTACCCTTTAGACCCATTTCTGCGGATACTACTGGTTTGACAGTTCTCGAATTTGGAGTACGATCTGTCGATATTCCGCTATCCTTGTCCGATTCCACGCTATCCCCGGGGTAAAGAAAGTGTTTATTAACACCCAAACAGGTTGGTGTGGGTTCGTGGGACGTTTTCGAATTCACCGAGTCGCGATCGTGGTCGATTTCATCGAACGCACTATCGTAACTGTCCTCAAGATTGTGGAGTTTCATAGCCACTGAGAGAGGTGGCGGTCTTCGTCTTGATATAGCAACAGCGGTGGAAGGGTTATAATCATTTTCCCCACTTCCTAGCACTTGTAATGTATCTGTTTTTGATGTTTGTATATCTTGACGCTCCACTGCTTTCAGTTCAAACGACTCTGATTGATCAATGCTCCCAGAATTTGGCGACTCTGAGGAAGATAACACCGAAGAAGTTCTAGAATTCTTAAATATCTCAGGGTACTTAAGTTCCAGTTCTTTGAAGCGATTCCTAGCTCGTTGTAACATCTCTTTATGCTCGAAGATATCTTCTTCGAACATAACGCTCTTTCGAGACCCGTTTCTCGATGAAGAAAGATCGAACATGCTCTTAGAAAATCCATTTCTGTGGCTGTGAGATGATGACAAGACGGGATTAATTCGTCTCTGCGGTGAGCCAACGTTTAGAATACTTTCAGCATAATTTTGCGGTGAGACGTCAAAACTTTGAGCACCTGAAATTCGAAGTGGATTTCTGTTCCACTCCATGGCCCGTCCTGTAGAATCTAATGACGTCTCTGATCTGTAAATACTCTCTTTTCCTGCCATTTCCTTGAAAATTCAGCTAATAATGGACACGAAAGATCGCGATCTTCAATGAAAAATCTACGATCACGATTTCTTGACCGAGACAGAAATCAGAGTCCTTTGTGACCCGCTGAGCCGTGATATTTGAGACAGAAAATTCGTTAGAAAAATTTTTGGCTGTGTTGTCTCTGACGTCATTATTCTCAAGTTGTCAATGATTGCTTATTCAAAACTAGCCAATCACACTTTACTTCCGATCGAATTTCCCAAAATAGCTTACATCCCGAGAGGCCAATAAAACTGCAATTATTCATTCCTGTCCCACTTAGCTTGCGGAACACTAATACTTATAAACCCATTAAATTCACGGGTTATGGGTTTTTATTCCACGTGGGTAAAATTTGTTCTGAAAGCGACAAACCATGAGCCCGCATGAGGCAATATTGAAATGTTGCTTTCTCCGGTCGAAATTTCTGTTTCGTTGTTTGTTTGCTAGTTCTTTCGAGGCAATATTTCTGTTTATTTATGTATCTTTTTTTTTTTTTTGCAATCATCGCTTTCAATTTCTGTTTTCTCAGTTAAATTTTCCTAATCAGCAGCCTATCGGTAATAGGCTCCTGCCGAATACCTTTTTCAAATTTATGCTTCAGTCACTCATTGTAACCACGAAGTGACCACGTTTTCGAATTCGGCAGGAACGCATGAACATTTTGAATCCGTGGGAACTGAGGGAAGAAAAAATTATTGTACTTTTTCCTTAGTAACCGGACCTACAAATGATCACGTCACGCCGCCCACGAGATTTTAAAAACCTTTCCATCGACGTAAGCAAAGAAAAACATTGTAAGAAACATTTTTCATATAAAAGCAAAAACTGGACGTTTTGATCAAGCTTTCCCATCACGAAACATACCTGTTCCATTAATCAAGTTTTCCTTGTCAAAAAAGTCCGAAAGAGACCAGTTTGGGAGAAACTCAAGCTTCATTCGACGGTGTCAGTGGGTATACCTCCAGTCCGAAAACAGTTTTAAAAAACTCGCTTAGTCAGTAGTTAGCAAGAACGGGCTTAGTCAGTTTAGTTATATTAGTAGCTAGAGTGTACAATCATATGTCACGCTTCTATACCACCTAGGATATCGACGATCGTTATAAAGGAAGTCCGAGTCTCAACCAAGAAAAAGCGCGCGCTAACAATTTGTCAATATCATGTATCATTCACTTGGTAAATCAATTACTTATATTTAAAAAACCGTACCATTCTTCCCAGGCAGGGGCCGATTACTAGGCTCCTATTCCAGGTCAAAAATTGACTTCTTGAACAATATATAAAAGTATCCTTCAAGTTGTTAATTTTTACGGTTACCATAGCAGAAAATCGTTGTAAATAATAACACTCCTGATTCTTAGACAAATAACCAAATAAGATAGTAATTTTATTTTGACCGGAGACCCAAAGCTCCTGAATTTAAGAAAGAAATGCCATCGATATATTTCTTTCAGCTTTCTTTCTTTCTTCTCAGATAATATTTTTTTTTCTTTCGCTCCGTCCTGGAATTAATACCAGGAGCAAGACCAAGAGCGCGTATCCCCTGCTGTTTCATATGGGAACCTCTCCTCCGCATTTGACACTCTTGAAACAGGATATGAAATTTAACCTGACTTATTGCAGTTCACGGAGCTTATTGCTGGTTTATTGAGGAAAGCATCAAGTTTGCGCAGAGAGCAGCCGTTTTCCGATCTTGTCGACAGATAAGATGGGGTTTAATCGGCCATGAAAGCACGGTTTTCAAAATTACCCTAGTTTATGTCGCCGACCTCGTCGGGGGGTTATATCATATTTTGTACGTATTCCTGATCATTAAATGGGCAAAAACTAAATCATCGTCATTAAATGATCAAGGTGTGGTTTACGTGGTTAACCGCAAGCTTACGTTTTATCCAAACAAGACAAAACAAAACGCCCGCCGATTGTTTTTTGATAGCCTGCGTAGCATGGCAGTTTTGGTTGGGCGCGCTTAATTATAAAGGCAGGGGAGGGCAGAGAAACTGCGAGAACCGCCATGCTACGCTAGCTTTTTTATTGCCAGCTACGCAGCGCTCTGAGCTGATTTTAAATACGGGAAGAATAACGCAATGACTATAGCCGTTGCCACTAATCAGTAAATTCTACAGAAAACTGCAAAAGAAAAACAAATTATTATAGTCAACAGTCTTAATAATAACATAAATTAGGATGAAGTATGTAAAACTAAGATGCAGGCGCTCAAGGTAAATATCGACTCGTTGCGGTTAATCTTTTTCAATTTCCGTCGCGGTTTAAGAGGCTCCATGCTTGCAGAATGTTCATTGGACCATGTATTAGTAAAATTCAGCAAGACCGATTCCAACAATACGAATGAAATAAATCCTCAAGTTTTAGCACAGATTTAATTGTACAGAAACTAACGATGCAATCGTTTATGCTTTGTCAATAATTATCCCAGTACATGTACCGAATTGGTACTTCGCAAGTCTGGTATATAGCCGCGAGTTATATTTGTAAAAACGTACGATTTCTTGCCCACGCAGGATCGGAGAACGAATTGTAGCCATGGTCACCAATTTGGCGTAATTATATGGAGTCATTAAATCGCACCTGTAGGCAGCCCAAACTCCCCGTTATAAGAATTTAAACCGCTTTACTCTCTGCTTAATTTATCTCGCTTTTTTTCTAAAAGTAAAGACATTTATAACCTTCTCTTACCGCTTTGAATACTAAATTCAAGTTAAAAACGATTTGATTTTTGACTTTGCAACCGAACGCTCCATGGTAACCTTGCATTGAAATTGTTGTAAACCTCAGGGTACAATTTGGCCAATATAAAAATATAGGAAAGAATTAAGAGTAACTCAAACGGTAAAGGATGGGTGAGAAACGACGTGGTTCAAATTGATTCTCGGTATAGAAAACAAACATGAAAGGTGTAGGATGCTTTTGTGATGCTTTCATTCAGAATCATGACGTAGCTCCTTGAAGTAGTTTTTCACTTGCGGCTGTAGTGTTTAAGTTTTACGGTGTCCTACAACATGAAATAAGGTGCTCTCCATGAAATCTCTGTTGAAAATTTCCTGCAAGCGCTTGTCGGAAGAAAAAAATTGCATGCAGCACAAATGTAATAGAAAGCTTATGGAAAAAAACAGGGAAAAAAATATCCTGCCCATCAGATTGCTAAAAAAAAAAGCTCTTGACGACCAGAAATCACCCACCCCCCGCCTCAAGAGTTAAATGGTCGGCCCCTAAGATAACGTCACAGCTGCCACATTGGTGGTACAAAACAATGAAATGAAGGCCATGTTCGTGTACCGAGCTAGTCATGTAGGAGTTGAACACTTTGCCTATGTAAACGCTTTCTTTTGTTCTAATTAATTAGCATAGATACTAGCCAAGTGGGTGAAAATGCTTTATACCAGCTTATACAATGTCAAATGCTCATTGTGTATCAGAATCGTCTTATGAATCAGTTTCAAAATGTCGTTGCATCTTTATAATTGAAAGATGAATAACAAGCAAAGCAAGGAATCTTTGTTTACAAACTTTGATGAGGCTTCAATTAAGGCGCTGTGTCACGAAATTTTATAGTTAAAGTCAAAACAGTGAAAATGTCACAAAGTAAACACACTAATAACCAACCAAAAGGTTAAAAGATGGCATAAATAACAAAGCAATTACAAAAAGGCGGAGGCACGGATGGTAATTGTGATTTTGAAACTTGTTAACCTAACAGTTTTTCAAAGTTCATTTTTGCTGTTTGTAACATCTGCTTCGGAGACATTTGTTTGACACGAGGTCGTGACTTTGCCATTCACAAGTAATTTCTAGACAAGTTCAATAGCGAATAAGGACTCATAATTGGCGTTTAAAAATAAATATCAAAGGGCTCTATGAGCCAACTCGTGAATCAGTTGAAGGTTTTGTGTTAACCAGTTTAAAAAGTAAAATGTTACAAGATGTTTGTGTCGGGGGGTGGGCGGTCTCCAGTCTGGTGACGTTACTGTTGGGTAGCTGAGCTTGCACCGTCCTGCAACGGGCGCAACGTTAACTTCACGTACTCAAGAGTAATACGAAAAAAGCAATAATTATTTAATGTTAAGTGAAAATTTTCAATAATGTTTACGCAATTATGCAGTAATTTCAAGGAATCATTCACAATATTGAAGGCAAGGAAAGGCGGCTTAAACAGAGACCTTGCGAAACTACGATACGTACCAAGGAAACATCAATGAAGACGTCCACCACCAAAAAATAAATCCAAATTTCTAAAACTACTTCGACATCAAAGCGACTAGTTCAATTTGTATACTAGTATTTTCCATTGGAAATGAACTGCTGCAAGTCAAGTGCGTGACAGTTAAGTTCAAAACTATCCGCGACTAGTCTACGTGAAGAGTGGGTGATCGTTATTTACCGAACAATGTCTCAAGTACGTAATACTTCACATTTTCCGCAAAAGTTCTTAACAACCTCAACAATCTATCAATTAAATACATACAACGGATACAACCAACTTAATCTGCAATAAAACAGCACTTTCAACTTATCAACTCTCACCATCAACAAATCACTGCGATTTTTTAAAATAAAACCTTTTATTCACATGATTAAGTGTACTTTGCAACGTCATACTTGCTATCCCAAGAATTTTACTTAAACGCCGGTGTGTGTCAAACCACAAATTTTAGATTTGGCTTAAAACAACATGGCGTGATAGCAGGGGTTTCAATAAAAATTGAAGTAGCCAGCAGACGGGCAGGGTTGAATAGAGTAACCGACTGTATCAGAACGGTAGCCTGCAGGCAAGCTCTCCATTCGGGGAATATCGTGAAAAGCAAACGCGCGAGAACACGCGCGAGCGCGTTCTCTCGTGGTTTGCTTCGCTCGCCCAATAGGAGAGCTTGCTCGCAGGCTATCAGCACGGGGCCAGTAATCTTCTTTTTCTAAGGTGGTCTGGGGATGTGCTTCCCGACAAAATTTCGAATTTTTAAAGCCCTGAACTGCGATTTCCAGCGTGCTGGGCACTAAACTGAGGACAAAAGAGCGTATTTTTCATTCAAGAAAATATAGCTTTCATTCAACTTTCGAACTATCCGCCACACAATCAATTCCTGAACAAATAATAAAAACTAGATAATTAAAGTACTTTCGCGCGTAAACAAATTCTGCGTAAACCTATACAAAAACTTGTGAAAACATGACTAAAATATGGCGTTCACATGATTAAAGCATAAACCAGTGGGCCTTTATGAAAACATCATAATTACGTTTATTCACACCAGTTGCTTTTTCTTTCTAGAAAAAAAGGTAGCCGACTTCTCTGAGCAAAGTAGCCCACGAGTTTCTACGAGCGTCGGTGTTTATTGAAACCCCTGAATTTCTTTAACATTTTCCAATTGTAAGTTAAAGACGGTAATTTTGTCACATAAATCAAGGCTACGGAAGTGTTCTTCTTAGGATATGTTCATACTAAAGCGGACAGCTTTTCATGCCGCCACCAAAAGCTTTTCGCTATGGTGTGAATACCTTTTCTATACGTGACTCTCCACTTTAGAGATCGGCGTGGCGCAGCTTCTCTCCGTCACAAAAATCGCGCCAAAATAACCGTTATGCCTGAACAGAAGCAATATCCGGTATGGTTTTTATGCCCGGGCAAAATCTATCCGGTACAGCGTGAACATAGCCTTGTATACATGGTTGAAAAAAAGTTGTCGCTTAAAAAGTGTAAAAACCACAACCGAGGCGACCGATGAGGAAATCTTCTAATATTATCAGTCTGATAAAAAAAATAAAAATCGACAATATTTGATAAAATTTTACCGAGGAGAGTGCCTCGGTTCGCCTCGTACTGGCTACGGCGGTGCATGATCGATGAGGCTTCAAGGATTGATGGGCATATGATCATTAGCAAAGCAAATTCAAAGTTCTTTCAAAAAAGTTTACACTGTTACGAGCTGCTCGTGCGGATGCAAATCCCTAGAGTACTTTGTTTAAAGCATGCCGTTGTCTTTTTTTGTCTTCCAAGACAGCTTTTAGGTCCTATATTATGATTTTCAAGCGTGCGTTAGCAAGATGGCTACGCTGTTTAACTGTAGAGATTTCTGATGTGCCCTGCGCTACACATTTGAGGTTGTGGGCTTATCACTAAGAAAACTGGGAATCGTCGGACCTTTCTTCGGAATGCATCGTCGCGAAAAGCTTCAGTAACGTAAACGTTTCTGGAAAGAACTCTAAATCTGCAATGCTAATAAAGTTCTACACATAGATCCATTAGGTCCTATGGTTCATATGGTTTATACTTTTCAAACAATGTTTTTTCAATCAGGTGTATACATATTAACGTGACACTTCCACCGTTACGGTTTGTACATGTATTAATAATTCTTAAATCATGACTCCAGAGAGATGTAAACTGTATGTTAAGTATCAATTAAATACTGAAATAATTTTTAGTCTTACCTCTCAAAATGATTAAAAAGGGGGCCACGTTGCCAGTAACAAGCAATAAATTTTGAACCCAGCCAAAAGTTGAGTTTTGTACTTTAACGCTTCGGTCAAAAGGTAGAAAGGCCATGGCTTTGTACTTGTCACTGGCGGGTGTCAATTACTTTTGTCTGTTTTTGTTATCAGAGGTCCAATATTATCGCCATTAGAATGACAGAAAAAGAAAAAGAAATAAAACAAATAACCTCTGCTTTATTGGACGGCGAACCTAAATATTGAACCTTGAGCTCAGAGCTCGGTTTCAATTTCATTGCTCGATGAGTGCCCCTTTTAAATGGAAATGGATCCCGATTTTAAGCGAACATAAATATACCTAAACATTTATGCCTTTTCAATCATAACGCTACGAATAAAATTATAACAACGATCATGATTACAATTAATGCCACAAGTACACAGGTTTGCCTCTTATCTGCAATGGAACAAACAGAAAGTACAGTTGAAATGTATAGCCTCCGTCTAAGTTACCATTTTTACCAAAATGACTTCTGCTTCTGATAGCCAAGCTAACCAAACGTACGGCCAGATCACATGGAAGTGGGGAAACCCAGGTTGGTGAGGTAATCAGCTTATCCAAGCAAAAGACGTGTTTTGGCGGTTAACGCTCTTCAACTCTCAGTTGCTGCTTTTGTTGTGACCTTTCAGTGCTGAGGCTTTCACTTTTAATGATGCAAAGAAATTGATGTAATCCCGGCGAGGCGGGTTACCCCACCTTGAAACGTTCTGATGGGAAAATTTGACCCCGGTTGTGAGGGTTACCCGGTCTGGCAGACAGGGCAACCCGTCAGGATAGGTCACCCCACCTATCATGTAAACATGATCAGATTAAAATAAACAGGCTAAGATCTTCGTTTACAGCTCATTTCACTGTCATTTCACCTCATGCTGTCAAGAAACTGCTTAACATGTTTTCTCATCTGGCCCCGGTTGGTCAAAAGATGGATAGTGCTATAGATAGCAATAACACAATAAAAACTGGTTTCCAAAAAATCGTGGTTGCACAAGAGTGGTCATGAGCAATAAAGGTTTTAATGAATTAAAGCAAAAAACAAGTCTCCTACCATCAGACAGTCTGAGAACTTTTTCCACTTTGAGAACTGTTTGTTGCAACTTCGAGTCTGTCATTTCTAATTCATGTCCAAAATCGTCTAAGATTCTAAAAAGATTCAGATCAACTATCATGAGACTTGAGTTGAAAATATATCAGTGTTAGCTTATTCAGTGTTAATGTTTTCTTATTAGTAGATTTTTGCAGCTACCTCCCTTCAACAACAACGGCAATGCCACAGAAAATGGTTCTTGGAAAAACAACTTATTCACTTGTTTGGTTTGCCTCGTGTGACAGAAAAGTAGGGTTTTATTTCAAAGGAAAGGTTTTCACACAGTTACAGTGTCTGTAACTTCTCTATAAAACCTTTGAATTTTAAAATCATTTCAAGTTTTTACACAGCAGAGCCAGGATGTTCAAGCTGAGTTAACTGAATTCATAGGATAGCAGAAAAGTATCCCAAAAAATGCTTTTGAGCAAAACTGAGAAGATTTGCTCTAATCGACCTTCGAACAACTGGGCCCTGAGAAACCGCAAACCCTAATGCATTCTCCACAAGGCAAATTAAGACAACTACAGTTCCTGAGAGCACATAGTAAGTTACACAAATTAGGCTCCTTTAAATTATTGAATTGCTTTTTCTTTTCATTTCCCTTTGTATGAAAGAAGCCACTTCACTCTTACTTACTCCATAGCAATACACTCTTTAAATAAGCAAACAAAAAAACAATTTGCTTTCTTTGCAAAAGAACTTACAAATTTTGCTCTTCAATTTCATCACCAATTCTCTTTCCCATTGTCTTCAGCACGCCAACACTATGCCCTACCATATCCAATTGGTCATCTTGTGCTTGTATCATTAACTTAAAACAAATCAAGAGAAAACAACATAATCTGTTAATAACAATAACATTCTATGTAACATGCAAAGTGACATGGCGAAACAGCAACATGATACTGATGAAACAGTATTTTGTTGCCTCTGCGTCCTGCATCCCTGCAGTGTTCTCCCTAAGTTTTAGCTCAGCCCCTGCAGGTGAGGAACCATTCATAGCCGGTAAGACCAAAAATATGCACCAGAGGTGCACTTTCCTGGGGACAGGGGGATAGTGGAGTGAAGAACATGGTCCCACCCTTGCTGGGAAATTTAGGAGCTCAGTTCTCTGAAACATTATTCCCTCATTACAAGACCTATTTTCCACAAATCAGTCAAACGTATATTCATTCCTTGTGGCAAGTGAGAATTGGATCGGATCACAACTTGTGTATTTTGTTAAAGTACTTCTTTAATTTTAGTAAACCTTCAGGCTGCTGCAGGTTGTAAGAAGTGTTGCTTCAAGTGGTAAATTTAATCAGTTACCACTTGATAAGGAGAACACTGATCCCTGATGCATAAAAATCCCCAAAGACATAAAATAATTTGTGGCATGCATCCCGCAGGACGCAAAGATGGATTGATTGATCTGAAGATGGTTTTTGTAGAATACACAATGTATCCTGTTTGTGTGATTTCTGTGGCTGTTCTTGTGGCTGTTGTTAAACGACCATTATTTCTTTTAGTCTTTGTTGTGCTTTACAATAGAAGGAGTATATTTTTATTTCAGTAAACTGTAATACAGAGTTTGGAGTCTGTCTTCAGACTAACTGTGTGGTTACAAAAGACCCTGGGACACATTGTTTTTTGAACTGGGACTCAGTGGTTTTGGACAGGGACTCATGATTTTTCACAAGATGAGTCCCAGGACTCACCATAACTATTTGTACCAATTCAGGCCTTTTTGTAGCCTCTCTCTGTCTCAGATTACAGTAATAAATTTGGTGCAAAGGAAAAAAAGGTGGCTTGAAAAGGAAGAGCCTTAAATAGTCCTGAAGCAGTTTCATTGGAGAGGGGTGCTGAATAGGGGACTTACACTAGGATCAGCAATGACTAACTTCAAACATTCTAACAGAGACAGGTAGTGAATCTTACTAAACTTTATAACCCTGGTAAATTTGCCAGATATGGCAGGGGCACCTCAACAGCTTGTGCTAATTAATGAGGGACAGAAACAGTTCCTTTCTTAAACAACCAAGAAGACGATAAGCCACACCATGGAAGTGTGGTTGCTGTTGCATTCCAAATTAAGAAGAAAAAGCCAATGGCTAACCACTCAATGATGTGATCACCTGTCACTGTGAGTCAAGGTCTAAGGCTATTTTCACACTCTGCTGGATAGCTTTTCATACCACCTCAAAAACTCTCTTGTATAGAATGAACAGTGACGGCACTAAACTGGAACAAGTTGTTTAAACACATTGAACATTGTGCTGGAGCGGTTGGCCAAGAGGGTTTGGTGAACTAAATCCCAGTCCTCACTCCTGGATATTTGCTTCCGTCTCAGTGAGTTCCAGTAGTTTTTCATACTAGTCTCATTCACTTCCGCTATGCTCAGAATACTTGTTCACACTGCAACAAAGTGTAGCATAGAACCTATCCAATTTGTAATGCTCCACTTTTGAGATCAGTGCAGCTTTGTTACAGAAATCACGACGAAATCACGATTCCTATGTGTGAACAGAAACCCTGTATGGTATGATTTTTGTGCAAAGCAAAAGCCAAATGTATCCGGTATAGTGTGAACATATAGCCTTAATCAGAGCTGCCAGGAATTAGTAGTTTGGTTGGAAGTATGGTCAGGGCTAATCTAGACTATACCGCTCAGTAGATTGGCACTTCTCCAACTGAGCTAACTTGACCATGGTTATGAAAGTGTAGTATTACCTCTTGCTGCTGCTGTTGGTCTGTTATAAAAGACTGATTTGAGTTTTCAAGTTCTTTATCCAGCCTAGAGTATCTGTCTGTTGGTTTGTCATTTCTTCTTCCAAGAAGTGCCTTGAAATACAATAATGATAGTATTAATATTTACACGAGGCTACACTGGTTGGAATGATTGGAAAAAAATCTACTGTGTTATGCGGACCCCAATATCCAAATGCAAATTCTCCAGACTAATCTTCATACATTTTCTTAGCCGGGGCTATTCACATGATACCCTAAGGACTTTAATTCTGGAACAAGTTCATTCCTGCTTTCAATCAGAATAAAATTCTCATCCTGGTGTGAAATTTTATTCGATTATCAATAATGTAAACTGAAAACAAGCTTTGCTCCAGATTGGAAATCACAAATTGAGTAGTTTGGGGCAAGTGGCCCATGTGTATGTGATCTGGCCTGAAAACCATGCAAGCCAGAATGCCTTAGGCTGAACTGGTCTACCATAAAATTCCAAAAATAAGCCCCTCCATATATAAGCCCCTCCAAATATAAGCCCCCAAGACCGGTAACGCAAAAAACCCTCCATTAAATCGCCCCTCCAAATATAAGCCCCCCGGGGGCCTGTACTCGAAAAATTGCCCTCATATACAAAGAAAAACAAAGCAAAAACGGTAAATTTACTCCCAACTATAAGGCTAGCCCTATTGATTTGAAATGCAAATTTTCCTCCATAGCTCGGTAGATAAGCCCCTCCAAATATAATCCCCTCAGAAAGGGCCTTTGAAAAATATAAGCCCCAGGGCTTATTTTCAGAATTTTATGGTATTTCATGGTGAACTTCATTCTGGAACGAAACTCATGAAAGTCATTCTAGTACTATATAAACAGCCCCCTTGAAAATTAATTAGGATAATTACATGATAAGAGATAAAAACATTATCATTAACCACTTCTCATGGCCTTTCCATTAATAATGTACTGATCGAATATTGTTTGGAACATTTTAGTAGACAACAGCAAATTTCGGATCATTATACGTTTCTGGGAAACTGCCCACCTATCCCTCCCCTGAGCTAACATTAATACTTAATTCTCACTTAGGGCAAAATGTTGGCTTAGGGGAGGGGTAGGTGGGCAGTTTCCCAGAAACGTAAAATGATCCCAAATTTCTACCCAATAATTTTTTTAATCCAAACTAGAGTTTACCACAGAAGTATATAAAAAGGTTCAATACTTTTTTAACCTCATGAAAAGTAATAAAAGTAGCTTACATCTCTTGATGAATTCTCAACTTTTGCTTTAGCTGAAGGGCTGTTCATGTGCTCTTTAATATTATTCACACTGTCCCTTGTCTGTTTTATAAATTGCTTTCTCTGATTTACTTCTGAGATGTCAATGTTAAATTTTCTTGGGTTTGCTTCAACAATCCCTACTGTTTCATCCAGATCTTCCAAATCCCATTCAATACTCCTCAGATTGTTACGTAGTTCATTTGTTGTCCAGTTATATTCATCTTTGCCTACAGTTCTTGGATTATCTAATAAATCTTGCCATCTCCTGTACAGTGTCTGAACATTATTAACTGCTTTTTGCACCTCCCTGTAAAATAAATAAAGTAATACTTGATGTAAATACACACCTCAGGTCATTGTACAAAAAGAAAGGCCATCATAAGTAACAAGAGTGCTTTTATGTTTACTGTTAAGTATTGTGGACCGTTAAATTTGTGCGTTTACGTTCACAGATGTGTTAGCCTATCATTTAAGCATTAAATTTGACCAACATTTTGTGGGGCGATTTCTACGGTCACGATTGCCTTCAAACTTGCAAACATAAAACTAGAGAGCTCTCAGGCATATTTGCTGAAGTTAGGGAAAAATCTGTCGTGGGATTTCGAAGTTATTTTCATTTTTCGTAAAAATGAGGTTTTAATTATATGCCGATATCTCAAAAGTTTTTATACCTATAAGAAAATAAATAACATTTTTTTAAAGTTCCATTATTATTTATTAAGGATGCAAAAAATCGTAGAAAGTGGTTGAGTCTTTCATTCTGAAAAACGCGAATCAAAAACATAACCAACACGCATATAAATAGGAACGGACCACCTTAAGCAATGACAATGAAAGTGGCAGTGAAAATGGTAGTGAAAGCATCACTAAAAACTAAATTTTTGTCCTCTCCAACTTTATCACTTCTATTTGGATCTATTTGGACCCACTCAATTTGTCAAATGCAGGCAGTTTCTCCTGGAGTTGAATTCTCAAGGACTTTATCCAGGGACAAAAAGAGAAATAAAACATTTCTCATCGTATCTTCACATCCCCCACAAAATGTTGCATTAGGAGGTTTTGCATTGTTGTTGTGCAGTGGACGTCAAATAAATGTGCTAAAAGCATGATGCACATGCCCAGCTGTTGTTTTGCTCATAAAACCAATGGTTTTTTGACCTTGTCGTCATCACCATGGCTGCTTAAGCTTCCTATAGTTGTGAAGATGGGAACTTTACATTGCTTAAGATAAACATGTTTTTCAGTTGGAAATATTTTGAATGAATAACAAAATGATAAAACAATTATGCAGATCTTGGAGGTCATTCATCTGCACAATTCTTCATATCATACTCTGCCTCATCTGTAGACTGCTCACAGTCTACCGCATCTGATAACTGCTAAATAGAGATGAGCTGTAGCCTGGATCATGAAAGTAACGTGGCTAAATACACTTCGCCAGGTCTATTTTATTGCAGATTTCTAGATGTGTTCTCATAACCCTGGTCAAGGGGTGTGGATATTTTACGTTCTTGATCCATTTTCAGATTTTAGTAAAGTAATAATGTGTTCCATTTTTATTAATCAGTCTAAATTTAGATCTTCCTAAACAAACCTCCTGTAGAAAGTGCAAAACTATTCTGATCAAGAAGAATTGACTTCAAATCAGAAAAATTAGGAAAGCAGCTTTCCAAGTGTCCAATTGTTGTTTGCACTTTAAGTCCTACTTTAAGGTTCGAAGTATTTGTTAATAATAGCAACAATGGTAATGTAAGGACAGACATCTAAAAATATTTCTAGAAACTGACAGCTCATTTACATATACATGTACCAACAACATCACGTCAACATTGTAAAAATACTGAGAGGTATTTAAAAAGTACCCAATGGAAGCTTTTATTATAATCGGTCTTTAAGAAACCTATGGTTAATATCACAAAAAATATAAGCTAGGAAAGGTAAAATTGCAAACTTCTACCCCACTGACATCTGATTTATTGCCAAACTTAACTTCCGAACACACCGAACACACCGAAATCAATCACAGGAATTTACACGTACTCAGAACACAGCAGCTGTTCGAAAAAAAAAAAACAGCGTTCGATGAACATAAAACAGAAACCAGTGGTGTGCAAAGATTACACAGTCTTCAGACCATAAGTGCTACAGTTTACCCAATCAATCTCCTTCATTTTACCCCCGTTCATCAGACAAACGTTGTTTACGGAAACATACATCCTGAAAATCCACATTTTTAGATGGCTAGTTCACTTACTCTTTGACAACGAAAAACGGGTCCTCCAGCGACATATCTGTAAAGGAAACACTTTCAGATCACCACAGAGGTCTCGCAAGCAATTATAGAAAAGAAAATCTGTGATAACGCCGGCAAATACTGCCTATGAATATTGTCAAATATCAGAAAAGTACGCCGAATGACACTGAAAGCTTGAGCTGAAAATCCCCGCCATGATCACGTGATAAGCCCTTTCGATTTCCGCCAACTCATAGCATTGTGCTGACGTACTTCCGTTTAGTTGCTATATCATGATGGGTCCATTTTCTTAAAGTTCGCGCGCAGTCATGTGATTAGACCGTACATGTTCAAACTAGTTCAAACCAGAGAGCAAGGATATAATCTATTTTTCTGTTTATAGCTATTTCGAGAAAGGTTGTCGGAGAAAGTGCACGCGACAATCCTGAAAGGCATTGTGGGTGGTTTTGAGTTCTCTTTTTTTCAAAGAAATTTGAAAGAATTTGCACGAAAGGCCATAGAAATGTGTCTGCGAGTGCTAAAGGAAAGCAACAAAAGTAGGTCTGACAGCTACAGTCGTCAGGTGACTGTATTGATCATATCCCATATTACTCCTTCGGGATTGTCACGTGCACATTTTTTGCGACAATCTTTCTCGAAATAGCTGTATGTTTTGATGGTCCAAGGGATGCCAAAGTCTCTGAAGGCTGGTATGGCCAGCCGAAATATTGTTATAAAAAACAATACACGTTGTTTTAAATCAGCTTTGCAGTAGTCTTTGGACTTCTCGTTCTTGGTTTCTACTGGGTATCAGGGGCCCGGGGGGATACTTTAGGAATTTCTGGGTGGGGATATACCGCTCAGACCCTGGAACCCTTTACCTATACCAGAGCTAGTTCAGCTGAATTTTGCTACCCTTTACTAGGGTAAACTCCCTAAATCCCCCCTCTCCTAGAGTAGCTGTTTTCCAGAAACTACTGAGGTCACTAGCACAGTTCACCCAAAACAAAACCTTATACCACTATCCCTAGTCTAGATAAAATCTTCAACCAACTGATCAGTTTCCTTAAAAATGATACCCTATTCTAGACCCAAACGCTCTGATTTATATACCCTATCCTAGAGTAAACTGCTTGAAAACCATACCCTTCACAGCGGCACATACCTATATAGCTCATATTTGGCAGTACCGCCCACCCCCCCCACCCCTAGGACCCTGGGATCAGGGGCATGTATAGCCTGAATTTCATCCGATTACTTCGAGTCGCAATTACTCCCTCAGAGGAGAAAACGACTCGAAGTAATCAGATGAAATTCAGGCTAAGGCATGGATGTCTTTGACTCGCCTCTCACTTTAGTTCACTTTCGTTTCTGGTGTAAACTAGCCTCCCCGCAGACGTCCTTTGGGGTTCGTTTGTCACGCATACTTCCGAAAGTGAAAACTTGGAGAAATAAAAGCAAGGCTTACTGTACAGCTATGAGAATGTTTATATTTCTCCTCTCCTGCAAAAAAAAAAATTTAACAGTTTGAAAAGCCATGGTTAAGGGGGCCGCTCTCACACACTCAATCATTGCTGATTGCAAGCACATTTCCATACGCTTACACCACTCCCCATTTGTTATGTGTGACTGACCACTGGACCGCAGAATCACCGACTCACTGCAGCGTCATCAGCTTCTCCCAGAGCACTCCCAGAGCTCTAATCTTGTGTGATTTTCACGGGATCTCATTACGGCTATAAGACCAGTTTCCGGCAAGTTTCTGTGTCATCAAAATTATTTCAAGTTTGCTCTGCGGTTGTGAAGGTAAATTAGTCTATTTTATTATATAAGATACGTGCTTCTTAGGAATACCGTGCCTCTGATGGGTAGACAAAGGCTTCACACGTCAGATGTTTTTAGTGAATTCGCTAGGTAGGCTTACAATTGAGTAATTTCGTGTCATTTTTATCTTCTGTTGCGCAAAAGTTCCCTTGCATCGATTTCTGCACGACCACTGTTTGCTGTTCCAAAACGGCGTTAAGCCCAAATCTCAAAATAATTTTTTAGGTAAGAAGTAATTTTACTTAATTAAGGAGTTTTAAGGTGAATCTTAGATCTTTAGGCCATCCCAATTTCATGCTTCGTTTCCCATCGCCCGACCGACCCATTTTTGAAAAGTAAAAAAAAAATTCCAGAATCACTTGTAAAGAAGCAAGTACTTTAATTTACAAGCACACGATCTTGTCTTATTAACACCAATAATTGTCTTAAATTATCATCGATACTTCTTCGTTTTCGTAACCTTTTTAGACATTTGATAGTCCTGTTAATATACATCTTTTACCATCTGATTATATCTTGCAGACTAAACCTGAGATTTCAGGGGCACCCAACGAGAATATAGTTCAAAACCACTTAAACATAGCATTGTTAAACGTATTTTAGTATTTAAACGGTAGATATAGGCATATTTTTATCCCCTAAAATTTTTTCATCTGTTCGGATTTCCTAGCTGAAAGTCTAGTGATCCGAAAATTACAGGGATCAAAACTTACCTTTTCGAAAATTTCAGCCAGAAAAAAGGCTCCCGAAAATTCTAGGTGACCTTTTAAGGGTAAAAATCCGTTAAAAATGGGCAAATATAGTAATTTTTAGATGTTCGAAAATCCTAGGAGAGGCACGCAAGCAAAAAATTTTGCAACAAATGTTCCGAAAATTCTAGATCTCAAATCGTCTTCCGAACAGATATTTTTCCGAAAATTGTCATTGGGTGCCCCTGAGATTTACAGTCAAACCAGGTCAAGCGTTCCCGTCGCTAACGAACTAATGAATTCATTCACGGAAAAATGATTTCGTTTGTTGATTCAATAATCCATTCATAAAATGAACAATCCAATAGTCATATTTAGCCTCGATTCCATAATCGAATGTTGATTCGATTACTGTTTTTTGAAAAAATTACACTTTCCACAAGTTGACCTCAGAATTTTGTTTTTTCCTCTTTTTTTTCTGAGAGTCGAGTGCTGGCGAGTTCTGAAGTTCAAACCCAAACAAACTGTTACATGTACGCCAGTTTGCTGCAATAATCAGTGCAACAGACCTAGGCCTGACCTCTTAGAAAACACGACGGTCAAACTGAGGTCAGTGTATGTGCGGTGATTGGTGGATTTCAATCCTCGGCCTTTGTCAGTTTCTTTGCGTTTGCGGTCTGTCTATTCTAGCTGTTATTTTGATTAAAGGCAATGAAAAACGCAATCGTAAACAGCAGGAAAAGGGAAGCAAATACGATTGAACACAACAGACAAGAATAAAGAACAGGTAGATTTTGTTCATAAACCAAATCAACATTTGATTATTGAATCGAGGTACAATTTGACCGTTGGATTATTCATTCTATGAATGGATTATTGAATCAACAAACGAAATCATTTTTCCATTAATGAATTCATTAGTTTGTTAGCGACGGGAACACTTGACCTGGTTTGACTGTAATATGCAATCATGTGTTCATTCTTTTTTTTTTTTTGCCCGACCGACCAACCCACCTTCACGAGAGGGAGGGCGATGGGAAACGAAACATTTTATTTGGATGGCCTTAGATGAAAGGCAAGAGAGAATTCCTGGCCTTTTATCCCGGGGGGGGGGGGGGTACTGCCATATATGGGCTATATGGGTATGTGCCGCTGTGAAGGGTATGGTTTTCAAGCAGTTTACTCTAGGATAGGGTATATAAATCAGAGCGTTTGGGTCTAGAATAGGGTATCATTTTTCAGGAAACTGATCAGTTGATTGAAGATTTTATCTAGACTAGGGAAACAGCTACTCTAGGATAGGGGGATTTTGGGAGTTTACTCTAGTATAGGGTAGCAAAATTCAGCTGAACTAGCTCTGGTATAGGTCAAGGGTTCCAGGGTCCCAGCGGCACATCCCCACCCAGAAATTCCTAAAGTGCCTTCCCCGGGCCTTTTATAATACGTCAAATCTTACAACTATTAATGAAAAGCTTTCATATTGACCCTGCACCTATCGTAAATGTGATTCACGTTTTTCGCCACTAGAATAATATTTACAGGGAAAATAGAAAACATATGAGTGCGATGTTTCGCTGGAAAAATCTAAATGTGGGACATTCCATTTGGATAGGGTTCTGCGGCACCCGGCGATTGATCGCCGCTTACTTTGTGATTTATAGCCGCTTACTTTGTGTTTAAGTCGCTTTTCTTTGCTTTGTTTTGACACCTCTGGCTTTGCTGAAGAGCCTCCTACTTTATCAGTGATCACCTCCTACTTAAAAATCTATTGAGAACCCTGTTGGATAGATTGCAGAACACCTGGCCCACTAAATATCTAACTTGAAAAACTGCTCCTAGAGTCCCGCAGTCGTCTGATTTGCATAATAATTTCTAACATAGACTGTGGAAGTGCGGGACTGCAACACTGTGGGAGTACTAGTATACCTTGTTCTATAAGCATGCCAGTTACTTTTCAGTGACTGCAGGAGTGCAGGACTACAGGATCACTTATTTTACTCACTTAGATTTAAGTATCTGGCATAATAGAACACTACTGTGGGACTGTGGGAGCAGATTTTCAAGCGAGAGATTTAGTGGGGAGGGTATTTTGCAATCGTTCCATTTTCTCCTCTGGAGATGACAGGAATCCAAACCCTCAAATTTTTGTTACCACCAAAGTTCTCATATTTTGTCCATCTTTGAAAAAAAGTGGCCCAAGGGTCCAAATTTTGCCAGCTTCTTTAAGAAAATTCTGAACCACCTAACCACAGAAGGAGGCCAAAAGGGTGAGAATAGGTGCATAGAATATAGGTCTTTGAAGCATCAACTGGCAAACTGTTTGTTCCAGTACAGAAACACCCTACATTCTGTTAGAGGCGTGACACTAACAGAACTGTTTTAAAGTGCAAACCACACTCCAAGACATTCAAAACCAGTTAGGCAGGGAAGAATAGCAGCATGACAAGAGGTGTGTTGAAGTGGAGTGTCTGCCGATGATTTGGTGAATGTGCAAATTACTCGGGGAGGAGTACAGAAGTGGGTTCCTGGTATGGTGATTAGATGGCTGTGGCCATTAACCCTTTTAGTGCCAAGTGTGGCCAAGGGCAAAATTCAACAAAAATTCCCAAATTTTGTTTAGTAAAATTTTGAAAACAAATATTACCATTTGAAAGTGGAGGCAGAGAGGTTTCATTTGAATGGTCACATCACAGGATTTTGTTCACAGACTCAAAAGTTAGAACTACCATAA